CTCTCCTGAATGGCCTGTGTGGAGCTTGTTCTTGAGATTTATTTGGGACAAAATACAGTGCTTTTACGGTAGCATCTTCAAGTGCTTGTGGTACTCGTATGCCAGCTCATATGTTACTCTAGAATTATTGTCAGGTATGTTAACATTCTTCAAAGAAGAGACAAGAGATTTTTTGGGGAGGGGAACAAGGAGAAATTAAATAGTATCGTGCTTATCATTTATTTTTTAACCAGTAGGACTGAAAGGAGATGAACTGTCCTGGCTAGGCAAGTGTTTGTAGCTTATTCCTGAAAACTTCTGGCTTCTGTGGCAGTATTTCCCAATTTTTGTTCCTGAGTTTGTATTCTGCATGCAGCTAAGGTTTTACATGACACTAAAAGTGTCAGAAAGAAACCTGGAGAGACACAAAGAGAAGATTGTCTAAAAATCTTCTTTAGAAAGTCTAAAATACAAGCTCTTGTATGATCTTTTCTGCTATCACTGTACCCCTTTCCATGAGCACTTCTACATGTGTCATGGACCAATACATATTTTTAAAATAACTTGTGTTCTTAGAAGGAGTTGGCCACACACTAAATTCTGAAAATCCAATACAGCTTTTGAGAAAGGACTGAGGTATTTTTAATTATATTGGGATTTTTCAGAGTTCTCCCAGTTTTATCAGGAAATAAGAAGCTCTGAGGAAAATTAGAAAAATTAGGGAGCATATGTACTTTTTCCCTTTCAGTTGGAATGGATAGAGTGAAGGAGGTTTTGTTTCTGAGATAAATAGCTGCTTGGATCATGATTTAAGGCAAGGGAAGGGTGTAAGATTCTGCCTAATGAGATTGAAGCCCTAATGTGCTGCTGTTTTTGGTTTTCCTGATTCAGAAAACCAATCTCCTATACTTTGTTGAAGAATTAATTTTTTTACTCCATGTTCTTTATCACCAGTCTCCAATTCAAACAGAAAATTAATCTGCAGCCCTCCGCAGCTTTGGCATTTTGCATCTGTTAGTGCTGTATCACCATTCGCAAATTGATGCTCAGTCAGGATTTTTGTCTTGAAACACCCCCAGTAATGAAACGTGCCCATGAATGAATACAAGGGGCTCACCAGCCCAGCCCAAGCTCTTTGCCAGCCCTTTTCTTTTGTTGTCATCTTCACACATTGTACAAAGAACATCACAAACAAACCTCAACAACAAAAACTCCTTGTGAGCACAATGCCACTCCTGCTCACCCAACAATAATTTTTGTCCCTGTTTGCCCCCTTTTTCATGCTGAATTGTAACATCCCAAACCATTGATGGCTTCCTTCCTTTCTGCAGAGTTCAGTACGGTCCTGCTTTTCAGTCACTTTGGGGAAGCCAAGAAGTGATACACTACACTCCTTTCATTTTTCTTCCTTTTCAAGCGAATGAACAAGAAGCTGTTTGACTTTGCTTGTCAGAGCAGTGGTTCTTATATTTGAGGAGCTGTAGCAATTACTAATCATGAGAGTGATTGTAAACCCTGGCTTAGTGCTGCACAAGAGGTGGTTTCTCTGTGATGTGAATTAGCACAGGAGGAGATGCTGCAATTAGAGTAATTGGAGCTTACTTATAGCATATAGGAGCAAGAGGAATAAATAAGCTTTTGTTTAAGATACTGCTTCTGATGTGGCTCTTGGGTCTGAGCTCAGCAGGGTAAAAATGTGAATTTTTTTCTCAGTTTTGATGCATTTTTCTCCAAGTTTATGCAAAAGGACTAGTTTTGGTGTATATTCAGAATAGCTGAAAACTTATATTGGATTGTTGATTTTGGTTGTGGGTGTTTCATGTTTTTTTTTCTTCTGGGCAGTAGGATCAAGCAGTCAGATTGCATCTCTGTACTTCCCATGCTTCATTTCTACCACTCATTTGGCAATTATAACTACTGGGCTTTTAATTAATTTCCACATGTAGCTTATTCAGATTTGATACTTCAGTCTTCCTAAACTGGACTTAACATTTCCTAGATTCTGTGCATGCTCTTGTCCTTGTGCAGAAGATAAGCTTGAGGAAAAGACACACTGGAGACATAACGTTTTCCAAAGACGTAGCTCTTAAAAGAAGAATTGAAGATACTGAATTCCCATTAAGTTTCTTGACCCTAAATGTGTGTATTTTTGTCTAAAAGCAGACCTGCAGTGGTAGATGAAGGCAGTGGATTTTCAGGTCATTGGAAACAGGGTTATTCTTCCAGATTTGCTTTGACATAGAAATAAATTTGTGGTTGTAAAATGGGAAGTAGCTGACTAACTAGTTCATAATGTGGGTCACCATTTTAAAAAGGTTCCAGTCCTATTCCAGGGATCCTGACAGTATCAGCACCAGTGAGACCTTAGGAGAGTAGTAACAGAATAGCAGAATAATAGTAAACTGCTCTTGGTCAGTAGTAATATCAAAGATTAGAGGAATGCTGGAGATGAGAAACAAATCCAGAAGTTTAGGAGAAGTGATGTGCAAAGAAAGGAGGGAGAACTGCAGCTGGCTTGGTCCTTTGGGGTGGCCTCTTGGCACTGCTACCCTGTCGCTCTCTGCCTCCTGTCCATGAATCTCCTTTGGCCAAATGCCTCTTCCTGTTCCATAGTTCTCAAATGCTGCTGCTGACTCAAAGTCCCTTTAATTGTTTATTCACACAAGCACAGGAGGACTCAAGAGAGGATTGGAAATTAAAGGAAGGAATGTAAAGGTTGTTGCTGCAGTGGGGCTGGAATAAGGGAACAGGTGATCAATAGGCAGGTGAGAAAGGTGGTGCCTGCTTCATTTCTTGAAAAGCACTGGAATAGGGGAACAGGAACCAGATTTGCTCCATGGCTTTAATAAGGAAAAATGAATTGCAAGCTTTAAAAGGTTTCCACTTATTAATGGAAGAAAACCTTGCAAGAGACCATCAAGTGAGTCTCCAGAATATCCCTCTTTGGGTGCTTTAAAAGCACACTAAGCAATACAGCTTTTGTTAATGAATGAAATCCATACAGACAGCTCAGCTCAAAGACTTGGCAGCCCCTTCCCTGCCATTGTCCGAGGGACAGTCTGCACAGAATTTTGTGGCACACAGTATTGCATTCAGCTCCTGCATGAAAATGAAATGCTCATTAGAGCTGAAATAAGTTTTAAAAACCCTAAAAAAAACCCAGTCTTGAAAGTTCAAGACTACATCTTATTGGAAATCTAAAATACAATATGTAACATTGATTTATGTATTAGGTAGACAGAGGTAGTTATGAAGATGTAATGTTGTTTTAATGTGACTGTCGGTGTAATGTTGTGAAATTCTAGTATTGTCCTGCTCTCCACTTAACACATCACAAAATTCTTACTGAAATAATGGATTTTACCATGTCATTAAAGCATCTGGTACAATGTTCTTAACTTACTGACATTGCAAAAGAATGATTAGATATCAGATATTCTTATGGATTTCTTTGTGGCATTTAAGCAGTCTCTGAGGTTATAAGCATTAGTAGGAAATTAATTAAAATTATAACTGAATGGGGTTGTGGGATACCTGGAGATAGGAGTAATAGTGAGTGACAGGGAGAATGAAACAGCCAGAGAGGATGATCTGGATTGCTGAGCATCATTAACTTACACAAGTTATTATGTAAAGGAGTATAATGACATGTATGGGTCATGTTCAAGAATTAAGGACCATTTCAACAAAAATAATAATTCTCAAAATATATCAGTGTTTATAATGGACAGGTCACATGAACTTGCAGCATAAAGCTGTGTAGAAGGGCCAAGAGGTGATGTCTGATAAATCACAGTTAGGATGAGCAGGAACTTGGCTTCACCTCTGTGGAACCCCCAGATGTGTGTGTATTTATGGTGCAGGTGGTCTCAGTACCTGACTGTTACAATCTTAGAGCTTTAGAACTGTTCCTCAAATGCTGTTGAAAAATTTCACTGTGGGTGAGCTCTACAAAATCATTCCAGCACTTTTTCTTGGATTTTTTTAACAATGTTAAATGGCTTATTTGTGTGTGGGGATATCCCTGCCCTGCAAGAAATGAGGTTCTCTAAAGGGGTCTTTGATGCAGAAGGGTGACAAAAAGCAGTGGCTGTGCACTGAAATCAGGCATTTCCCCTAATCCATGTGCTTTAACAGCAGGGATGTGTGGCTCTTGGAGCAAGCTGCCAAAGGAGGTACTGTGGACACTGTGCTTTCATTTTTTCAGGCCAATAGTGGATAATATGCTGGCAGATGTATCAAATGAAGGTTACTGGAGTTGATGCAGTAGTACTGGATAGGATTGAAAGGATCTGTGATTTAATGGAAGATTTAATGATGTGCTCTCACTTTATTTCTATGACAATCTAGGAAGAAAACTCTGGTCAGTACTCAGGAGGCTGTTGCACACTAGGAAAAAAATTTCTCATCAAGCTTACTTTTACACATAAATTCTCCGTCTTAAGAAATAAAACAAATGTCCTTGTCTTCCCATGCATTGTGAGGATTGTTCATTTTGCAGTCTGGCTAAATGTGCTGGTTTTATTCATCAAAGGGTGCTTAATTTGATTGGTAAGAGTTAGAGCAATCAAATCTTAATGTATTTGAATTCCTGTCTTGCTTCTATAAATGTTCTGTGTTGAAGGAGATTGCTTAATTGGTATTCTTGTAACTTTTAGTTTTGAGTGGATTTTAATGAACTCAGTTTTACCAAAGACAGTGTACCCCTCAGCAAGTTTTCCTTAGCCTTTGCCTGGAGGAGTTGTAATGTGTACAGGTTCTGTGCTTATGTTCACATTATTTAATGTTACTGCATCATGAATATGCATCAACACAATGTTTTCACATGCAGACTACTTACTATTAGAAATCTGTGCTATTCCATGTAATTTTGTATAGACCAATGAATACTGTTTTATAGACTTTGGAATTATAGCAACCACCGCATCTTTTTTTAATAAAACCTAAATCTACCTGTATTTTTCTGTTGAAGTATGCACAGGAAAAGCTCATTGGTTTTTTTACCTTTGTTTGTTTTTCAGTGAGAGGTTCATGGTGAGGTTAAACAAGAACGGGGGCCCCAGGAATCCAGAGAAGATCGATCGCATGTGTGCACTTTTCACAGTACGTGTCTGTTCCCTTTCTTCTCCCCTCACAGGAGTGGGGATGGAGGTTTCCTGAGGGGAATGAAACTCACTTCTTCCTCTACAATATATTCCAATGAGTAGAACAGAAACAGTTTCTAAGTTTTGTTATGGTTTGACTAAATGTTAACATAGAAAGTGAATGTACTTCTAAATTGTTTTTATGGCTAAGTGAATATTATGAAATCCTTGCATTTGTTCCTGCAGATAGTGTGAAATTTTGAATATTTTCATTGGATGTGCTGTGCTCTTAGATAACAGAGCATAGAAAAAGGCTTTGATGGCCTAAGCATAAAACAAGGCACTCTTTTCTGAATGAAAATCAGACAAGTGTTATCCCTTGTCTTGTCCCTACATGCCCTTGTCAGAAATCCCTTCTGCACTGGTCTTAAGTTGTGTTTAAATTTTCCTCACAATCAAGTGTCAGACCATCGTTTTATCTGCTACTTCTCCTCAGAAAGAATATGAACATCTAGAGACACTGAAATATAACAGCTCCTCACAGAATAACTGTAAGGAATCTCAGATCTCAAGTGTGATAAACACCTTCCTTCATGAGTCACCTTTAGTTAGTGCACATGCTGGAAGCTCAGTAGCAGAAGTATTTTTACCTTCAGTGAAGAAGAGAGATGGCAGAGCTTTGGTTCTGGCAGTGACACTCTCTGAGGTCAGGCAGGGCTGGACACTGAACCCACTGCTCTCTCCCTTAAGAAGGCAGCAGAGTTCCTCCTCTTAGGGAACAGAATAGATCCAGGTGTAAGGATGATCAGTTCTGTCTCCATCTGGATATGGGAGAGGCAATCCAAGAGTCACACTGACCTGGCTGCTGACATCAGTACAGTTCTGGTTTTGGTACCATCAGGGAAGAGCTGCCAGCTGATTGAACATCAGCAGAAGTGACAGTGTCACCCCGGAGATGGTAACTCAAGGCCAGAGCCTGGTCCTGCTGAGAGAAGGTGGGCAGGGGTTAAGGTTCAGCACTGGTGTCTGAGTCAGCTGAAAGGCAGGAGAGCAGCATTAGGAACATTCCCAGAAGGCAGCAAAGACTTTGTATGACTTTGGCACTTTCTGGCCTTTGAGGTGCATCATTTTGGAAAAGATTTTTGGCACCCAATTTCCCCACCCTCACCCATGTCACATGACTTGGGGTCATGGAACAAGTGTCCTGTTTCTCTCTGTGTGGTGAACAGTGTGAAACAGGTTTGCTCTGGTGATCTGCAAACCAGCCCTTACACCCTTTAAAAAAGAATGATAAATTACAGCCATGGCACAGTTCCAGGAGAGACCTGCTGCATATTCTGAGTAGGGCTAGTGTGTAGTCCAAGAGCAGCCAGCTCTGGGGTTGCAGACATTTGCTGTGCAGTCCCAATCCTGATCAGAGATACCTCCTGAGCTCCCTTTCCTATCACTGTGCAAAAATACCGAAGCTGCTGCAATCTCAGCTCTCCAGGGTGCTCAGACTCCATCACTGGCTGGTGGAGGTGCTTAGACTCTCTCACTCATCTGCTGTAGAATGTGCACTCTACATAACAAGAATTATAATGAATGTATACTCTATGTAACAGGAATTATAAATGGAAAAATTATCTGAAAAAAATCTCACACTTCTAAAACAGTATTTTTCATTGATATGTTCAAAGAACTTTCCAAAGTGTGCAGTGAAAGAACAATAAATATTTGCTTTTTTGAATAACCATTTTATCTGCAATGGTTCTATCTTATCATAATTTCTTAATTATGCAATGCTTCTAAGATAAGATAGTTCTGTGATTTTCAGGTCTGCTCCCAAGCTTGTGCTCATGTTGACTTTCAATCTCTTTATTTATTTCCTTGCCTTCCCTCACCACACCACAGTATCTTTCTAAAACTCTCATCTTTCCCCAAGGCAAGCAGTCCATATCTTAGATAATTCAAGGGATCCCTGTCTTTTCCTGCTGCCTCTGTTACTTCTAAGGGTTCAGCTGTCTCCTTGTGTAAGATATCAAAATTACCCAGGTTTGGTTTTACATCTGCTGTCAAATCATAGCAAAGGTGAGAATCTTCTTGCTCTGGAGATCAAAGCTCACTCAAGCAAACCTCAGCCGGTGCACACATTAGAAGCATTCTGGGATCTGAATTAAAATGTAACTACACTGTATAAGGTTGTTATTTTTGTTAAATACCTTATTCTCTGTGGCCTATGAGGTTGGCAGCTGAGTTAAATAACTAATTAGTGGCAGACAGGTATCCTTGATTCCAGTGGTTCGGGGGTGGTTGTGATGGTGTTTGGTTTTTTTAACAGACAAGCAGACCTTTCCAGAAACCAACACTGTAAAGAACAAACCATTATTGTAGAGTAACTCTCTTCCATACCCAATACAGGTGGGAAAATTTAGGGGCGATTTTCTAAAAAACCATTCAGTTAGAATTATAATTGAATTATGTTGGGTATCAGTATAATTTAGGAAACTCAGAAGGATGTGGGAAATACCCACCCTGTGGATGCAGTCCTAAGAATAAGCAGTAAATGTAGTTTATCCCCTCCTGGTTCTAGGAGATGTACATGGATTCTCTGCAGAGGAATTATCTGAGAACTTCCTCACAGGGGTTGGGGCTTTTGATTGTTTGGTCCATGTCATAGTATGAATTTCTTGCCTTGTAAAAAGACTGTGCTGTTACAAACTGAAATGCAAGGCCATCTGGGCTCACATTTTTTGTCTTTTGCCTGTGACACAGTATATTTGTGAAATTGCAAAAGCAGCTAAAGTGTGAACCCATCAATATGTTCATGCCCTGCCGTTTTCTGATGTTTTGACAGCTGCCCTTTGAAAAAATAGTTTTTTTAATTGCTGTTAATTAGAACTGGTAATCTGATGGTATAATAAAATTCCCCCTGTCAAAGCACAGATATTTTCAGGAATCTATTGCTCTCTAGAACATTAAGTATTACCTCCTGGTTTTTTTGCTTTTTGAAATGTCTCGTCAGGCGTTACTGAGATTAAAACTATGTCAAATCCCTTTTAGTGTGGAACTTCATGTCTCCAAGACATGCAATATAAAGGGTACCATATGTCTCCCTGGTATGTTGGGTAGTAGAGAAAGCCTAGAAAGTGTGTTCCCTTCTTGGTGCAGCAGCAGAATCGAGCCTGAGGAGGAAATGCTAAGGATGCTTTTTGTAGCTTCATTCTTTTGCTCTGGAGAGACAGATCTGCTGGTTAGCAGCATCCCAAACAGTGGCTCTGCAGCTCCTTGCATATGCTGCCCTGGGAAATACAGAGCTGCTGTTAGAGAGCAAGGGAGCGCACAGCCAGGAATGTATTACTTGCCTGCTGTAATTTAGCAATATAACACAATTGGGAAGGGATTGAAACTGCTCCTTAGGATAAATTCCCTTTATGCCTAGCTCTGAGTCACTGTGCCAGCTTTTATTGTGCTGTGTGGCACCATAATCTGGAGTTGTGATTGCCATCACAGTCTCACTGGTTGAGGTTTGGCTTCTCAAGTCACATGGGAAAGAAATTCCCTGTGTGATTTAAGGTTCATGTTTTAGCTTTCAGCAAAATGCAGGTTTTAATTCTAAATGGGTTCAGATTAGGAATGACAGATTTTAGATGTCCACAGTTTAAATTTCCTCCCCTCTTTATATAAAAATAGCATTATTTCCTTTTGCAGTGATTATAATACCTCGTAGTTGAGGAGCTTTATAAAGAAAACCACGAGATTTTATGTGAATCAGGGACTGTTCCAGTTAATTTTTGTGTAAGTAGTACCTGACAGTGAGATGACAGCACTTAGTAGAGAAAGAGGCAGCAGCTGTTGCTGTAGAGCACGAGGAGCCTTTTTGCATCACTCTAAAAGAAGGATGAATATTCTCCCAGTAAATATCTATTGAAAGTCTTGTCTGGGAGGTGAGTGGCATAGGGAAAACGGGATTTTAGGAAGAAATGCTTCCAAGACCTTACCTGTAACTAAAAAAAAAAAAAAGAAGGAGGAATGTCTCAGAAGTTGCTGTTTGTTTATGAAGTTATCAATGAAAACTACAACATACCAAGGAAATTGCAATTAAGCTTCTGACATATGAATGCAAAAATGTTGCGGTAATGAATTATTGAAAAGTGTCCTATATGTATTTTTTAAATTTATTTCCTTATTTTTAAATTTTTCTCAGTTAATAACACTTACTTGTCTTCATTAACTTCAACTTTCCTTTTGTTCTTCTGTAGGTTCTCCTTTTCCTGTTTGGTTTTACTTGAAGCTCATTTTTAAAAGTCTTGACCTGCTTTTCAGTAACATGGGACTTGAGAGTTTTCATCCACATTTAGAGTTGCAGGCACTTATGTTGGAATGTCTCTCTTTTTTCCAATCTTTCAGGATCTCAGCAGCAAGGACATGAAGAGGGATTTGTACATAGTTGCTCATGTAATCCGAATAGGTACGGTATGATTTAGTGCTTGAAATATACGTAATAAACAGAGCTCTTATTTTTAAATGTATGCTTTAATTAGCTGACTTTATGATGATTTATACATTTAGAAAACTCAGTCATAGACTGACATTCACACCATATGGAGCCAAGTGTTGGAAAGTTACTGATGACTATTTAACGGTGATTTTGTTTTTCTGAGTATGAAACAATGAAAAAATTTTGATTAAATGCTGCATCTACAGGAGAGGGACAAACTAAGAAGGCTTTTTGTTTATTGTTTAAAAATTTCAAATGAGATCCTTTTACTGGTGTTATAGCTGGGTTACAGGGCAGGACATCAGCATGTCTGACCATCCATATCAAATAAATCAGAGGCTGTTAGACAAATAAATATCAAGATTTGTTTGCTGCTTTAGGAGTCTGTGGTGCAAGTACATATTTCACCTGTGTTAAGTATAATTTATTTTAAATACTACGCCTAAAATGCTAACAGTAGGAGCAGGAGAGACAGATTCCTCAGCTGTATTACTGTAAACAAGTGAGTAGTGTAGTGCCATTTGTGTGTTTCACGTTTTCAGGTGACTGAAGAATGGCCAGGCAGTGTTTGCAAGGAAAGGGTTTTTAAGCCTGTTGCCAGTCCAGTCACTGCTCACACTCATTACCAGCCACAGACACCTTTTCTGAAGCACAGCAGCTCTAAACAGAGCTTTGTGTGTTGTCCTGGGAATGACAATGTGCCTTCAGAGCCACAAATGTGTCAGAGAGGTCGGGGTTTCATTATCTAACTTCCCATGTCATAATTGCCTACACGTCAGATTTGCTCTGTTATCACTTGAGGTGATGAATGAAGCTTGTAGAAAGATGCTGTATTAACCTTGATGCAAGGGCTGCACAAATTATTATGTGTAATGTTACAAGTTCACTTTGATTATCACAGGGATTTTTCTGGCCTTGACATCCTTGGCTCTATTTAAAAGCTGTCTCAGTAATAGGAAGTTAACCACTGAGCAGCTTTGTACCTCAGAATTCTCCTTCCTGTGTTCCAAGAAGGATCCATCCAAACATGAGAAACAACCAATATAGAATATTGCATATATTATATACAATATATAACACATTCCCTTAAAGTAATTGAATGAGAATTTGTGCAAGGAAGGAAGGAGCACAGCGAATCTCTGTGTGGGTCAGACTGGTGAGTACAAGCCATATTCTTGGCTCATCCACAGATGATTTGTAGTCAGCCCAGCTGGATGCAAATATGTGTCATGGAGCTGCAAATCAAAGCTGGCCAGACATGACGCTTTTCACTTTGCCCTTGACTGTTTTTGGCTGAGTGAGCTGTAGTTTCAAATGGACCTCTGGGTTTGAGAAGTATAGGAGTGAAAAGCTGTGGTGGGTTGACCCCAGGTGGACACCAGGAGCCCTCCAAGTCTTTCTGTCACTCCTCTCATCAGCAGGATGGGGGTGGGGGGAAATGAGATGGAAGGACATTAGTGGGTGAAGATAAAGGCAGTCTGATAAAGCAAAGGCCATGAGCAGAAGCAAAGGAAAACAAAAGGTTCATTCTCTACTTTGTCAGCTGTTGATGTGCAGCCACTTCCCAGGAAGCCAGGCCTCAGTCTGTATAGAGCCAAACCTTGCAGAGACAAATGTTCCCACTCCTTCTCCTTTTATTGTCATGTGGTGTGGGACATCCCTTTGGCCAGTGTGGGTCAGCTCTCCTGGCTGTGCCCCCTCCCAGACCCTGCCCCCCGGGCTCCTGGAGAGGGGGATCTCGCAGAGGCAGCCCTGGGGCTGTGTCAGTCCTGCTCAGCATCCCTGGGCTGGCACCAGCCCAGCACATGGGGCTCCTCCAGAGCCAGGCAGGAGTCTCAGCCTGGAGCTGCAGTGTACTGGATGTGTGTTCAGTGGGGTCATGATCACAGCAGGCAGGATGTGGCTGCGTGTCCATCCCTGATGTTTGAATTTCCTTCCTTTTAGGCCGCATGTTGCTCAATGACTCCAAGAAAGGCCCCCCACATTTGCACTATCGGCGCCCCTACGGCTGCGCAGTGCTGAGTATCATGGATGTGCTCCAGTCCATCTCTGAAATCAAGGAAGAGAAGGACTTTGTGCTCAAAGTTTACACGTGAGTAGCTCCTAGAAGCAAGTTTTTTGCTTCTTTATTATTCCAGCAGCTCACAGAAACTAATGAATATTATCCACAGATGTTTCAGGTGTATGAAATGCTTCAGAAGTTATTGAATATTGCCCAAATCTATGTGACTTGCAAAGCTGCTCTTTTATTAATGTGAATTATTTAAAATCTGCTGAGCTCAAACCCAAAGAAATGTTCTGCATTTCATCTGATGGAGGGAATAATAACTCATGCCTCATCTGCTATTCCTTACTACTCATGGTAACCAACAAAAGAAGTAGAAAACAACGGAAGTCGACAGCGTGTGACCAAAATTCTCAAAAGGAATCAACATTTTTTTGAGCAGGAATCTGTCTTCAGTTATTTGTAATTTTGAAATTTGAACTAACAAATTCTTATTATGAAATGTGGTCTCACAGTTGTAATAAAGAAGCCACAGACAAACTGTCTGGAGACTGCAGGGAATATTTAAATCCCTTGTCAGTGAGGATAAATACTGGCAAGATCTGTTTTGCAGATGGGCTGAGGCAGCTGACACTGCTTTGTGGTCTGTGGCCACTATTGCGAGTAATAAGATAATTTGGTGGGTTATGGAACTTTGTCATTCTTTGAGAAGTGCATTCAGCAGCAGAAAATGTGACCTTCAAGGGAAACTAAATGAAAAAATGTCTTTTACTGTTCACTGAAGATTCTTGGATGTCTCTTCATACATTAGAAATCTCTTAAGTCTTAACAAAAGTCTCTCAGAGTCAGCTCTTTCATTCTTCCTTTGCCAAAAGTTATGAAAATTGTAGCAAAAATGTCAAATTATAGGGAAGAAAATGGTCATCTTTCTTCTCTCTGTCAGTAGAATCTGGCCAGTCTTGGCCTTTTGTCACATTCAGTTTCAGCTTATCTCAGACCAGCGGGTTTTGGCTATATAGTTCTATTGGCTTTGTAGATATGGTTAATGTATTGCAACTGCAACATTTTGAATGTTTACAGAAATGGAACATTCTGATTATTAGATTTCTGTTTTGTTGCCCATTTAATGCCTCTTTAGCTTCTGAAAAATAGAACAGAAAAAACTTGTTGGAACAGTAGACTTTGTCAGTGACAAGTGGAGTCACACAGCCCTTTAGAGCAACCCACAGTCTTCATACAGTGATGAAATAAAAATCACAGGATACAGAGCTTCCCCTTTCTTCCTGCTAATCTGCAGTGTTTTGATAACATGGATTCCCTTCACAGCACCCAGAGCCCAGTTTTTGCCCAAATTCCCCAGCAGATTTGCAGCAGTCGTTCCTCATGTGGGCAGGGAGAGCGCCTGGCTGAATTCAGCTCTGTAATCAGATGTTTGTAATTCTTTATCACTATTATCACTCTCCTGGGCTGTTTTAAGGCTTGTACATCATTCTTTTATGTTGCTGCTGTTTGCAGTGTTCTGTGTAAACCTCCAGCAGAAATATTCAGGAGGGAACATGGATATATCTGAGAGGCACCAGCTCATCCCCTTGCAGCTTTGATAGCTGCTGGTCTTTCATGATAGTTTTCACAGGTTTGTCTCCTGCATCGTCTTTGCACACTGCTTTAGCTAACCTGCCTTTTCGTGTTCGTAGGCTACAATTGAAATGACAGGGTTTTGTCCTTTGGAAGTTTAAAATTGAATATGAGTGCTTAAACAGCCCTGAACTGATTTTGTTACCTGCTGCTCTCATTTTGATTACTGTTAAAATGCCTCAGGCCAACTCCGAAACATCTTAAAGATGAAATAAGGAGATAGGTGTATCTGTGTTTTTCAAGGAGCAGTAAAAAGCATTCATTTTATACACAATGTGGCTAAAGCATACAGCTGCCACAAATGAGGCAGCTAGAAAAGCCTTCTCACAGGGAGAAGCTGGAAAAAAATTGAGAGACTGTAAACCTAACAAAGGCTGAAACAAATACATGGTCTGTCAGTGGAGACTTCTGCTGAATACACAAGAGAATGCTTATGGGAGGGGAAAAAAAAATCAATTTACTTCACCAGTCTTTCTCAGCTTGTCTTATTATTGTTAAAGATTTATGTCTGAAAAATATTTTTTTTCTCACAGCTGAGATTTTCCTCTTTGTTAATCCCACAGTCATATTAAAATCTCCCTAAGAGGATAGAGTACCACAGCTGTAGTTATAAGCTCATTATGCAAAAGCATAAAGGTTTACTTTTATTATTCTTTATAATATATATATAAAATAATTTAAAAGTGAGATGGAAGTTAAATTCTCAGTCCATTTTTTCAGAAATAACTTAATATTTTGTATTAATTTTTATCTTTAATGAAATTTTTTGCTCATTGAACGTTACTCTTTGTGTTTATCTTACAATTCCTCTGAAAACTTCATGCATTTCTCTTCCATATTCACTTGTTCTGTTTCTTTTTTTCTGTCCTATTTTCTTTCAATATTTTTTTCCCTCTTTCTCCAGCCCTAGATCTTAAAATTCTTACCCGTTAATGCCTGAATGCCTTTCCCTTTTGCTGTTCCATTGTTGCTGTTTGCCCAGCTGGACAAGAGCTCACATCCCATTGCTGTCCCCAGCTGCTGACACCGGGGGCTGCTGTGGGATGGAAAACATTCCAAATGTGCATTTGCTGCACAACCAGCCAGCCTCAAAGGTGATGGATGGCTCAGGAGAAAATTCTTATTTAAAGGGGAAATAGATTCTTTTATATACTTGGTATTTGGACAAGTAAAATGTGAACACAGGGAGACACATTCCAAGCGTTTCCAGGCCAGCCTGTCCAAGCTGGGAGATCTTCCTTCCTGGCACTCAGGAAATACAAAGTGCAGCATCCACCGGCACTTGGAACAAAGCTGGCTTTAAGCTGCCTTTCCAGTTGATTTTGGGATAACTTGGTTGCAGGTTAATTTGCAGGCATAAGTCATTGGAGGCTGAAACCTATTTTAACCACTCCAGAGGCTGGTACAGTAGCTTAAAAATCACCACAGGTTAGACATTTATTTGTAACTGTGAGGAGGGAGGATGGCGTAGAGATTGTGCTATAGGTTCTCTCTCTGCTTTTAGGAGAATATTATATGGAGTAGGATAAATGACTTTTAATGTGTTGACAATGTGAAGATAATTTTTTTCTTGATGAGTGAGCTGAATTAGCACACACCACCACAATTACTGGCAGGGGTTTTGTACTGTCCATCAATGCCTTATATCTGTTGTGTTTTGATTTTGAGGGATTGTTTTGCGGAGTACAAATACAGTCAGTTTACCATTCTGTGAAGTTCTGCAAGGTCACTTCATGCTAATCTGCCTTGTGTGACTGTGGGAACCGGAGTGTCTTCTCAGAAGGGACATAATATTTACAGGAGGAGGGAAGTAGAGCAAGTGAAATGTTCTGAGTATTTAATTTCTTCCAAACTGTCTCTGTTCCTTTTGCTGTTCTAAGAACATTTGGGGGTGTCAGTAATTTTGCCCTCACAGGCTTTGGGGGTTACCTCATCATTCTTGGCAGCACATGGTTTTGCAAGACTGAAGCTGCAGGAAATTACCAGCTCCTACTTGTAGATAGCCTGAATTTCTTCTGTTCTTCAGTTACATAATGCAGCAAACAAAAACATCCCCACCGTCTTCCCAAGAGCTGGTGTGGGTCTTACCTTGGCTGTGCTGGCATGTTGTACGCTTGTGGGGAAGCAAAAAAGGGGAAAAAACGGTCATATCCTTGGAGAAATTTTGCAAAGTGATTTATTTCTCAAAACTCCTAGGAGCTGAAGCTTGGAGTATTAGCTTGTTGGTTTTTTTTTTAACCTTTAAGAGTCAATAGGACAGAAGTTTAATTAAACTGTATAATTCAATTGCTTTTCAGAAGAAATGAGATTCACTATTGCTGCTGAGTTAAAAATTGCTGACTTCATGGGGAATCATTGAATCTTGCTGTTGTGATTTAAATAAAGCACAGCTGTATTTAAAATGCAGTTAGTCTTGAGCAACATACTGCTTTTCCTTTCCTTTTTAACCAATAGCACTGTTTGTGGTAAAGGTGCCATATTTTTCACATGAGAGAAGATGAAATGGCTCATCTTTCATGTAAAAGTTTGATCAAGAGGGTCACTTCAGCTTTCTGCCTTTCTCTCCCCAGGCTGAGGGACAGTAGCCTCTGGCCTCAGAACGTGGGGCTGGTTTCCTTGGTTCCTGTCTCAGTGGTACTTCAATTCCTGCATGTTGTGCTTTGGATCTTGAGCAGAAGTGTAGCACTTATTTTCTACATGACAGAATTCAGCTAGAATGTCCAGAGCTTTCTTCATTCTGTCGTAATCTGAAGAGTGGAACAATGGCTTTGATGACAGAAGACTCATGACCAGCTCCAAAGTGTCCATTGAAAGGACATCACTATTAGAGAATATCTTATTTCCTCCCACTTGTAAAAATAAAATAAGAGTTATGTGGTATTTCTCTCATTCATCCAAACCCTACAAACTTTCATATTATCTCTACAGCAAGGTTGACTGTCGTGTTCAAAGATGGTTCTACAGAAAGCATTTAACTTGAATTAGTGTTCTTTTATTTTAGGTGTAACAATGAAAACGAATGGTGCCAGATCCATGAAAATATCATCCGCAAGTCCAGCACCAAATACACAGCCCCCAGCTCCAACTATGGTAAATATCTCCTTGAGCTTGTTCCTCAGAACAGCTGAACATCTCCTTTAGGAAACAGCTGATTATTTGTGGCAGAGAAATTCACTGAGATGTGAGGTTTTCCTTTCGTAGCTAATGACAGATAAATAGGGAAAGTAAATCCTGTCTTATCTGTTTACCTCATGTAATGATGTCTGTAGTTGCTAATTCAGAGATATCACTGCTCTCCCATTCCAAATGAAGCAGCTGATAGGATACAGTTCAGCTTCATTACAGCCAGTTCTGCATTCGTTACCAAGTGCCTGAATCACGGTGATGTCCAAATACTGAATTTGTCTTAATTTTGCTTGTTTGCATATTGAGACACTGTAGTGGAATACACGGTGCACACTCCCATAGAAGAGATTGAGCACAACAATAAGCAAATAAAACAATTTTCAAATTTGGGATTCTACTGTGTGTAAAGCTGATTTAATTCCCTGCTTCTCCTCCTGTTAAAGTTATCTACTAGTCATAATTAAAGGATCTTCCTAAATTCTTTATAACTTTGAAAACTTGAGTAACGTCTGAACTTGCAAATTTGCTCCAGTCTTTTTACACTGGAATTTTTAATTTTTTTTTTCATTGGTTTGTATTTAATAGCAAACAAGGATATAAAATGAACAAGTTTTCATGTGAGTGGCAAAACCAGCCAAGGCTGATTTCTAATGGACATGTGTCTCTTGTGTGCTGGGAAACCTTCTGTACACACAGACATCCTCATACATGGTATTCAAAGGGTTTGGATTTTTTCCATGGTTTCAGAGCCTGTGTTTTCCCTGCAGAGCTCTCCTGCCTACCCAGCTGGGCAGTTGCATGTCCATGTTTTGGCAGCTTTTGAGTACATACATGCTGACTGGCCAGCTGGCTGGTTGGCCTTTCTTTTCCTTCATTTTAGGGCTTTATGCTCATTTTTTTCATCCCAACTCCAGGTATTCATTAAATTTATACAATCCTCATGTAATCTGGGTATCTACTTATTTGGCTGAAGCCAAATAACAGGCTTGAAAATGACTTCAAGGGGAGAAGGCAGGAAGTGGGTGGGAGGTACACGATACTCCTTGTGTTCCCCTGGTAACTTGTCAGAAAATGGTGACTAAATATTGGTCACAAAGCCTAATTTCTCTTAGGAAAGAGCAGCACTTTGAATGGCTCATGCAAGAATGTGCATCCAAGGCAGGGCTTGGTTTGGTGTGTGTTGTTCTGGGCAGTGAACACAAATGACAGGAAGAGCTCTTTACGAGGAGTGACACTTAAGGAGATAAAGAATGTGGAAATTTGCTCTGTGCAGGTAATTCTCATGGATATGTGGAGCTGGTAGTGTGTGCTCAGCAGGTGAGACTGGGATTGAATGGCAGAGCTTAGTTCTGGTATTTTTTTGTATGGTGATGCTGGACTTCATAATTTTACAAGTACACTCTCCTATGCTGTAAATTAAAAGCAAGTAGAGAAAACATCTGGACTGAGATTAAGTGTGTAATTATTCCTAGTCCAGCTGTTCAGATGATACACTGAACAACAGAGCTGGTTGCTGAAGTCAGTTTGGCCAGTTTGCACTCCTGAAACATGTTGAGGAACTGCTGGGAATTTCATTAAAATCAACATCCCTCTATGAAGCAGTTAAAGAAAAGAGTGGAAAAGGTCCACTTTGAGATTTAAGTTTTCTTCATGGTATAAAGCAGGATTAAAGGCATTTTAGAGATGTTCCAGAGCTTTGTGTGGTTGGTGGTCCCTCAGACAGAGGCGGCATTGCTCATACATGTGTTATAACCTGCTGCATGTGAGGAATAGAAATAATGGAAGTGCTTTCTGTATCCTGGGACATGTCTTCAAAATTAAGTATTCTGGTTGTTATGAGTTGTATTTTAATATAATTCTGTGCTCTTAACTGATCCCTTATAACAATTTTGTTTCCTTCATTTCAATTTTCAATTACTCCAAGGGAGAAAAGAACTCTGTGTTTATGTCTTGTAATAAATTAACTGTGGAGCAAAACATTAGTTTACCTGTATGCTTTATACACACAGAATCTAATTCTTAGATCAGAAGTAATGAACCTCTTTGTTTGGTTTTTCTCCCAGGACTTATAATATCTCTTCAGCTTCTTCGTGGCGACATGGAGCAGATCCGAAGGGAAAACCCCATGATCTTTAACAGAGGCGTTTCTGTCACCAGGAAGCTGGGATTTCCTGATGTCATAATGCCAGGTAAACAGAGCAGCTCCAAGCTGAAAATGTTAGTCATTATTTTCTCTTACTCTCCCAGTCAAGTGCAGCTGGGATGGGCACTTCGCTTGAGTAAGATTTGTAACGGAGTTGTCTTATTTATCAGGAAATGCCAGATTTGGGGAGGCAAATGCTAAAACATTGTCAGGAACAGACATTGCAGTGATAGAAGGTGTTAAAATCACGTGGACAGAAGGGGATCTGGAAAGATTGCTGATATTCCCCATTAACTGATAACCCCTTGCCAGTTAATATCCCTCTTGTTCACTCAACATAGAGACATTTCTTTTTAAATGCATGAAATTTCTTCTTCCCAACAATCCAAGTCCTGGAAAAAAAAGAGTTTCCACTTTGCAACCTTGATGTTTTTGAGTTTGTGTGATCCTTTTGTAATGAGAAGCAGAGAAGGTGCAGACCTGGTCAGATTTTCCCTCTGGCCTCTCAGAGCAGCTGGTCCATGCAATGTCTTGGCTGCAGCTCTGCTGTGCTTCCTCTGCTCCTCACCTCTGGAGCAGCAGCTGGAGATGCTTCTTGGCTTGGCAGCCCCAGCACAGCCAAGAGTTCATTTAAGAGAAGAACCCAGAATGTGGGCAGTCATGCAACCACATAAAACCTGGTGTTCCAGTGGCTTGACTTTTGATAAGAAATGGGTTTGCTAATTAGTAGCATTTGAACTATTACTCTTGCTGTGATGAGCAAGCCCACAGATGACTTTACAGACATGGGAGATTTGGTGAAAGCATAATGGGAAAAGCATCAGATTTTATTACTCAAAAGGCTGCAGTGAGACATCAGTACCAGAAGTAGTTGTAGCCTCATTATGGAAGCTCTTCAGAAACCACAATACAATAGGGAGTAGGTGGGAAGCATTTCTAGAAACTAAAGAGTCAAAAGATTTAGAACAACTGTGTATATTTACTAATGAGCTTGAAGATGGTGGTAACAGAGCAGCAGAGGATGTGGGCTATAAAACCAATTATAAATTTTGGTTCTCAATGATCTTACAGCAGTTCCAGGCATAACCCAAAGCACTCAAACAGGGAAAAGATGTATTATTTCAGGCTGATGTACAGACACAGCAGCTGCAAGGTGATCTGCTGTAATTGAGATCACAGCTGGATGTGTCACATTTACACACCTGTGCAAGGGAATTGATTCTCCTGCAAGAACTGCTTGATCCTCCATTTCTGTGGATAAAGCTGTACCTCAGGTGCTTCAGGCTACTGAAGGAACAGCTTTGTGTCCTCAGTGTTCCCCTCAGCAATTTTTTTTTTGTTTTTCTGGGCCCTGGCCCCTCTGTGAAGTGCACAGTGGGTCCCCTGTATTTGCTGCTTTGGGCCAGGGCTTGAGCAAACAGCAGCAGTGCTCATAAAAAAAGTACTGCCCTAAGCTTTTAAAATTCTCCGTTCATTGCAGCTAATCCATTTCCAGATTCTCTTTGTGAGAACTACAGTTCTTTTTGGAGAAGACACTGGGGTTTTAAGATGATATCCTGCCTCTCTAGAGGATCTGGGCACAGAACTTCTCCTTGATTCCAGGTGTGCTACAAGAGGTTTTCATATATTGAGTTTAGATGCAAAGCTTTAGGCATTGTAAGAATAATGGTTCTATTTGTGAGGGAAGGCAGTTTGTATGTGTCTGTAAGCACCAAGTAGGAAGAGCAAAGCAGTTGAGGAAGTATAACTACAGTGAAAGTTCATTTACAAATGAGGACATTGCCAGAGTAGAGAGGAGCTCTACTCTCTGTGAAGAGAGGGATAGTCATGAATGGGGCTCCAAAAAAACATCTTTCATTGTCTTGGGTATTCTCCAGATTAATGAAATCTCTGGAAAATGAAGAGATTGAAATGTAGTGGAAATCCACTGATGCAGCAAACAGTGTTCATTAATTACTAACCAAGGGTTTTTTTGGAAATCAAAGTATGCTTGACATACTCAAGTGACAGCAGATATTTGCCTGTTGTTTGCTTTTAAAACAACAGATCCAGCTGGGGGTGGAGTTTGCCTGACATCCAGGACAGAACATTTGGCTTGTGTCACCTTTGAGGTGGATTGGCCCAGCTACATGAACAAGGAATGTCTATCAATTCACTTTGTGCTTATATTTCTACAGCCAGGATCAAACATTCATTGCTTTATGAGTATTGTCTGAAGTTGAAAAATAATTCACTGGGGACACACATGACCAAAAAAAGAATCAAAAAAACCCCAGCCAAAGACTGAAGCCTGTCACACATATTAGCAGTCCTCAGCCATGTCTGCTGCTTTAATAGTCTTTGTCAAGCCATCTCTTCCTTGCTTTGCTTCAGAACTGTTTGCCATTAAACACAGGGTTTCCTCTTCCAGAAGACTGCACAGAAAGTTCATGGCTTGTATTTTGCAAGTGGTACAGATTTTTCAGGACAGTGTGGCTTGAAAATGTTTTTTATGAATCAATTAATAAAGGTTATGTCACCTGGTACTTTTTAAAAAGCAGTGATCATTCTGCTGAACCAAGAAATCTATTTTTAAAAAAGTAAATAGCTCTAGCACTTCAACTTAATTATATTTGTCATAGGTTTGAATGTTTTCATTTTCTTTTTTAACAGGAAATCCTTTCACATGTGTACATCTTAACTGTTAAAATTCTGTAGCTGTGTCTCATTACTGTATTCCTATCCCTTTTTGTGTTCTAGACAGTAGCATTAGCTCCCTGTATCAAGCACTCTTTTTCTGTCCCTCAGATAGGAGCAACATCAGTGGTAGCTGGTCATCATTAAGAAACAAAATGAAACTGGTCTTTATGGGTTTGTATTATGCATGGTTATGCAGAACAAGCTTAATATTATACAAAACAACTCTTCCTGCCTTCCTTTGTAAAGATAAAATGTTCGTTGTTTCCTACTGTGTTGTAATCTGACAAGAGCATCATAAAGACTTCAGATATCTTTTTTTGGCAAAATCAAAGGGAATTCGGTCAAACCAGCCTCCTGATGAAGTTATGGTGGGGTTTTATTCATTTGTGGTTTGGTTTTTTTTTCCATATCTTTTCTAAATTGCTCCTGAATTTAAAGCCATGCATCTGATCCTGCCAATTTTACCTTTCCCCGAGCTGAGAGCAGAGAGGCCTGTGCTGCTCCTTGGGGATTGCAGCTGGGCTTTGTGCAGGACTTGCTGAGCAGAAATCTGTTGAACAGGCTTGGTGTTTGTCAGTCCCCCAAGGACATCCCTCCCCTTGCCCATGTGCTGATAAATATTCTGTCTTTTCCTTTGATCCTCTGATGAAAAGTGCATGCTTCATCTCCGACTCGTGAGTGATGTTTCTTTCTCTTTTTTCTCTCTCCTTGTCTTAATTTCCTGGCTTCTCTCCTGTTCCTTTCCCTTTATTCTCTCCCCTTTGTTTCTGATGCAGAGATGAAGATTGTTGGGTGTAAGTTTCTGCTTTTCTGTGTAATGTCTGCTTTTTGCTTGCTTTTTTTCCATTTCCATCTCTTCCATGGAATGTTGGGATTGATAAAGACAACGAATCATAACAACACAGAGAAACTTTGGTAACAGGGAGGTGGAGACTTTGTCTCTTCATACCTCAGGGTTTCAGGTAAATTTAGTAACTGTGATGGGTGAATCTGTGAGAAACAGGTGATTAACATCTCAGCATCTGTTCAGTCAGTGAGCACAAAGTCATGGCAAAAGTACATTGAGGAAAGGACATGGTAAAATCCATCAGCCATTCTCAGAATGTTCATGGCAAGAGTGTTAACAAGACCAAAAGACATAATTATGTAATAACTATCACCAAAAAGTGTCTACAGGGAGAGTATAAAGTATTATTGTTATAAATAAACTTGTGGAAGCGGAAAGTTGGAGGAGACAAAAAGCATTAAAAAACAACTTCCTACTACTGAAAGGCAACTATTCCAGGGAAATCACTGCATTATAGAGGGCATTGTATAAATTCTTTTCTATACATAGAAGTCAAACAATGGGTAGCAAATAACCTAATAAGTATTGCTTTTCCCTTTTCTTTGAAACAATTGTGTTCTGTTCAGTGAAAGCTGGAGGAGCACACAGAGTTTAACTTGCATAATGTCCTCTTCGGAGAAAAAAAAAAAGCTAATTTAATTTGCCATAGAGGCAGCAGATAAAAGCTGCTGTAATATTGCTTACAATTGTGTTAATAGTTGCTCACTGTAACTATTTCAAGAATATGGGCCTTAAAAAAAACCTGCTGCCTGGCTGGTGAAGGGGCAGAGAAATGAGCTCCTGAAATGGATGGAATGGGATTCCCAGAGTGTGGGACAGTGCCAGGAATACAGTGGGAATATGGGGGGGCTTCACAGGGCTGTCAGGGGGATGTCACTGGTAAAGCCAGGGAAAATCACCCAGTGGGAGGATGAGACTGGGAACGAGTCCCAGAGGAGCACCAGAAAGCAGGCCAGGGGTGTTGCAGACCCTCCCCACTGATGCTTGGCCAGTTGGTCCTTGTCCCTTTGGTTTGGAGGAGTGATGTGATGAGCACAAGCTGCTCCTGTCAGCTCAGTTGTGCTGAAGTCCCTGCCCTTCCCAGGTAGCTGTGTTTGCACTGGAAGCAGCTGCAGCTCCAGGTGAGGGTGGAGTTTTGCTCTTTGAGATCAGGGACCCATCACTGGCCCCCTCCAAAGCAGCAGCTTCCAGGGAAGACCATCCAGAGAGGGAATGTCCAGGGTCATGTGAGAGCCTGAGCCAGGAAGCAGAGCAGTTCCCCTGCAAAGAGCTTGAACAAATACAGCCACAACATGTGATAGCACTGCACATGAACAGAAATCCTCTACACTTCATGATTTGCTTCAGAGCTTTTCCTTGCTGGCCCAAGTCCTCAGTTTGAGCTGCTGTAACTTGGCTCAGGTCATTGGGGTGATGCTGATTGGCTCTGGTTGTTCATTTACAGATGGGACATAAATGCACAGGTTTGGGTTTTCTTCAGAAGCCATTGTGGAAGATATTCCGATTATCTTTCTTGCCCATTCACTCTTCTGTGAAATGCCACTATTTTTGAAGAAATGCCAAACCCAGGGGTGTTAGTCCAGCAGACAGTGCATCATGTGTGAGGCCCTAAGTGAATAGGGCCAGCTGAGCAATTTGATAAAAATAGACCTAAACACTGATATTCTGATTTTTTTCCCTTGGCTGCCTAAATAGTTAAAGATTAAACTTCCACCTTAAAAAATCCAATATTCTCTGGATAAATAGCTATTTTACTTAGTTGAAACTAGACCTACACATGCAGACTTCTGGGAGCTGCCACTTTTCCCCAGCTTGCAGAGATACATTATGTGTCCACAAAGTCACAAAACATTCCCAGCTCACAAAAATAATTTGCTAGAATTGAGTGATCAGAAATTTGTGTCTGTCTCTCCTGCAGAAACTTCTGTGAATTATGTACCCTTTTTTGATACAGTATTCTTCTGCACAAAACAGGGACCATTCCCGTCCTCAGTGTCCAAAATCTTTAGGATCCCTGAATAAATGTGTTTGAATTCAGACAGTTCATGTAAATTGTTGCTATTTTGCAGTTAAAGTCAGTCTTCCACTGGAAAAGCTACACACCCTGTCAGGTTATACCCCCATTTCTTCTGCTGGGCAGCAGACAAGGAGTGGCTGTTGGGCTGCTTCAGGTTATTAAGTCTTGAAAATGATAAATGACTATTTGGAAGTCTCCCAGTACATTCCTTTATACTGCAAATGCAAAATCAATATTTGGCTCATGTAGCCTTTTCCACCACTCCTTTTTGCCCCCATTACTATTAAAATAGTTTTAGGTGATATGAGAAAGGATTTCCTTTCAACACAAGTGAACCTCCCCAAGCTATGATTTATAGTTTAAACAACTGTATGTTGGACATTGAGCTTTGTAAACAGGTTAAAACAAACAAAACAAAACCCCAATAAAGGTGAAGGGAGTTGATAAAGGAAGAGCCCCATAACACATTATTTTTTAATATTATAAAGGAAAATACTGTCTTTCAAGGTATTTGATACAGAATTAATGTCAGTAACCATGTATATAAAAGGTGCATGGATTATGCTAAAAGGAAGTTTAGTTTTGTTTTTAACTGGAAAACAATTGTAGAGAAATGGGCTTTGAAACAAATCCCATTCTGAAAACTCTTGTGAGGTTTTCAGTTCATCCTTGACAGCCACCCAGCAGAGCGATCTCAGTTTAAAATTGCATCAGTAGGCTTTGCTCTATAAATACTGTGGCCCACTGGCCTTGTAGCACTTTTTATCCCTGTTCTGATGATGGGAGGCCACAGCTCACCCAGTTTTTCGCTCTGTGCTGCTGTTTGTGAAGACCTGAGGCCTCTGTGGTCCAAGCTGAGGTACCTGCCTGGTTTTCCCCCAAAATGCAGGATTTGCTGTCACAAGCATGGGGCTATTTGTGCAGGCATTTGCAGGAATGGTCTGACATCTTCCACAAGTTCATTATTTATCTCTTTGTTTCTTTCCAATGGAATTAACCCAGCCAAGCCCTGCGTGCCCAGGTTCCTGCCTCGGCTGTTGGTGGGGTTGGAGCTGCCCAGGCCTCTCCTGGTGCCACCATGGACAGTCCTGTGCCAGCTGTCCCCTGTCTGCTCCCCTGTGTGCCCAGCCCCACGTGGAACTGAGCTTTCTCTCTGGCCCTGCACACTCAGAGCAGAGATTGCAATAATAAATAAAATAAATAAACTGCTCTGCGCTCAAGCTTTTGCTTTGGGCTAGCAGAGTTCAAATCCCTCAAAAGCACTAGCAATAACAAAAAAACCCAAAAGGCTTGTGAGGCCTCAGGTCAACTGATATGTTAGGAAAAGGAGATTGCTCCTTGTAGGAAGGTGATTTCCACCAAAATAATCACCCTACCTGATGGTGAAATGCTTTTTGTCTTTCTTAGATACATTTACTTCCTATTTTTACTGTATGCAGTGACCTTTTGTAGACTATTTTTACAAGAGAAGATCACTGTTATATTTCACTATAATACTTTTTCCCATCTTTTTCCTTAGTTTTTATGCAAATCCACTGATTTTAAGATCCCTCTACACCCCGCCCCAAAGGCATTTTTTTTAATTAGTGGAGTAATATCCCTCCTGTTAAGCTTAATAGAAGATAAGATGCTATATATAACTAAATGCTACCTTTAATTTAGGCTGGAAAATTATTTGATATCTGACATTGGACTTTGTGTAGCCAGACTGCCTTCTAGAAAAGAGGTCATAAGTAGGGAGCTCCAAAATGCTAATTATAGTGAGTACAATTAATTTCTATTAAGATTTACAGCATAAAAATTGAAACTTTTTTCCTAACTGTGCAAACTTCCAAGATAAAAGGATGGCATCTGTTAAGCAGGAGGATTTTTAAAACAAAAGGCCAAACTTAAACCATATTTTGTGATGAATTTTGTATTTCCTTGATATCCCTATAATAAGGATAGAGGTATCTCAGCTTGATTTTGATAATTTTCTCTGTTGTGGCCCATGGATTGTTGCATTTGATGCTGTGCTTTGATAAGCCAAACCAGATCCAATATCCAAGGTTTTTCACAAGCTCTTGCTGTCATCTTTTCCCTGTTGATGCCCCCTGGCAGCTCAGCCTCTGCCTGGGAGGTGTTCCCAGCACTGACCCTGCAGGAGAGGGAGGCTCCTGGAGAAAGAAGCCTGTTCTGCACACAGATTCCCATTCACACACAGCTCCTAGTAGGAAGCACTGCCTGGCAGCCACAGAGCTGGATTTTCCATGCTGAAAGAGTTGTACTTATCTCCAGAAATAAAATAGAAAGCAAAGGCACGACTAAAAGCTTCTATTGTTTGTCCCTACAGTAGATTAAGGAACAAGTTCTGTGGGGTTTTAGACTTCAGGAGGAATTTGAAGTGCTGCTTTGAGGGGCACAAAAGGATGTCCCTCAATGCCTGAAAGCAAATGTGCTGCCTTACTTCATTGTGCTTCTGATTAATACAGAGATTTAACTGCATCAGCTTCTCCAAGTGGAAGAAGTCAGATGTTGAAGGAGTCTCTGCTTTGTTCCATTACTTCGTTATTTAGTATCTTGGGGCTGATTAACAAAATACTTGCCTTGAAAGGATTTACTTCTTTTTCTTTTTTCTTTTTTTTTTTTTTTTTTTTTTTTTTTGTATTTTTATATATTGCCCTTTAGTATGTTTGCTTTTCTGGCAAGTAAAAAGAAATATTAAGTGTGAACCATCATAAAATGGTGACAGTAACTAAATCTTACATAAAAATAGGTGTTACCTGCTGTCCCTTTGGTGCAGACTTTAGAATTGACCACATTAGTTTTGAAAGCAGTTTCCCAAATCAGATTCTAAAATAAAAACAAACCAAGCGAACGAGAGTCTGTGAAATTCAGGGTAACAAGATGCTGAGACACAAGTATTTCTATTTCTGAATTTAGTAAATGACGTAGTGCGAAGCTGGCAATTGTCCATAGTGGCTGCTTTCATATAGCCATACATATGGGTACCAGAGGCCAGCCAGAAATCTAGCAAAAATTACATTTATAATTCCTTCCTAATCCATCTGAACTGAATTGTGATCAGGTTCCCAAAAAGGCTGCTTGTATTTTGTTATGATAAAAGGAAATTATGAAAATGTAGAAAACGTTTGAAAGGCTAACTGAACATAATGTTATTCTGATCATCACAAAAATACTTATTTTTCATAAAATATGTTGGAAATAGGAAGTCTGAAGCTAAGGATATTTTGTCAGGCTCAGCCTGACAATTCCAGCTCAGCTAACAAGGCACAGTATAGCAGTAAGAGGTTTTTTCCCTTCTCCACTTACATAATTAAAACCAGTATTGATTCTGAGTTCACATTATTAAAGGCATTACTAACAACAGTCTGATTTTATGCACTGATGTTAAACTGTTCATCCTTATTAACAATTAACTTGCTGCTTGGAATGATTTGGGCATCAGCCATGGTCTCTCAGAACACAGAGAACGATTTGCAGAATGGAGCTGGGACGCCCCCGGTGTCCCCTGTGGAGTTTAAGGCTGTGGCTCTGCTCTGTCCCTGCAGGTGACATCCGGAATGACCTGTACCTGACCCTGGAGAAGGGGGACTTCGAACGGGGTGGCAAAAGTGTGCAGAAGAACATCGAGGTGACCATGTATGTGCTCTATGCTGACGGAGAAATCCTGAAGGTAAGAGCTCCTCTCCCTGGGAGCCTCAGGTGCTCCCTGTGGGGACACATCCTCTTGCTCCAGAGTCTCTGATGCGATGCAGGAATTAAAATAAAACTGGCTCTCTCATTTTTTTTTAATTTTTTTTTTTCTTAAGTTTGTAAGCTCTATTTATGGTCAGTTATAAATCTGTAAGAATTTGGAGCAGTTCCCTTATATGGGGATAGAAGACTTGGAGAAAATACTCATAAACTGAAAAGCCTGTGTGATTTCAAAATGTGATGTCAGCGGCTAAAGTAAAAAAATATAGAGTAACTGTAATCAGAGCTGAGGAGTATATGGCATATCTAAAATTAAATAATATGTGTCATACAACACCTTGAAATGTGATTCCGAGGGAGACTTCTAAGACTGAGTTGTTGGGTTACAGTACTGAATGTAGTTCTGGAAAATAACTTTGAATAAAATTTCACCCTGGGTTGGCTCCATTCCAGCTGGGGATGGGGATTCTCTGTGTTTCCTGTTTTATCTCCTCTGTTCTTTTAGTTTTATTGAAGAGAAGGAGGTGGGTGGGAGGTTGTGAATGTAGAGAAGTAAACAGGAAGTATTTCAGCATGAGCAGCTATCAGAAGTAACTTCACCCTACCTTTTCTTTTACCTCTGTCACAATAAAATCGGCCATTACTGTGGAGAATCTAAACACCTAAAAGTGTGCACTGAATACATAACCACAATCTTCTGGTTTTAATTGAAAGGAGAACTTCCATTACTACTTGTGATTTCTTTAAAAGTAAAGTGTATTTCTTGTAAGGGACTCGTTTGTGCTCAGAGCTGCTGCAAGAAGATCAGATTCCTTTTCAAACTGAGTGGCAAAGTTTTAATCATCAGTTGATATCAGTGTGCTGAGGACAAAGAGAAGTGCCTCCAACTGCAATATCAGCATCTTCATATGCTAATGTACATAATGGTGCCTAATGATAACTTACAAAAGCCAGGTAATTTCTAGACATTATCGGTCTTAACTTCGGTGATTTTGGTTGGAATGGTCATTCACAGAGATGAAGTTGGTTTTTCATTACACAGGACAGGAGGAAATTCCCAGAGTTTTCATCTGATATTAGAGTAAAATCCTTAAATTTGTCCCAGCCAGCAGCACAATCCAAATCTGAATTGTGCCTTTGTGAAGCCGTTAGCAGAACCATGCACAGGATTAATGAGAATTTTCTCAGCTCCTCATTGCTGCTGAATGTATCTTGATCCAGAAAGAGTCCTATTGAAAGGAGTGAAATTACCTCCAGAATGTAGTGCTGTTCAAAATGAAAATGAGTATTTCCTTCTCAAAATGGCCTTACTCAATTGTTAGTATCTTTCAATATAGTCTGAAAAATTAAAAAAGGAAAAAATCCTTTGACACATTTCTCACTTCTTTCTGTTCCAGCAGCAGGAATAGCCTATGAATTGCAAGGCACACCTTTACCAATAGAAATTTCCTGATAGTTTTTCTAGTTTAGCTTCCCTTCCCTGCCTCTGCCCTCTAATTCCCCTACATATTTTCATCTCAGGGTCACCAGGTGTCTGAAGATTAGTCTGATGTTTGTATTTTGCAGATCACAATTTAGAATTAAAGATTTACTAGTCTGCCCTCCTCAGACTATAGATTGTAGAATAACTGCATGGGAAGAAAGTTAACAGGAAGGAGAGACTATTCATTTATTTGAAGTTTACAGCATGAAACTGCATTTAGAAACTGGCCATTTATCAGTCAGAGTAGGTTGATGGCTTCTTGATGGGATGAAAAAAGCTCACATTAAAATTTGAATTTTTACTGTACCTTGTAGAGGAAATAGAACTACTGTTTTGTTTGCTCCTAAGAGCCTAATGCAGAATGATGTTTTGGAATTACTGTGTTGAAGCCCAACCATTTACTTTTGCTACAGAACAGAACTGGGATCCTAAAGGTGTTCTGGGTTTCAGTACTGGCACTGCTCTCTACTAACCGGCTGTTATCTGCAACACATAATTCTTGTTGCTGTATTAAAAAAAATATGGGGTTGTGGTTCATCCCATGTGGTTGCTGAGGATTATTTGAGAGGACTGAGTTGTGTGAGTTCAGCCTTCAGTCACTCAGTTTGGATCAGAGCTTTTGCAGTCTCTGTCCACGTAGGCTGTCCTTGCATTGTGTTCCAGAATTCCAGAGAGCTTTTCTTCCCTTTTGGGCTCCTTCACAAATTCTTAACTTTCTCAAAGCCAGCAGATTATTGCCAGAGGTTGAACTAACTGCCTCTGATTAATGGGATGTTCTTGACTAGGCAGTCAGATAGTTACAGATTAAAAAATCCCAACACTTCTGGTATTTTCTTGGGATGGAACTTACAGATGCCTTGGGGAAATAACTAGTAGTTCTTGTCATCATACTGTTCCATGGATTTTTTTTACATCAGAATTTATATTACATGTGTTATTCTTGGTCTGCTTAGCTTGTTTCTTCCTGGATTCATTATCCTTGGACATGCTAAAAGTGAAGAATCTCCAAGCTGTCTTTTTTTCTGCTTAGTTTTATGAGATGTTGCATCTCCTGGATCTCTTTGTAAGTGCTGGTTCTAGAGCATGGGTTAGTGCTTATACATAAAAAAATGTGCTTCCTGCTCCATGTCTTTATCACAAAGGACCTTTTACTGTCCTTATTTCAGGACTTCGATATTTATCTTATTTTCCTTCACTTGTATTCTAAGGATTTTTTATTTTCTTTATCTGTATTTTGAGAAGGCATAGATTGGGCAAGCTCTCTGAGTTTGTTATATCTGAAGGCAGAAATTTAGATCCAATTATGTTTTTAGGTGATGAGTATTACACAGAAATTCTTTGCTTCCCACTGAGGAAGTAACTTGATTAGAATTTTCTGGGATACTTGGTGAGGATGGATAGTTGTAGTTTTGAAAGATGAACATTTGTAAAGAGCTTGGAAAGGTCAGTTAACACTTCTGAACTGAGATACTGAAGCAGAAATCTGGTTAAAAGATATTTTCACAGAAGGCTAATATTAAAAGTTATGGTCCTATTATGTCCTATTTTTTGGACTCAGTTTGGACTTAGGTGTTTATTGTATCTACTCAGTGCTTGATGGAAAACTTAGCTTAAGATAATAACTTAAGATACTGGGATTCATCCAGTTTCACAGGTCTCTTTGTTCACCCTTTGACCCAAAACAAAGTTTCAGGATCGCCTAAAAAATTTCACATTTCACTGTGTCTGAATTTCTGCTTCTGACTCTTTTGTGTCCACAGAAAGCCATGAACTATATCAAGCTTATCACCGGGTAATAAAATGACTCCTGGCTGGTGATGTGATGTGTTTAATGCTGGATTGTTTCCTTTGGTGGCAGGACTGCATCAGCCTGGGCTCGGGGGAGCCGAGCAGGAGCGCCTACCACTCCTTTGTGCTGTACCACAACAACAGCCCGCGCTGGGGGGAGATCATCAAACTGCCCATCCCCATCGACCGCTTCCGCGGCTCCCACCTGCGCTTCGAGTTCCGCCACTGCTCCAGTGAGTGCCCCCCTGGCCAGGGCAAGTCCAAAAGGCCCCAGCTCCTTCCACTGCCAGTTAAATCTGGATGGAAAGCAGGAAAGAGAGGCCAGCCTGCAATACAGTGAAGGGGCATTGCTAAGCAGCCTTTTGCTGAATTTATCAAGCAGCACACAAAAACACGGTGAACAATCAGTGCAGGCCAAAGCGCTTTGTAGATGTTTGTCCCTGCTGTTCTTTTGTTGTGTTTTTCTGTAGAATGTTTTCTTTGCAGGATAAACAGTTTAGATTTTTCTATGTTTGGCATATTTGTGTTTGATTTGAAGCTTGTCAGTCCTTTACATAGAACTAGAAAAAAGAAATTAGAATTAGAAAAGTTGTTTGTTCTGTAAGATGCTTGTTTACTTTTAGGCATGTGGAGAAGTTGGTGAGTAATCTTGTATATATTGACAGACAGGGTATGCACAAATACAATTCCTTCTTTCTATCTCTTGCTGCAGCAAAGGACAAGGGAGAAAAGAAGCTCTTTGGTTTTGCATTCACCCCATTGATGAGAGATGATGGCACGACCTTGTCGGATGATATCCATGAGCTTTATGTTTATAAGGTACCAGCTCTCTGCAGACTTTTCACTGCTCATCTCTACTTCAGTACTTAAATGAGTAATGGTCATTACATTATTCTTCTCTCCCTTATTAGAAGTGTGTGAGGAACAGATTAATAGTAGTTTCAAAATTTTATACATCCAAAATCACATGGTTTGGGTAGAGCCTTCTATTCTAGGTGCAGCTCACCTTTTCCATCCTGATGATGATGATTTATCTGCTATTAATCCCATCCATTTTGACTTCAAACACACTGGTGTTCATGAGCATTCAGCACTTCTACCAGCCTAAGGCATTGCTCTGTGCCTTTGTAAGATGACATTGTGCTGGATTCAAATGCCTTGTGCTGCAGTGCCACAGCCCTGCAGCAAGAGATTTGGGCTTTGGGGTTTTTTCTTCCTGCTGATTCACCTGGGTTTATTTGTTCAGTATAATTTTCAGGCAGCATCCTAAGTTTACATCTGGAAGATCTGGTGAGTTCTAACGAGGCAATGGTTGGAGACCACTCTGTAGAGCTGGGTCTGTTCTGGGCGTGTCCAGGCCCCCAAGCACAGTTTTTCCTTAGAAGTGTGGGTGTGCACCCACAAAAATCCCAACACAGGCACTGTTGGGGAACTGCTGACAGGCTGTGGGCGTGTGGGATGAGATGGACAAGGTACAGCTCCATCCCTTGTGCTGTCCCTGCAGTGTGATGAGAACAGCACGTTCAACAACCACGCGCTGTACCTGGGGCTGCCCTGCTGCAAGGAGGATTACAACGGCTGCCCCAACATCCCCTCCAGCCTCATCTTCCAGCGCAGCACCAAAGAGACCTTCTCAGTCTCCACACAGCTCTCTTCTACCAAACTGACCCAGAATGGTGAGTTGCTGACCCCTCAGAACTGCCCAAGGCAGCAGGAATTAGGAAAGAGAGAGAAAAAATTCACTATTAGCACTTCCACACAATCCAGAGTTTGTTTTGCTTGACTTTTACAGAGCAGCTAAGTAAATAAGGGTTTTTTTACAGGAATGGCCCTAAGGTACAAGCAGGCAGGAGTGGATTGTCCACAGTGCAGTGTCAAGTCACACAGAGAAAAAGGCAGCCTTTACTCTCTTCAAAGCACTTAACCATTCCTTCATTCCTTTCTCTGTTAGCAGTATTGACTTACTCTATATTGTACTTATATATAGTATACATAAAGATAGATAGATAGATAGATAGATAGATAGATAGATAGATAGATAGATAGATAATTTCCCAAGAAGTGTGGACTGCATCAAGAGGTGAAGTGCAAATTGATCGAATCTCTGATGGGTCTGGGGTTGCCATTCTTCCCTCTGTGTGTGGTTCTAGCTCTCCCTCCCTCTCTCTGCAGTGGATCTGCTTGCCCTGCTCAAATGGAAAGCTTACCCAGATCGAGTGATGGATATTCTGGGAAGACTGAGACATGTCAGTGGCGAGGAGATTGTTAAGGTAATACATGAAATAACAGCCTTTGGATGTATCTGCGATAGGCAGTGAGTTCAGACCTGCAGGCTGCTTCTGAAGGCTCCCTCTTACTGTGCTTTTTGATTCACACTGTGAACTTCCACCCTGTATGAATTGGGATTTTATTATGACAGGAAACTGGGCAGGAAGATACACTTGAGAAATTATTGCACAGTCAGTCTGTGGGATCAAACCAGAGCTAATCCTTAGTCAAATGCTCTCAGCCACATGTGCTGGGTCCGCAGCACCAGTGGTGCCAGTCTGCAGACCTACGCAGCTGCTGGTGCAGACACAGACCCTGGCAGGGGCTCTCTGCTGCTTCCAGCCAGCAGTGCACCACTGCTCTGTCTGCCAGCTCGTCATTTCACCGGGTTTTGTAGCCAGTGTCGCTCCACATGATAATCTTGGGTGGCCTGAGCTTCCTTAGGGGCCAGGAACTTCCAACTGCGTTTGAATACTTGTGGTCTCGGCAAAACAAAGTGCATTCCAGATATGCCCCAATAATCTTTGGTGTACTGGGAACTCTTCCTAGGATTTATTTCTATAAATCTGGATGTAAAAGCTGATTTCTAACACAAACAACCAAGGAGAAGAAACTGAAGACAAGTCCTATCACTTAATAAGTAGTTTATCATTAAAGCCACTTCACTGTAAGTAATTTGAGTGTTGCCATATCTGGAATATTACTCTTTATGATAACTTGATAACAGCAACAGGGGAGCAAAAATCCCATTTATACTGGAATTCTTCAAGAATGTCATGTTTTTTACACTTTGTTTGTAGGGCAGTATAAGTATCTGATTTTTATAGAGAAAGAAAAAGGAAGATATGGGTTGAATTATTTCATGGAGAGAAGTAATTGACTCTCCCCATAAATCAGCTGTCATTTGGCACTGGGATATGAAGAACAGAATATAATAATTCAGAAAAAAAAGACATTTTATCATTTCAGAGACTTCATAAATTGTTATAATTTATTTCTTGTTGTCAGCATCAGAAATTTAAGTAGAGTAAATTAAAAAATCATGGGAGAATGTATAGTTAATGATCTCTAGCACTGTCCTTCACACTCATCCTTTTGGAGACTCTGCTTTCAGAAAGAAAATCACTGAACTGTCAGTGCTCAACTGACAGTTGTGGAGTTAAGGGTGAAAGAAGCAATTGGCAACATACAACTTGCCCCAGTTAATGCTTGTTAGAAAAGCTTTCTGTCTTTTAACAAAAATTTAAATATTAAACACAATTTAATGTACTGCCCAGCCTCAGATTTGATGCTGAACAGTACCTGAGACTCTAAAGATCTGAGAGTGAGAGCAAGTTGTTTTGCCACTGGTATCAGGCAGCACTTCCAGTCAGCTTAAAGTGAGAGGAACACTCAGTCAAAATTACAAATCAGGTATATAATACATATTTCCTATATTTTGGTTTTCTGTCATTTTTGTTTGAAAATAGTCCTTGCAAAGAGGAAAAAAAAATTTTAGTAAAATCAAATTAAAACCTGTCACATCACTTGGGTGAACCTGAAGTGATTTGTCCTTGGCAAGTGTTTCACAAAGATATTAACATGTATGAACTAGTTGAAGCAGGGGAGAAATAACCTTTTGAATATAATTTAAGTTTAAATTCTTTGTTCATGTCATTTTAGTTCTTACAAGATATTCTGGACACATTGTTTGTAGTTTTGGATGACAACACAGAGAAGTACGGTCTGTTGGTGTTTCAGTCTCTGGTAAGCTGCTGGATTGTTATTTATCTCATGCTCAGTGAGTTTTAAGTTTCCTATGATCATGTTGCTGGTATTGTGCTTCTGTCAAATATGAAATACTCAGCTGGATCCAGCTGTGTTTCCTGTAATGGGTGAGGAGGGCAGGCTGACCTCAGCACATCCAGGGGCAGCAGTATTTGCTCTCACATGGGAGAAGCAACAAATAATACCTTATAACACAGCTGTGACTGTTTAAAGCAACTCATGTATTTGAATGCTCCTTACCTTGTTCACTTGTCTGTGGTCACTTGGCAGCAATGTGCAATTCCTTGAGTTGGGTTCCCTTCTCCATTCCCCAGGTGTTCATCATCAACCTGCTCCGTGACAGCAAGTACTTCCACTTCCGCCCTGTGATGGACACCTACATCCAGAAGCACTTTGCAGGAGCTCTGGCTTACAAGTAGGTCTTGTGTTCTTCCCTTTGAGAGGTGGCATCACCAAGCTTGGGAATGGTGGCACCATCAGGATGACAACCATCCTGGCAGCAGTGTCCCCAAAAGTAGAGCTACTCACATGGAAGTTTTCCAGCACAGCTGCAGGGAAAAGCTGCCCGATGTCATGAGTGGCTGAGCGTGGCCACACTGGGCATTTCTCTTGCTCTTCTGGACTGGAAAATCTTTCTTTTTTATTTATTTTTTTTAATTGAAGAGACAGCAACAACTCATTACAGTCTGTAGTCTATACAAATGAGCTACCAAGAGCATATGCATTCCTCATCTTAAGGATGCTGGGATGCACAACTTGTGTGAAAGCTTAGAGAACTAATTGTAACTTCTGAAGTGGACAGGTATTCACATAAGATGTTCTATTTGATTACAGTTTAATTTCAGTAGATCAGAAATGTAAATTTCACTCTCACTTTGAAGATTCTGCCTTATTTTCTGGTATTCAAAAGAGTCTCGCACCAGAGAATAAGACAATTTTCGAAAGAGTAACAGTTACCCTTCAGGGTGTTGTTTTTCCTTTCTTTTAGACCACTGCTTTTATATATCTGAGTGTATTCTATCTTTGGCCACAATAAAATATAAAAAAAGCTAATAATTGCTTTTGGTTCTTTAAAGCAATTCATATTTTTATGTAGTTAAAATAAAGAATACTCTATGAATGGTAGGTAAAAACCCATAGATAATATACACCACTGGAAGGCATAGTCATGTTCAGAGAGTAAAAGGTGTTCTGCTTTGTGTTAATTAGCACCTCTTTCAGACAAAATAAATGTTTTTGGTAGTCTGATGTCTGAAATAAAACATGAGTTTAATACAGTTTTGTAAGTTAGTCCAGATGGTCTCGTGTAGTTAACATAATAGATGCAGGTATTTTCTTTGTGATCTGTTTCTAAAAGCTTACTGAGATGAGAGCTGGGATTTCTTATTAAAACAGATGTATATTTTGGTCTTAGAACCATGCCTTTATCAAAGCTGTCTCTCTAGTAACATCTTTTTTATGTTCTCTTAGTGTTCCTCATGGTCCAAGTGAATTACAGAGAAAAAAATCATCTTCTGGTTTTGAAACTTAAATAAATGTAAATACTATGTAAATTCATTATTAAGTACAGATGTAACTGACCACTGAAATAAAGTGAAATGAGACTGGTTTAGAGATCTCTCCCTAAAACCAAAATGTTTGATGACTGTCAAACCTGGTGCTGAAGGTTGCTCTTCACTGCCTGTTCCCTCAGGGAGCTGATCCGTTGTCTGAAGTGGTACATGGACCGCTCGGCCGAGCTCGTGCGCCAGGACCACATCCAGGAGGCAATGAGAGTAGGTATCCAATGGGAGCACTGCTGTCTGCTCCTCTGGCACCACAGAGGGGCTGGGAAGCTGTAAATGGAATCAAGGGTAGTGTGGTACTGGCTTCCTATAATTGTTTAACTGGATTTTTTTATATATAGCTACAATTTTAGTTTTAGGGGGAGATTCATTCTTGTGCTGAAAAGATTGAAAGAGTTAAATCCCCTTAAGCCCTGTTGCAACCCTGTGGAGAACTTAAATGGGACTTACATCCATGGCCAGTGCATAAATACTCCATTGGTGTGGGCTACACCTTGCCCTTCAAGCAGCAGTAGTTTTGAGTGTATCAGGCACGGGTGCTATGAATCAAAGTTTTGCTCTTCATTTCTGGCTGTGAGACAGCTCCATTGTATCACAAGTTGAAGTCCAGGAGTATTTTAAGCAGCAGGTGGAAGGAAATCCTCAGAAGTAGCACAGGACCTGACCTATGGTTCTGTGATGGGAGCATGATGTCCCAGAGAGGCACAGTGGTGAGAAACACCAGGAATCTGGGTGCTATTTATTACAGAGAAATCAGAGAATAAATGAAGAATTCATTTTACCATGTGTAATAGTAAGCCTGGAAGTCAGTGTGTCAAGTGCACAAATACAAGATGTCAACATTTGCAGGAAGATGTTTTTCTTTGAGTGAATGCCCACCTGCACCTTCTGCCTCAGACGGGGCTGCTGTCCTAACACCTGAGTCTGGGCACTTGGAGAACTGGAAGCAGTGGCAGTGACCAGCACCTGGATTTTGTCACTCGTCAGTACAAACAGGTGAAACCTCTTCCAGGTGAAGGACACTGCCAATGGCATCCTCTCACTTTCTAGATCCCCTGCCGTGATCCTATTCAGATAACACAAGGGCATTACACCAGTGCTTGCTTTGTCTTTGTGAAATATTGACATGCTTAGGAACATCTTCTTTGGGAATTTTCAACCACAGATTCATATGGAATGGTAAAAATAGGGTAAAGATGCCTTTTCAAGGAAGTAGCAGCTTCCTCTTTTTTTTTTTTTTTTTCTTCTATTCTTATATTTCCTTTTTTTAATTGCTAAAAAAGCTATTAAATTTACAAGATGAGAGGAAGATCTCCAGCTGGAATAACTTTGAGGAAGTTTTCTTGCCTGTCAAACCACTCATTAGTGCTTTATGCAGTGCAGCAAATTGAGATGTAGGATATTGTCCTTATATAATCTGCATTTGTTGAGCCTCATAGCAGTCCTGTTTGGAAATAATAACAACAGGAATGCTGGAATGTCTTTGAGCAGCTGGGGTTAGGGAAGTCAGTTTGTGAATACGGTACATTGTGTCTCAGCCTCCAGGGCAGCTCTTTGCCTACTGGGGCTCTCAAGTGCCGGCCTAGAACATGGCTGTTCCCTCTGTGAGGGAGGTCAGTTTGCAGACCTGACAGCCTAAGCCTTTCCAAGCACAGGAATTGAAATTATCAGCAGAGTTTGTGCAGACTTGACAGCACATCCTCTGCTGCCCACACTGCTGTCACATCTTATTCAGACAGTTGCTTTTGCAGGTATCTCTTGCAGGCCCAAATTCAGGTCTTTATCTTCTCCCATTATAGTGAAGAGATTGACTTCCTTCTTTGTTTCCAGATTTTATTTCAGGCATTTGGAGTAAGTTTGTACCAAAGACATTATCATTGCTAATGTGTCATTACTAATACCAAATTCTACTGTTGGGGATTTCTGTGGTCTTTGATGTGCTCACCACAGTCCTTGCATTAGCAGCTCTTTGACTGAGAAAACAGGGATAGCTCTGTATCCCTTTTCCCCTGAATTATCTGTTCAGTGTAGTGCCCTAAAGCTGGTGCTGAAATACTCTGCACCCTTACGGCTCCTGGCTGCTCATGTACATTCATGATGGACACGCAGATGTCTCATAGGATTCTGATTTCCAAGCAGGGCACTAGCAAAGAGAGTTCTAGAGGATTTCAAAAATTTCTTACCTCCTTCAAGACTGCTCTTAATTCTCAAAACCTCCTGTGCAACTTGGAGGAGCTATAACTGGAAGGACATTTCTGCCTAGAACACATAATGCTCCTTTATTGTGCCATATACAAAGCTCCACAAAAGCTTCATCCAGGCACAGCTGCCTGTGCCTCACAGGGGACTTGTGTAACCAAGTGTCCATGAATGGCTCCACAGCCATTGTCCCTAAGGAAATTAAGAATTAGAGAACTGTGTCAAGGAAATGCCCTTCCAGCTTGAATTATCTTCCAGCAGAACTATAGGTGGGTTTTGCCTAGATTTGGGAACCAACAGCAAGGCCTTTTTTCCCTCAGGAGGTTTTCCCTGAGTCTTCCCTGCTGGTCACAGGGCAGAGGTGCTCACCTGTTACATGAACATGCACACAGACTGTGTTTGTAAGGGACCTACTTTAATGTGATACTGATCTTTTATATCGTGCCAAACATCACTGAAGGCTGGGATTTTCTCTCAGCGTGCTTGTATGTCTTTATGCACAAATACACATTATATTTGTGATGTTGTAGTAGCAAGAGCCAAAGTTAGTCCTGGTGCTGACTTGTGCTACCAAAACTTGGTTTGTGTGGGCTCATTGTGCTAAGGAAGTGCAGTGTTCTGAGCCCTGCTATCTCACCTTCCACAGGGAATTATGGAGGTTCACACACAAATGCTCTGATTCACTGCAAAACTTATTTCTCACACTGAAGTTATGGGCCTTCAGATGAGAATTATGGTTGTGTGTACTGAACCCCTAAAGCAGCTCCTATGAGCACTGCATGTGCTGGGTTTGGTGTTAGCACAGGGATGTCAGCCTTGGAGAGCTGACTGGGAACCACTGGGCCTTTGTCTGGAAATGAGCCAGGAACGCAGCTGATATTTCCTGATGAAGTTCTTTGGTGTAAGGAAGCTTCCATGGAACATGGTTTAGCACAGAAGTATAAATGATACCTGCTGAATTACCAAAGTTGCCATAATTTCTGGGGGAAAAAAAAGCTGTAAGAGTCAATGACATTTTGAAACTCATGATGGCTTTATGAGGAATTTCACATTCCCAGTCTATATCCTTAAAGCTGTGGCATTCTAGAACTTACAACATAGTATTGCATACTTGCGTATATTCTGTGGTTCAGTGAGGGACTCTCATGGGTGCAAAAATATCTCTTGGGAGAAAAATTTGGATTTGAATTAACTTCCAGTTTCCCAGTATTGAAGTGGGACAAGAATATTTTCTGTGGAATACAGTGAAATATTATTAAGGCTTCTGTACAGCCTATGATTGCTGAATCTCCAGCCTATTGTTTTCCTGTGCTGGGTTTTGAGGATGTCATCAAACCATGAATTATATCTTCCCTTAATTCTGCTTTGCTGGTAAATCCTGTTAAGCACTGAGGGAAGGAGAGATGGCCCTGATATTTGGTGCATTCTGGCATTGGCAGTTGTGCACAGCCAGTACCAAGGAGGTGTGTGAAGTGTCACCTTGCTGGGTTGGTGTCTCAGAACTGTTGATAGGGAGTGACTTGTTACAGCTGCTCAGAACAATGTGTTTTCCTCATGGTCACTGCTGTCAAATAAAAGCAGTTCTAAATAATGCCATTTACAAAATTTTGAAAGAAAACATAACAGCTTCTTTAGACACTTCAGTCATTGTGTCAAGTCATGAGAAAACCAGAAGTTTCTTACCTTGACCAAAATTTTCCTCAAATTATGTAACTCAGATTTATCTCTTTGATGTAAATGCATACTTTTTCTGCTAGTGATACATGCAAGTAACAAAGATTATTGGTTGAGAATGGGTGCTTGCCTAAGAGTAGCTCTTCCTCAACTGAATTATGTAACTTATAAAACCTGTTTTTCTTTCTCCTTTCTAAAGCTCAAGAATTTAGTTATTATGCATGTAGAGTCTTTCCTGGTTCTCTTTAAAGCTCCTTTATTTTTCTTTCTCTCTTTTTCTCTGTCCTGATCTCCTTCCTCTCCTGCTCCTTAAGGCCTTGGAATATCTTTTCAAGTTCATTGTCCAATCTCGGATCCTTTACTCCAGAGCTACTTGTGGAATGGAGGAGGAGCAGTTCCGCTCCAGCATCCAGGAGCTTTTCCAGTCCATCAGATTTGTGCTCAGCTTGGACAGCAGGAGTTCTGAGACTCTCATCTTCACACAGGTTTGCTATTTCCTACACTCCCACTGGCAAACCACAGGGCAGCTGTTCCTGCACGGGTAGGAGGTGTGGGCATGTGGAGTTTTCCCCCTAACGTGATGCTGGCAAACAAGACACCCATTGATGGCATTAGACAGTAGCTTTGTACAGGTGAGCTGGACTGGGGGCACTTGAGGAGGAAGTGACTTCTCCCATGAGAATGCAATTTTTGCTGTTGGCAAAAGTTTTCAAGTCTCTCTCATTCCTATGTCTTATGGTTGACCTCAAGAATTTCTAAATCCTTCATTATAATACTTCAAATCAATACTTACAGCCATAGCAGCATCACAGTGAGAAGTTCAACAGATGTATTTACACTCAGATAAATAATTCCAGCATGTGCTAAAATTACAGTCAGAATCATGTGCAGCCTGACCACAAACATGTTGTGATGCCCATACTCATATTTAATGCATCATTAAATATGGCCCAGGGGACTTCATGAAGATTCCATGTGGGCTGAAGGCAATACTCAAAGTGAGTAAGGATGCTGCTGAGTTTTGGGTTCAGTTCCTAAGCATGTAAGTTGTAAATGTCAAACATGTTGTTTTATGCCTCTGCTCAGAGAATGTCAGAATGGAGCACCCAGAGCTCCCTGGTAATGTGAAGGTGGTTTGTAATCACTAATGCAGAATTACAGATGTCTGGAGCACCTGCTGTATTTTGCCAAAGAAGCAGCTGCTGTGAACGTTGCAGCCAAGCAGTGACTCTGCTGGTTCAGGAAGCTGCCAGTGGAGTGATCTTTTTCTTAAGGAGCTGCTCTGAAAGATTTGAGAACAGCTGCTCTAATGTTTTATTTAATCACCCATTAGTGGGTATAATAAGATGAGCCAGGAAGAAGAGAAATCAGTGCACAGAGTTTTTGCAGACAAAGTGATGGTGAATGGAAACAGTATCTGCTGAATGTTTTCCAGTTGTGTTGGTCTGAAATACAGAGGGAGAGTCACTTTGAGGATTTTCCCTTTTTCTCTTTGTTCCTCTTTTTAATTTTTTTTCCTCCTTTCTCTCACTATGGTATTTCTTACTTTGGACTTTTGTAATTTGTAAAGCCTGTCCTTGTTGGATCTTTGAAAAGTTTATTTTTGTTTCCCCCCCTTGCCACTGTGTTGCCCCCTGATCCCATTGCCCCATAGGCCCCCCAGCCTGGAGGGCAGGCGAGCGGAGCCGGGACAGGTGCCCCACAAAAATGTGGGGGCACAACAAGGCCGACATTTAACTCTGTAAGTAATGATCCTCCAGGACTGCTCAAGTGTTCCATTGTGGATGTTCCCAGTTAATCTCTTTTCCCTACCCCAAACACTCTTTTCCTGCATATAAACTGGAGTTTGATGTTTAAGTGGCCGGTCCGTTAAAAGTTGGAGATGTGGAATATTTCAGTTATTCATAGAGAAATTTATGGCATCCACATACCAAAAATACAGCACTGAGGGTGTACACAAGATTATATAAGTCAAATTGTTCAGGAGAGCCAAGCATTTGTTTATTTGATTATTAGTTCTGGAAATCTGGGCAATTGTTGAATACCCACAGAAATGCTTGGGCAAATGTAATTTCCCTCACACTTGTCCTCTTCTCCAGGACATTTCAGAGATCTCAGTATCTCAGTTTTTTCCAGCAATGAGAGTAAAACTGATTTCCTTCCTCCCAGGCAATTAATTTGACATGAATAATGTTCCAGCATATTTTAGGGTGTTGTGCAACAATGGGACCCTTCAAGGAACTGTAGAAATTGTTACCTCAGGATAGCTCCAAATCTTCCTGAAGAGATCCCGTGCCTACCCTTGGATTGCTGTGTGTTATACAGAAATCCTTCTGCTTTATAAGTAACAAAGTTTAGGAAAATTCCTGTAAGGAATTGTTGGGTCAATATTGTAATTTCACTTGTATTATTCCAAAGATAAAGACAGTGACTGGGTTTGTGGTTGTTACTGCCTTCCAAGAGTACCAGGAGCTGGTGAAATTATTTATACTTATTTATTTTGTTAGTAGGTATGCAGGAATAATTAGGTGACAGCACCCAGTTGGCCTTGTGGGGATTTGTGTAATCTGAGTTGATTGTAAGAAAATAAGATTTTGAGAGAGAATAAGTGGAAGAAGCAGATGAATTTATATTTGGAATAATTTAATGAGCTCTACCATGTTAGTTGTAAAAATAACTTGATTTTGCTTGAATACTATTAAACAGATTTCACTGTTGAAGGAAAAAAAGTCTTGGCAAAGAAGTAGGCTGGGATTATATGGATTAGGAGAGTCATGTCAGTATGGAAGAGATACAGAAATGTTTATGCAATGAGAAAACAAAAAAATCTCTGAGGAAAAGGAAATACTGACAGTGGTGAGACTCGAAGGGCAAAGCTGAACAGAGATTTGCAGTTAAGACTGGTAAATCTGAACTTGTGCAGGAAATCACGGTGGGGTTTGTGTGGAGAGCTTCAGGGAAGGGAGGTGGGAATGGCAGGAAGGAAGGAGTGGAGGCAAGGCTGGTTCAAGAAAGCAAGCATCTAGGAATTTAAATAGTTATGAGGAAGCAGGTGTGGAGCTTGGGTAGGATGCAGAGGAAGGGAAGAATTTTAAAACATTAGAAGTGGTGGCAGTTGTTTGATAGAACACCGAGTGTGCAGAACTTGAGCGTGGAATTTTCTACTCTTGTGAAAAAAATAATTGAAAAATAGGAAATAAGACATGAAGAGGTTTTTGTTGCTGTTGTGCTGACACCATTTCTGCACTTTAAGAGGCACTTTCAAGGATAGCTCCAGCTTACTGGAAATATCTGTTACTGCCAGAATCACATGCACACTTGCATGATGTGGTGCCTCTTTCACGTGGACTCACACCCCACCCCTGCTGCAGAAATCCTGGAATGTCACATGGCAGAGCTGGTTAAGGGTCTGTCAGTAGGTTCTTCACTTCAGGATATTTTCTGAAGAGTTTTAACTGTCTTAGGTAGTCAGTACAAACAATTGGTATAGAACTCTCTAATCAGAAGCAAGCATTGTATTAACTGAAAAAAGTAAAGCAACAAAAAATGGACTATCTTCTGTTCTCTGAGATCTCAATTTTTTTTCTGTTTTATAAGCTGTATCCTAAAATACAGCTTTTTGCTTTTTTCTTTTATATCCTAAAATAGAGCTTTTTGCAGCTCTATCTATGTATGCAACTTATCCTAAGATTTACTGTTGCAGCAGCACTTGATTTTTCTATGTGCTACATGTGACTTGTTCACTGTGAGCTCCAGGTCCCACAAACCATGACCACCAGCCATAGCAGTCTGTAGTAGCTTTGTGCAGACCCTTCGTCCAGCGTTGCTGTTGTTCCCACCTCGCTGCACTGAGCTGCAGGTCGGGAAGTGTGAGCTCCCTCCTGTATCCGCAGGCTGCCCTGCTGAACTCCTTCCCTGCCATCTTTGACGAGCTGCTGCAGATGTTCACGGTGCAGGAGGTGGCGGAGTTTGTGCGGGGCACGCTGGGCAGCATGCCCAGCACGGTGCACATCGGCCAGTCCATGGACGTGGTGAAGCTCCAGTCCATCGCCCGCACTGTCGACAGCCGCCTCTTCTCCTTCTCAGGTGAGCCGGGGCTCAGGGCCGCTGCTCACTGAGGGCAGCAACACCTTGGGAGCTTTTGCAGTGGCTTTGTTGCAAATAATTCCCTGCTGAATGTCAATAATGTCGGTAATTATTTCTCTTGGCAGCATTGCTGATGAATGTATTCATGTGCTCAGTTGGGGCAGTTGCTAATAAAGCCAACATTGTGGGTTTGATCCCTCTTTTCACAAGGGCTTCCACTTCAGAGTTGGATTCCATGATCCTTGTGTGTCCCAGCTCAGAAGATTCTGTAACACTCTTAACTCCGTTCAACACAAGTAGTTTATAAGTTTTGCCATGGTAGGAAATGTTTATAAATCCATCATAGCATTGCTCTTATCATGGACAGGAAGAAAAGTTCCTTTCCAGCCAGCTTATGCCTGAGAAACAGGGGGGATAGTTGTGTCAGAAACCCACCGCATTTCTTTAAAGTATCTTTAATCTTTCTGCTATAACTTTAGCTCTACATTTTAGTAACTCTTTAAATTCTTAAAATTTTACCTAAATATCCTTATTGCTTACATATACTTTAAAAACAGAATTTTAAAAAGTCTTTAAGAACTTAGTGGAAGATGGGTGAAGATTGTGGGTGTATTTCATACATAAAGATCTGAATGAAAATATGAAGGCGAAGTGGAAGATAGAAAGCTCCATTGGGTTTCTCCTTCCTGTAGAGAGGACTTCAATTAGTGCACTTTAATTATTGTACTCAGTACAAGGTAAGAATTTTGTTTAAACCATTCACTGTAATTGTTTGTAAATATTTTTTTCCTTACATTTGAAACTTTTCCTTCATTCAGAGTCCCGGCGCATCCTGCTGCCTGTAGTCCTTCACCACATTCACCTTCACCTACGACAGCAGAAGGAACTGCTTATCTGCTCTGGGATTCTCAGTAGTATCTTCTCCATAATCAAGACCAGTTCTTTGGTAAATCTGCTACTTGATTTTAATTTTTTATTTGCACCACTGAGTTAGTAAAATGAAGAGTGAGACATTTTTATAGGTTAATACAAGTTTTTCAAAGAACCTTTTAAAAACAAGGTTGTGCTGTCAGCAGGAGAACATCTGAAATGAGGGTCTGGCTCTGTGTGTGACTCAGAGCATCTTGATTACACAGTGTTCTTGCTGTTAGGAGGGGGAATCGCATACACCCTCACCAGCTTTGACACTGTTTAATTTTCTTCATGCAAGCCCAGAACCTAGATGTCAGTGGAGTTTAAAAGTTCTACACAGCTCAAGGACTCGTAGTTCTGCAAGAGACAGTAACTAGCACTTTGTGGTTTGCATTAAAATATACTCTAAAATTATCCAATCAATGAAATCCCACTTACTTTTGGAAATTGTTGCTGAGTTTCAACACCTAGATTTGATGCTCATAATACTCTGATCTCAAATGGCAACTAGATTGTGTAAAGCAATGCTCACAAAGGGGGTGGTGACATTTCCCCACCTGACTAAAGTAGGAAGCTCATGGTGCTAAATATAATTCATACCAATGTGTATTTCCAATTAAAAGTCATGGGTTTGTGTGAAAGGAATGAGATGAAAGGTATCATGGAAATAAGCTAAAATAGTACTGCCATGGAGTAAAGGTTCCCGAATATAATTTGCTCCTGTTGTGTTCTAGACCTTTGATTATAGACTAACCTTTATGGCTGTGACCCTGAATGTTTCCATCAGAGACTGTCAAGGTAACACACACACTGACAGAACAACAGGATCTGGTACCATGAGGAATTTGATTGTTCTCCCATGAGCTGTTACAGAGCGCTCTGTCCCACCGAGCCTGTCTTTACCAGTTCAATCTCTCCAGTTTCTAACTGTCTGTTTGCTCACCACTTGCTGTAGGAGGGAGATGTCGTGGAGGAGGTTGAGATGATGGTGGAGAGCCTCCTGGACGTGCTGTTACAAACTCTGCTCACAATCATGAGTAAATCGCAGTCTCAGGAGGCGGTAAGAGGGCAGCGCTGCCCGCAGTGCACAGCAGAAATCACTGTTAGTAACTAACAATCAGTTTCTATTTCCTGCTTCTCTAACCTCTGGTTCAGTCCCTCACCACCACTGGCACCTCATCATCATCTCTGCTGCATGAATGCCCAGGGCTTTGTCTCTTTCCCTTAATAAGCCACAAACCCATTCCTTTCTCCCTGCACTAGTGAGGGCTGCAGGAAGCAGTGGAGCTCAGGAAACTTTAATGGATTTCCAGATTATTTTCTTGTTTGTCTTTGCAGCTGTGATTGAGAGTTATTGCTTAAGACTTGAGCTACTGGGGAGCTGCCTGGGGTTTAACTCCTAAGGTGGTATCACCAAGGGCTATAATGAGTATCCATCTGTGATCCCCAAAACTGAGAATATCACAGCGCTCTGTGGTTAAATCCTTTTGCTTAACACCCTGGGGAGCTTCTGTCCAGGGTTATTGATTATTTCATGCAAATGAAACACTTTTTCAAAAGAAATAAAGAGATGCTAAGCCAAGTGAGCTGTTGAGCATGGTGGGAGAAGCCACCACTGTACCCAGGCTGCCAGCCTTAGCCACAGGGAAGAAATTTTTCTTTGACATGCAGTGGAAGAGAAGAAAAATAATAGAATTTTGCTGTTCAGCCTTCTTTTTTCCTGGATTTCTGCCCTTTTCTATTCTAGCCTATTCTAGCCTATTTTTGTTTGTCAGACTCTCTAATGCAGCTTTTGCACAATGTAGGATGTTAAGCTGCTGTTCAGAACATCCTTTTTTTAGACTCGTTTTTTCAGCAAATGGCTGAAACCTCAGCGGTGCTGCTGGGGGCAGATGTGCACTAAGGTGCACTTCTCACACAAGAGAGAAGGTTGGATCTTTACTTGTTAACTCAGATAACGAGATGTTCTTTGATACAGGACAAGAAAGGCACTGGCTTGCAAATGCCCAGTAATATCTCAATTTCCTTTTACTGCTGCCATTTGACTTACTGCTGTTTACCACATGCCAGCCCACACAGAAGAGCACATCTTTCTTCCTAGTGAAGTTCAGCCCTGGAAAGTTTATTGCAACAACCCATGTCAAAGCTTCTGGGTAGATGTTTGAGCCATTTAGAAAAACAATAAAATGGAAAGCACAGTCCCTTGTATTTGTTCCTCAATTTACATTTCACAGCACAGTGATATGTGGATTCTTATTAGATATGGCTTAGATCTGTGCATTTTCCAATGCATTTTCTCTGTTACAGAAAAAAAATAGTGTTGTGCAAGGGACTGGCAGTCAACAGACCCAGTCCTGATGTTTTTGGCACCACTTTGCTTGTTCTGTTGGACAGATTGCATAACTTCTCTGTGCTTTGCTTTCAGATTTGTAAAATGGGGGAGCTCCTCTTTGGAAAACACTTTGGGATGCTGTGGTAACTGGTTAGGATGCATCTGCTTTGCAGAATTACAGAAATGTAATTGTAGCTCATGTAGGCTTACCCAGACTATGCTCAGGAAATCTGACTGCAGTCCTGTCAGTGACTGGAGATTTCACAGCACAGAACTTGGTGAACACTAATAAGCCATATATTTACAGCTTCCAGACACCTTCTGTAACCCAGCCTGATCCCAAGCTGTCACTGCTTTACTGGTCGGAGTCACTTAGTTCAAACAATTGCTGGTCTGTTGGCATGAGCTGCAGTCACACCTCTGACAGACACTGTATATTAAGTACCTGAAAAAGGTATTGTCAAAACCTGCATGCTTGGAGGGTGATTTGTTAATGTCTGTATTAATAATTTTAAATTATTTTTGATTAGACTACAACTTTGATTAAAAGACCTTTCAAACCGGCATCTGTGGAGGAGCCTCCTGGAGGTTTATCCCTGTATTAACTCAGGAACTGTTAACCTGCAGTACTTTCAATCTCTGTGCATGTCAGCTGTCCCCTCATAGGCATTGGGGCCATTTCAGACCCCTCCCTTTGTACCTTCCCCTGGGTTAAGCTTTGTATCTATGAAATTTCAGATTGTCTGAATGAAAGAGTTTCTCATTTGGTCAACAGGGAGAATATGTCTCCTGCCTTTTATCTTTGCTTCGTCAGATGTCAGACACTCACTTCCAGCACTTACTGGACAACTTCCAAAGCAAGGATGAACTGAAGGTACAAAAAGATGTGATGTTTGTAGGGCGATTCCCTCAGAATGGGAGGGCAGAGGGGACTCCTTCCAGCATCACTTGCCCTGTTAATCATTCCCATCCACTGGCACTCTCTTCAGGGACCCTCCTTTCACTTTTAGAATCATTGGTGTAATGTTACAAAAACACTTTTAAAACCACAGGGCACCAAATTATAACAGCAAATAAAGTCCCAGGATGGATGTTGTTGGACATAAAGGCTATTGTAATTGTTCCATATAAAACATAGGCAGAGGAACAGGGTTGTTTTAGTCCGGTGAATGTGAAGTCAGTTGTTGTATAGCATTTACTACATGTTCAGTATGCACTGGAGCTTTCTTACAAAGGGTATTGATTTTATGCCAGAAGACAATTTCAAGCCATTTGGGGGTTACAAACGTCTCTAGCAGATGAAATCTTTTTTGGGAAAGCTGTAACCTTACCACTCCACTTGCTGCATGCTTCTTTGTGAACATCAGCTTAAATTATGGCTCTCCATGAACAGCAGGGCTTGGTGAGGGCACAGACCTCTGACATTTTGAATGGCACATCTCATATTTCACACCAGCAGAACTTCTTACCTCAACTTCGATGGGGAAGAGGATTATCTCCAGCAACAGCTTGTTTAAAAAGCAGATTAATCCTATAAATAAAGACAAGCTTTTAGATAAAACAGTTTTGTTTAGCATGGCACTCAAATATGCACAATAAGAACAATGTAATGTGGCAGGAACTTCTGTAACCTTAAATGAAATGGAGAAGCAGTGAGAAGTCCTTTATGGATAGACTTTCAGCTTTTGAATATTTTGTGTGCATACAGAGAAGCTGAATAAATCAGGGAGATGAATTTGGGATGATAAAATTCTTATCTTTATGTTGCAGGGTTCAGTGTATCTCAGGTTGATAGTTATCTGAGATTTCTGCCTTTCTGGTAACTTTCAAATTGCTCACAGGAAAATTATTTGGTAAATTAATTCATAATACTTTTTAATAGATATTTTGAAAGGCATCTAAACTGAAGTTCTTATGTCAGATTTGTGGAGAGGTCATTGAACTAAAATTTGTCTTTATGCCCAAAAGAGCTGTTGCTGATAATCTGAGTATATGTTCCAAGAGTGCCACAAAGGCTGAAGATTTTATATATTACTCTTTTTTTCCTATCAAATATGGCTGTTACCAATATTTCCAATACTTTTTCTGGCATGGAAAGGCATTTTATTCACTTACCACTGTTACACTCTGGGCAAAATGAGGCCAAAAGGCAAGGAGCTTCTAATGCTTTACTCTGAGCTCAGTTCCACCAAGATATTAATCACATTAATACCATTAAGGCATAATGGTAGTATGGTTTTGAAGAATTCCTGCTCTACCAATTTCTCTGTTATTTTGATTTTGTCTGGAAGGAAAACAAAACAACAAAATCATAGTTTGCAAGGCCAACAACTTGTCATGTTTGATCTTCTCTGTTGTTCTGTACAGACATGGAGGTGCAGATGGTCAAAAACCAGAAATGTCTTCAGGTTTGGGGCTTTTTTTTGGAAAGCAGACATTCAGCTGAATGTGTCTCTTGCTGCTCTTTGTTGCCAGAAATGGGGTTTTCTGTTACTATTTTAGAAAACCTGTGTAGGAGTTTTATTGGGCTTGGGGGTGTGGTTAGTTCTCAAATTGTGACATAAGTCCAAAGAAATTTGGACAGATAAATTAATAAAATGAATGCATTAAAAAGTGATTATGAGTCCAGTATATTTGAAAATAGCTGCAAAATTACACTGGAACTCTGGGTGATAATATGAGAAGTCAGATACAATTATGCACATAGACAAGATTTTCCTCTCCCTGTGGAAGTGAAGATTTTAAAGAAGCTAGAAGCTGTGTATCAGATGCAAACAAAAGGAATAGAGCCATATTCCAATGTATGTTGCTTCCAGGTTTCCAGGTGAATGGCTTTGCAACACAAAGCTTAAGTAGAGCACACTTAGCTTAATTGTCTTTCTTACAATCAAGAAAATAGATTCACATGTAACTACTGCTGATTTTTACTTCTTTTTCCCTGTGTGCCAGGAGTTCCTCCTGAAGATCTTCTGTGTGTTTCGGAACCTGATGAAGATGAGTGTCTTTCCTCGAGACTGGATGGTGATGAGGCTGCTCACCAGCAAGTAAGTAGAGAAGCCAGATGTAAAGTGTTGCTATTCTGTGGCAGCCTGGGGACAGTGTTTTTCCTCAGACTGAGGAACTCAAGACAGGAATTCAGGAGTGCTTGTCCTCATTCTGGTGGTGTTGTAACACTCTGGACCAAACCTGTGTGTTCATGGGTTTGTTAAACTTCACCAGTATTGTCAGAGCCAGGAGTTAAAAGCAGAGCTGAAGGAGCTGCCCTGGGGGTAAGGGGCTGAGGAGCAAGGGCAGGCCCACAGGGCAAGCCCAGCTCCCACACCAAGGGGTGCTAATGGGCCTCTCCCTCCCTTGTCAGGGGATCCCTGCACTGAGCATCTGGTTTTTCCCATGAACATCCCTCCTTAGCTGAACAAGGAGAGGCTCTTACGTATTTTGGAAAAGGGGGAGCAAACCCCAGCCATGACACCAAAGCATTACACAAAGAGTTCTTTCTCAATTCAGTTGCCATTTGCCATTTTAATGCTCCACTTTATCTCAGTTTCTTGCTTCTGCTGGCTAAGTACTGTGCTCTTTGGTTCAGCAGCAGTGTTAAACACAGGGTGGCTGGAATTATTCACTAGTTCCCTTGGCTAAACTAGCTGTGGAATTCCCACTGACTGGCTGACAGCTGGAGCATTCCCACTCTGAGGAAACACCATGGAAATGCTCTTAAAGGCTGCCTGCTCAGTTGAGCTGCATGTTCTGTGAGTCCACCCTGCTAATGAGAAGTGAAAGAAGTGGATTTCAGTAATTCAAGTGTAAAGATTCAATGAAGTTCTGTAAGAAAAAAGAAATCCACCTGAAACAGTAGCTCCCTCAGATGCTGCAGGCCACCTGTTCCCTTGGGCATAATTTTGCCACAAAGCTTTAGGCTGACAGTTATGTTTAGCAGTGCTACTGGAGTATTGCTTGCATGTGAATCAGAGATGTGCTCTTCTTTTGATACTACTGTTGCCTTATCTACATGCCATTTATTAATTCCTGAATCTATCACATGCCTTAATTGCCTTTTACTAAGGTGTATGTAGCCACTGACAAAAAAATAACACAGAATCAAAAACTGGCAAAATACTTGCAAATATCTTGACTTGAATGACAATAGGATAAAGGACCATTGTATAGACAAGAACAAGGACAGCTCAAACTTTTTGAGTTACTCTCCTCTGGGAAAAAAAAAAATCTTTCTGCTTAGAACAGGAGGAAAAGGAGTGTATTATTCCATTTCCCTGGTGGTCATATAGCCCAGCCATGCAAAATAGACAGGATTTTAAATGCTCCTGTGTAAATTCTAAAAGTTAAAATAATAGTGAAAGTTCATAATCTTATATTAATTAGTACAAATTATTCATTAAAGCATAGAACGGTGACTTCTGTGTAAATATCACAGAGATTACACAAAGAATGCTCTTCTCTGTACCTGTTGTAAAACCAGCACCACCAACCACTGTAATGCATTGTATTCCACATTCAAATGTTCTCTTTTTGTTTTCTTTTCTTTCCTTTTGGCTGCAGTATCATAGTTACAACAGTTCAGTACTTGTCTTCTGCCCTGCATAAGAATTTCACAGAAACGGACTTCGATTTTAAAGTAAGAATTGATTCAGAAAATGTTCTGACATCTTTTCAAACCAGCAGTAGCAAAGGAACAGGAGCTGCCCTCTGCATTAGCTGATGACATTTTCAGCATTTATTAGAGTGTCTGTCAGGAAGATGACCTAACTGCTAAAGTACAGGAATGGAATCTGCTGTGGAATTGATGGGAAGTAGAACAGATACAGTGTGAGATCAAATCAGGAAAATTGAGTCCCTCATAAAGGAAACAAGTAATTCCATAAGCATGGGGCTAATGGAGCGTGCTGTCTTCCAGACTGATGGATAGTGCAATGTAAACTCAGGCAATGCTTTTCCTGAAGCTGGGGAATTCATGAACTTCCTCTCCCAGAGTGTCTCTGGCTGATAACACAAAACCTGGAGGAGCACAATCCTAGGGAGTGTTGTGCCCATGTCTGATGTAACTGGAGATGGGCAGCAAGTTCGTGAAAGTAAGGAAGAGCTGCCAGACATGCACCTAGGGACAGGGGCACACACCAAGCTGGCAAAAACCTCATCTCTTTGGGAAAACAGACCAAATTATGAGGGTCTCATTCATGATATAATTTGATCTCTGAGAATTCTTGACAGATAAAATCTGTTCAACCTACAGAAAAACAATTTAAGTTTGCTGATGTCACCAAGTATATTAATTCTTGAGCTCTGGTGCAAAGAGGAAAACCCAGTGGCATTGCTTTTGTGGGGGTTTTAATTTCAGTTCCTACCAGGGTTTAAACAATCTATTTGTACCCTTAAGAGTTAATTTGTATCTCCATAGTAAAAGACACATTGATGAAGTTATCCCTTGATTACAAAAAGGAGTCTTTGTCTTTCTCCGCTTCTTTAATACTTACTCTTGGAGTGTAATGTTACAAAATTCCTTCCCTTGTCACAGGTGTGGAACTCTTATTTCAGCCTGGCAGTTTTGTTTATAAACCAGCCGAGTCTCCAACTAGAAAATGCTACACCACCTAAGAGGAAGAAGATTCTGGATAAGTAAGGATATGTTTTGTTGGGTTCTCACCTCAAAAAAGAGCCTTATTTTCCTACCATAAGTCTCTGTGATTTATTATGAAACCTGAGATGTGGAAATGCCTGGGAAATTAATAACTAGATCTCCCAATACAGCAATCAGTGGTTAGTCAAGTTGTTTGATATTCTTACATTGACATAAATGTGAACTGAATTTTTTTTAACCATTTGATTATTTTTTCACATCACTGTCTTACAAGTTTTTGTTCCCTGGGCAGCTGTGTCTGTGTTCTCTCTCAGGTATGGTGATATGAGAGTGATGATGGCCTATGAGCTCTTCAGCATGTGGCAGAACCTGGGTAAGCCTCTCCTTCTCTCACATAACAACCAAAGCCAAAGGAAAACCCTGTTTCTGACAGATTTTTAATTTTTTTATGTTTTGTGGCATCACAGAATCCTTTGTTTCTCTGAAGAGAAGCACTTCTCCCACCAAAACTCTCTTCTGCACTGTATTCTAGAGGAAAATAACAAAATGTTTGCTGATAGAGCTCACAATTACAAGGATATGAGAAGGGGTGAATCACTAAGAGAGCAAAGGAGTGACACAAGTCAGATTGGATAACTTAATAATGTGGTGGCAAAATACTCACCAAGCCAAATACAAGCATTTTATGTGTAGGAATATAGGTAGGAGTTGCTATTCAAAAAGACAAAGACCACAAATGTACCAGGCTGATAATCAGCTGAAGGAGAGCTACCTGAAAAATGCTATGAGTAAAGGAGATTTTGTAATCTTTGAGAAAATATGTCAGAATCTGGAGTGAAAGGGACCATATTAATGTCACAGTGTTTTCCTTAAGTGCACTTGATTCTGGATTAGTTTGCTCAGTCCTGCTTTCTACAGCTAAAAGAAACAACAAAACACAAAAAATATAAACCCAAGGCAAGTGGTATAAAATTCAAACAGTAAGGAAGACTACAGAAGCAAGAAAACTGAATAAGCCTGATTTGTCTTGGACAACTAAAATGATACAGCCAGAACTGGTCACAGTTCAAAGGATCTGTGTGGAGAATAGAAAGCCCTCCAAGGTAACAGAGATCCAATACCCAGAAAATGATGCTGGACAAACTCAACTGAGAAATGATAAGCCAGTTTTAGATGTGTAGATGCAGACATTTATCACTGGGTGCTGTTTCAGATCAGGTAGAGATTGTCAGCAAAGTGCCTCAGGTCCCTTCTGGAACAGACCTACTTGGTCCCAGTCAAGGGCAGTTGGGAAATGGAGACAGCAGTGGGTACCAAGAGCTCTGCAGTTCCTTGAAATCCAAATGTGCTCTATTAAATACCATTGTTCTCACCAGCCCTTTTGAAATCTTCATGAATTAGAAGTGCCCCTGGCCTCTTTTCCCCTAGTATGTTTTAGTTTGGTTACTTTTGACAGTTTGAATTCCTTTGTAAGTAAAATGCACTGACAGTTTTTGCTGAAGGCTTTCACAGTGAAATTAAAAATGCTTTTAGAGATTTTGCAAGAAATGGTGTAAAGCAAATACTGATTTTTTTCTTTCCTTTTCAGGAAAAGAATGTTTGCTTTTGTAATGCTCATGCTTACTACTGTGTAGATGTCATTATGGCAAGGGTTCCCTATTTTCTCAGTGACAGATAGCAAAGGCTTTTATTTAATTACAATTGTTTTGTGTTGTACAGGGGAGCACAAGATTCACTTTATTCCGGGAATGATTGGCCCCTTTCTGGGTGTTACACTTGTACCACAACCAGAAGTCCGGAATATCATGATCCCAATCTTCCATGACATGATGGACTGGGAGCAGAGAAAGAATGGCAACTTCAAACAGGTGAGGGCACTTCCCAAGCTTTCCTTTTCTTGCTCTGTCTGTCTGCAGTGTCCAGCTGGAAGCAAGGAGTTTATATTTGTTGATCTGTTTCTGACTGTGAGATGTCATGCAAATATATATAAAATAGAAAATTTGAGACCTAATTCATAAAACCATCGCAAGACCCCCAAGATTGTTTAACCAATGCATTTCCCATGAACATGGGGAAGAGGTGGGATGTGCTCACACATCACAGATGGGGAAAAGAATTTTGTAAGTGCTGGGCTATCATTGGTCCCAGTGGTTTCATTTAGATTATTAGTCAGCCATTAAATGGGTCAGACTGAGAACCAAAAATGGGGATGTAAAGATTTAGCCAGTCTTTGTGAAAACTGCTCTCTGTCTCCTCTGTCTTCAATTTGCAGCTAGGAAGTGTTATTGTATAATTAAATCATTATACCATGCCTTGAAACAGACTTTCTGGCTGGTTTTATTTTCAGAAATTGCAGCAGCTCTCCAGGAAGGGTTAAGTCCAGCAAGAGCTCTGCAGTTTCTACCTGCTGTGAGCTCTGATTGCAAATCAGGGAGAGAAATCTTCATCATTCTGTTTCCCAGTCATGGTCAGAGAATTGCTTAGATTTTCCACTGCAAACCAGATCCCTGAAGTGCAGAGCATTGTTAATGAAGGATGGGTTTGGTCTGGATTCTTGGATGACAGCGTTTCATTGTCATTGTGCTGGGGCACTACTGAGGGCCAGTATCTGCAGAGAAGCGCTCTGAAGGAGTAAATCACCACTAAATTATCATAATTCATGTGATTAATTATTTGCACAGTTATTAAAATGCCAGATCTAATCTATCATTCCAGGAGAATAGCAGACCTTTCCCATAACCTGAGCTATTAAAGACTGTGTGGAAAAGTATTACCAGGAGCTTGTTTTTCTTCCTCTTCTACTCCCATGATTGCTACAATTGTTATTATTTACTATTATTGTTATTGCAATAGCATTTTGATCATAGTCCTCTTTCCACCTGTTTTAGCATAACAATAGAACAGTCTTTCTCTGGAATTTACAGTAATAAGCACATACAGTCACCTTCGAGTTTCTGGGCCTATTTACATTTTCTATATCAAGATGAACTCTTCATAATCATAATTTAATTTTTATACTAATGTGTACTAATGTATTTTAAACTACAGCTCCAAGAATATTTCAATTACCTGTGGAGCAAATTTCCACACTGTTTTATGAAGCATATATTATACCTTTCTAAGGTTAAAGATTAAATAATTATCTGTATTAGTGATTAAATAAATAGTTAAATACCCCAAGAGATAATAAACCTCATTAACATTATCTGCTAGAACCAGGAAGTTATTTGCTTTCCAGTATAATGCTGGATAGCTGGACACAGGCATTACTGATTTCTGTTGTCACTGTGGATCACAAAGGGAGGGATTTTTTTAATTCTGAGCTTCTCTTCACCTTTTGAATATTCAGTTGTCTGTCAGAAAATATAAAAACCCTGAAAATTCATTTTCAAGCCCTTTTTAAATTTTCTTCATGTAGTTCATGTTTTAACAAGCATTTTTCAGCTAGGCTGGATAACATTACCGAGGCTGGATAATCTGATTCAGGGATGAAATCAGGTCTCCCTTTAATGATTTCATCAGCAAGAGCACCAAGTCCATTTGTGTGCCATTAGCTGATTTGCTTTTCTGTCCCATCTTTACTTTCTTTGCAATTTGGCAGCTGAAAAACATAGAGAAGCTCAAACTGTGCTTGCCTTTAAATAAAAGTAAGCCATATTTCTGTAAATTGTTTCAGCCCTTAGGAGTCTCTGTCTCTACTAGTAGTGAAGCTATCTTCTTCAAGATTTCTGCCTATATGAAATTGTTTTGTTTAATGTTACATACATCACTTTCTGCACTTAAATCAATTTTATGAGAATATCTGATATCACACTTGATATTAGGGTGGGAATTAATATGTATTCAAAATCTTTCTAAGAGAAACATAATGATGCTGGTGTGGCCCTTGATACAAGTGAAAGAAAAAACAAAAGTGTCATATAATCATAGAGAGGCTTAAAAAGTGGGTTTTAATGAACAAATAATATTCCAGTGTAATGATTGCAAATCAATTACACCAGCAGAGCCACCACAGCAGAGCAGTGGTGCTGGATCTTGTGTTGTAGTTCAGGCTCCAGTTTACCTGATGTACTGGCTCACTGGAAGTGTGGCTGGGTGATGGATTTGGTCACTTCTCCCTGCAGGTGGAAGCCGAGTTGATCGATAAGCTGGACAGCCTGGTGTCCGAAGGAAAAGGTGATGAGAACTACAGGGAACTCTTCAGCCTGCTGTAAGCTTTGCCAGTTCATGCTCCTCGTGTTGTGCAGGGCCATTGGAAGAGTCAGGCACTGATCTGTGCAGCCACAGATCTTTGGGGAGGGCAGGAAAGGGCTTCCTGGCAGGTTTCCATGGAATGGCTGAGCAAGCTAGTGCTGAAAGTAATATAGAGACCTAAATTCTTCTTTGTCTTCTCTCTGTGACATTTAATAAAAGGCTGCACTGGTTATCATCCTCCTATCAAAAATTCATTTGCTGCAGGAGCCAGGGCCCTTCTCTTTCCAAAGCAGTGAGTGAGATCTGGTCTCAGGACTGTTTAGAGAGTCAGTGCAGTATCTACAGAGTCAGGCCTTGTTAGAGCAAAGGAAATTTTCCTCAACATTTTCCTTTCTTTCCTCCTATTTTTGAAGGCCGAGTTTTGGTTGGCTCAACAGTTGCCAGTTGCTTCCTCCAGAGTCCATTGTGACACCATATTTCCACTTCTTTTCACACCAACAATTCATACTCAGAAGGACAAACTTGAAGATTTTATGTCTGACTTTACACTTCACTACCTTTGATTACTGATCTGTCTCCAAATTTCATTTTGAGTGTTCCTATTTCAGAAGGAATTATATTGAACTCTTGACAGTTCAGACAGTCCAGATTAGTTAACCCAAATTATTTAATACTCTAGTGAGCCAGAGAGATCATCAACAGAATTTTAGCCATGTATTCCAGACAAGTCTGTTTGAGGCACAAACCTTTGTTTTGCTGGAACCGATAATTCTATTTCTGAATTTGCAATTGCACATTCACTCATTTCAAGCTTGATAAGCCTGCCCATCCCATGTACTTATTCTCAGGAAGTATGGAAATGTATTCAGTTTGGATTTGTGTATATTCAGCCTTGGGAAGTCTTGGATCTTATGTGTACAGATAAAGTAAGTCTGTTTCAGGGATAAAGGAAAGGAAATTTCTATTCTTTTTTTAATTCATGTGGCTAGAGGAATAGTGTGCCTTTGCTCTGGTTGAAGACATTCATTACCTGAAATGTAAACAATTCAAGGGCTGTAGCTTTTTACTCATTTTTAGATGATAGTAATTGGATGCATTACCAAGATACACAGCCTGGAATTCCAGCAAGCAGTTAGTTTATATTTGCCACTGAGCTGACTGAGGAAACAATTTTGCAGAAAAAAAATCCACAAATTAATAAATGTTGTGTGAAAAAAACAGTTGACCCTGAATTCTATCATCTCAACTGTACTGCTGAAAAGGGAGTTGGTTCCCTCAGCTGCAAATCAGTACTGATTTGGAGGATGTGACTCCCAACAGAATTTCTTTCCTAGAAGAGAAAAATTATTTGATTGGAAATCCAGTTTCAGGGAAACTGGCATGTACATTTGCTTCCTTTCTTCACTTAAACACAGTGTTCATTGTTCTTGTTCCAGCCTTCTTTCTTCTTTCACAACTGTGTGAGATGGGTGCTCACTGTACTGTCTGTGCTAGGCAGGAGCAGATTGCTTTTATTTCCAGTTTAAATACAATGTGATTCAGGGTTGGTTGGTTGCTGATTAGAGAAAAAAATTTATGGAGGCATGAGGAAAGAAGAAATATTTGCAATTGGTTTGGACTCCTTTTCAGTTTCTGACTGCTGCTAGCAATATTTAAGCTACAGGTAATAATGTAGGAATCCAGTATGCCATGAGTGTTGCTCTTTTTCATATCTGTTAAATGGCAGTGTGAGGATATTTTCCCTTCTCCTGTCAATTCTGTAATTTCCTTGTCTTTACTTCATGCTGCCTGGAGTAGAACCCAACTCTTTGGGCCTTATCCCAGGTAAGATGCTAATTCTTCTGGAATTTGTCTTATGAGAGAGAAACCAAGTTGTCTGTATCAGTCTGCATGCACTGTACCATTTCCCTGGAAGCCTCACCTGCTGGCTTTCCATCTCCAAACAGTTTGCTGGAGAAGATTGAGCAGGAAACCTGGCGGGAGACTGGAATCTCTTTTGTCACATCCGTCACTCGTCTCATGGAGCGTCTGCTCGACTACAGGTATCTGGCACCAGCAATAACATGTTCTAAGCATAAGAAGTTTGTCAAGACATGGCACCAAATTCCTACAGGGAATATTTTTATTGACTATCAAGCTGCATACATGCAAGCCAATGCATCACCGCTGGGGTCTGAGCAAACATCCCAGATTCTCATCTCTAGAGCCCTTATTCCCATTCTTGTGTGCTCGTTCCTGTACTGAGGTTTATTCAGGTTGCTAAAACATTAATTCCTTCTATCACTGAAATGATCTCACCTAATGCAGCAAAATAGATGTTAAATGCAAGAGTGATCCCCAAAGCCTCATTGAACCAATGAATTCCTCATCCAGGCCTGCAGGGCTGGAGAACTTCCATCTGGGAACTCTGACCCATCAGCTGGTGGTGGCTCATGAGCAAGATTTCACTATAAATGAGGCAGCCTTTGTTTAGTTTTAAACTGAAGTTTGCAAGACTGTTGTGTCAATGCCGCTGAGCTTTGACTTAGTTAGAAGGAAATATTTTAACTTTAGATTTATATATACACACACACTCGGGGTTTTCTTAATAAAAGAGAATTTGAACCTATATAGAAATGCCCCAGATATTTCTATTTTAAGCCTACTGACAAGAGTTCAAATAGTTTTTTCTTCTGCTGCTGCTCATTAGAGGTGAAACCCTCTGACTGGGCTGGGTGTTCTGCAGTCCCAAATCCTTTTCTGTGCTTTTTAGTTTGCTCTTTTTGTTATCCCTACCGTCTTGATCCAATCTCCTGTTTTTTTCCTGGCAACAACTGCTCTACAACTACTGTGCACAACCAGGTACTGGAGACACATTTAAAGGGAATGCAGGGGAGCTGCTTGCAGGTTTTTTGGGGGCAGGGTGGGGGGTTTTGTGTGTTTTAGGTTTCTGGTTTTTGTTTTTTAATGATAAACGGCTGCCAGCAAGGCAGCTTTGACACACAGATACACATTTCCATGCTTAATTGAAAAACACATACCAGTTTTTAAGTGATTTTCAATCTGCAGTTGATTTGTCATTCCCAAAACAGGCAACTGGAATGTGGCATTGGGATTTGGAAATACACAGGCATTTCTTAGGGTCCAGTAGTAGTTCTCAAGGTGGTTTGCTGTGTCACTGCTTTAAAAATTTAGTCTCTTGTACTGTTTAAATAGGAAATGTTTCAGAAACCAAAGATAAATTTTGTGATTTAACTTACCTATGCAAAAGTTAGAAATCTAGTCTAAATGCCTCAGGTTTATCCTTGTGTGCCACACCACACTGCAGAGCTGCATTTATGGAAGCCAGCCCTTTGACTAGGACTAAATGTTTACATCTGGATAAATAAGAGTTTTTTACTTTTATAGTAGATCTTGCATTTGGATTCTTTTTAACCACTATTATCTGGTATTTGTTCAGATTCTTGCAAGAAATGAAGGAACAGTAATTTCAGGTACTTGTTCGCAGATGCAAACTTGTAAGGGGACACTCAGTTCTCACATCATCTAAGCCCCAATGTGGTAATTTTTCTTAGAGGAACTCTATAAAATAGAGTATATGATTATCTGTTGTTTGTCATCCAAGGAAACTCTGAAAGATAAGATAGTTTCAAATTTATTTTAAAAGGACTGTTTTTGCAGATGTTTGTTTCAACATTGCTCTACTTTCTTAGGGACTGTATGAAAGGAGATGAAACAGAAAACAAGAAGATTGGCTGCACTGTTAACCTTATGGTAAAGATGTTTACCTCTTTGTGATACTTTGCAATCTTGTTGAAACTGGGATGGGAAAGGCTGGGATAGAGATCTGTGTCAGGCCAAGTGTAGCTTCAGAATCCAAGCACTGGAATGACAGAAAAGAATGATGAGGATTGTGAGGATCCTCTGGAGGCCTCTGGTCCGACTCGCTGCTTTAAGCAGGGGCAGATAGGTCGGGCTCCTCAGGGCTGTGTCCAGCTGAGTTCTGCATATCCTTGTGACACAGGTTCTACAATCTCTCTCGCCTCTTCTTTCAGCTTTTGACTACCTTCATTTTGAAAAAAAAAATCATGCCATGATTAAATTAGTGGGTTAGATCAGTATGAATGTGGAAAGCATTATTACTTTTCTTTCCCACTAAGAATGTGTTCTCTTTTCAATAACTTTGCACATGCACAGGTGCTGCTGAGTGCTTGAATGAAGGGAGAGTCTCAAGATTAACAATTCTGGTTTTTCTTTCACAGAATTTCTACAAATCTGAAATTAACAAGGAGGAGATGTACATCCGCTATATCCACAAGCTGTGTGACATGCACCTGCAGGCTGAGAACTACACAGGTGAGGGAGACATTCCACAGTGTCCTCATGACATTTTTTTAAACTCTCCCAATGTTATATAATATCTGGTTCATTCTTTTGGAAAGAATTTGCATGAATCAGTTATGGCAGTAGGGAAGGCAAGTAGCTGAGGCCCAGCTCTTTCCCTTAAGTTAAATCCTGTCTGTTTATACCCATACAACCACATGATCGTTGCATTACACTTCAAATTTTGCATTGAAGTGTTCTTTGAAGAAGATGGATTTAAAAAAAAGTCACAACAGCAGAATGAAATTTAGAGGAAGATTAGAAAAACCACCATTATATTATCACTTATCATATTTCTTGCCTTGCAGTGCTGAGGGAGCACTTGGAACATGTATGGACTCTAATGCTGTGTTGTCCAAGCTCTGTTTACAGCTGCAGGCCCCAAATCTAGTTATAAATCTGAACATCTGACTGTGCACTTAAATCAAGTAGCTGGTAAAAAGAAACTTGACGGATTTGTACCTAAAAATTGTGTGCTGCTGTTTTAAGTAATGGAATAATTTAACTGTCCTCTAGGAGTTGAGATTTTTTTCACAAACTATAAATCAGGAATCGCAGACTGTGTCAGAAGCAGGTCTGTGACCTTTCAGTATTGGCTGTGTTTATTTGCTGTCATTGATTCAGTGTTCCATAATTGCCTTTCCTACAGAGGCTGCATTCACTTTGCTTTTGTACTGTGAGTTGCTTCAGTGGGAGGACAGACCTCTGAGAGAGTTCCTGCATTACCCATCTCAGTCAGAGTGGCAACGTAAGGAAGGTCTGTGCCGTAAGATTATCCATTACTTCAACAAAGGGAAGGTATGCCAACTTCTTCTCTCTTCCCAGCAGCTTCCTTCCCTTTTCCTGACTGACTTAGGTCTTGCAAGCCATCATCTCAGTTCAGTAGTCTGGAAGTAAATTTGCATCAAAAGGGTTTCTAACATGACAAATTGGCTCTCTGGACAAAAAAACAGATGAGAAAAGGTATTTCATTATGTATGGCATTTGGAATGGGTTAGGGAAGCCAACAGGACAAACACCAGAACATTTTTAAACCTTTAAACCAAGCCTTGGATCAGCTGATGTGGCAGAGTGCCAGTTCCTCAGCTTTTGGGGGGTGGGATTGCATTTTGTAGCTGTCTATGCAAACTGCTGTGCTATGACTCACTCGAGAACTTGCTTTGTGCTTAACCTACACAAGGAAATGGCAGGCAAATGCTATAGGGGTCTCTTTATTGAAAAAGATTTAAGTCCTTTCAGTGTCACTTATTTTAAAGTGATTTTCAATTGAAGTGCAGTTCCATCCACTGCACAAGAAGAAAATCAATCCATTTCAATTTCATATATAGAATATGGGTTTTCTACAGTTAATTGTATTTTTTTTTCAGTTACTGCAGAGGTAGATGTTTTAGTCCCTTGTGTAATGGTGTTTTGGGAACATTTCAGAGGTGAACCTTTAAAGTGACATCATCTGTTGGAGTATTTTCAAATTTTTCCCTTCTCTAGGAAAATTCCTACAGCTTATGTTCTTGGGAGATAACATCTGTATGTGTGCCTTGGGGTTGATTTTGCTGTGATGGCAATGACAGTGGCATTAAATACAAATGTGACTTGGTTCTTGTGGGCTGCCATTCCAGATAATTAATTCCTAGTCCTGGTAATAGGAGTTGCATATGGCAGAAACATTTTCTACAGAACCTGCAAAAGGAAGTGAAGTCAGATTCCTGTATGAAGGAAGAAATGGCCCATCTATGAGGAAGTGATTAAGATTTTTTTTCTGTGTGTCTGGCAGAGTTGCTCTTTTGTGATAACACTGCATATGGTTCTCTCATTTCAGAAGTTTTATGGGGTTTTCAGACTGCACTTAAAAACAAATTACTGGTTTGTGCAAATATTGCAGTACTGTACTGTCTGACTAGACAAAGATGATAGAGGCACTATGGAAAGAAGTGAGCCTTTATTTTTGATAACAACAGTGAATCCATATACACAGTGGAGGAGAGTAAAAATTGACTGATCTAATTAGGCTATAAAACTCCTAATAGATTATAGAGTGTTAACCTCTTGAGGTTTTCTCCCCACTGGATGTTTTTGGTTTTGATTTGTGTTTTAATCCTCCTTTATTACAAATGGTAGCTGAATGATTAAATAATCCATTTAAGCAGTGTATATGTCACTCAGACTATGGAAGTGAAAGATGCTGAGAAGCCAAATCCTCCTTTTCAGCACTTGCTGTGTGACAGGGAGCAGCTCAGGGAATGGAAGAAACCTGCTTCCCTCTACTTGTGTCTGACAGCTTCTTTCTGCTCTATCCTGAGATGCTCCTTCCTCAGGTTCTGCAGAGCAGGATTTGTTGTTGTCCTTCAGTTGAATTTCCAGAGATCCATTTCTCATGCTGCTCCCAGCCTCTTCCACCAAGTGAGGGTGTAAAGGCAGAGTGTAAAGGCTGTAAGAATTCTGCATTTGCTTATAGGAAAATTTTCTCAGGACAAGAATGGGAGGAAAACCAGCCACAAGGGTGTCTTGTGACATGCCAGTGGCACAGCCTGTGGCAGGCCTGGGATGCTGCAGTGGGTGCAGAACTGACTCCCACCCTCAGCAGCATCAGCAGCAGCCCTGTGCTGGGAACGAACATGGTGTTCCAAAGCCCTTTTAGCCTTCACTGGTCATGTGTCTCTTCCTGCTGATTTCTGCTATGCTGCTAATTGTTTTGTGGCTCAGCTGGCAGTGTGTGCAAGTACATAACTTAAATTGAAGATATTTTTAACCCTCAGTTACAATTTTGACCATTAAAATTCAAAAGTTCTCTACTTTTGAACCCAGCTGATCACGTTTCTGCACAGCAATAGCTCAAAAACTACACAACCCTTTTCCGTCCAGTTCACTGCTTGGTTTATTAACTGACAATTCTGACCAGCTCCCACCATGGCAATGCAGGCTCTGTTCTCCTTAGTGCAGCCAAGTGTGCACAGAGACCCAAAGCAGTGTTCCCAGAGCACTTAGTTTTTGATCATGTGCTCCATACCCAACACTTGAAATAATTTCTCTTGTGTACCCTCATGGGAATCATTTCCAAAAGAAATGCACCTTGGGATGTGAGTAAATAAAGGCTGACATTCAGAAGGGTTAATTCTCTCTGTGTCCCCCGTGTGTGAAGTCAGTTGAGAGTTGCTGGTGCCATAGGAGAAAGCTGCAATAAATGCCTTTGAATGTGGCTTTCAAGTAATACACAACATGCAAGCACATCAGAAGTCAGCAAAACAGAAAACACTAATGAGGAAAATTACCAGTGGAGATATCAGGAAGTTATTTGAAGAGGGAAGTGTCACTTGCATGTCACATGGAATTGCATATTAATTATATGTACTGTGAAGATGTTACTCATTAGCATCACAGATTTTAAAATTGAACCTCTGGTGACTTGGATATCCATTCAATCCTTTTCCTTTCAAATATCTACAAACTATTTTCTCTTTAGGAAGTTACCTGTATGCTGTTTTTCTTCACTTCTCTATCTCTTCTTGTATCTGCAGAATACTCAGGTAGCACAGTGGAATTTCTTGGTGTGGAAACTGAAACAAAGAAAGAGCCTGAGTTAGGATGGCAGGAATGGTATCAAGGTACAAGAGGTAGTATATATAGGAATCAGATGTAGTTACCTGTTGTTAATTTGACATCAGAAAAGGAGCATGAAAAGGTTGCATCCCTCAGATCACCTGGAGGGAAAACAGCCAGTGAGCTTTCTGCTTCTGTCCAGAACACAGATTAGAGAGTTAGGCAGGCTTTAGTCACAGCATCCCATTTGGAAGTAAGACAGCTTGGACTCTCTGAAGGAAAAAAAGTCATTTATTCCTGGCCAGATGTTTTAGAAGTGAACATAGATCAGCTGAGGACTGAAAATCTATGTATAGTATCTCTGTAAAGAATGTTCTGCAACCATAAAAAATGCAATGGTGTTTGAGTTTGCAAATACAAACACTTGACTATGGTTGATCTCAGTTCAATGGATCAGTTTTTGTGTCATGGACTTGGACAACCAACAGCAAAAGTCCTGTAAATTTGAGATCACAAATACCTTACTAATATTCAGAGTAGTAAAGAAACCGGTCTTTCAGTTCCTTTCCTATTGTATCTACTGCTTTGATCTAAATAAATCTCAGGCCTCCCATTCTCCCAAACTACAAATACTGTCAGAATATCCAAATTGATTCTGGTACAATATTTTATTTAGCAAGTTTTTATGGAAGTTTTTGTAATTAACTGAAGCTAAAGAGCTGTAATAAGGAAATGGTAGTAAGGAGAGAATAGATATTACAAATGTGGGCTTAAAGAGAAACACTGTAAACTGCCTCATAAATTAAATCAAACAGTGCAGAGATTCACTTTTTTATGTGAAGGTACATGTAACCAGAAAAACTGTTTCCATATTAAGTGGTAATATTTTACATAATTGCTGTTAATGACTGTTACCAAGAATTTACAGTATTGCTATTAATATTCTTAAAACTTCAGGTGATAGTCTAACTCACACATTAATTTTGTTTTCACTACAGCAGGGTCCCAAGTAAAACAACTGGCAAATTAGCCCAGTAATGCATAATAAAACTTAATCCAGTAAAGGTTCAACTGAGACCTTGGTGCTCTAAATCCTTTACCATAAGCATGGTAAGAAACAGCCACTCCCCCAAAAGGTTTCCAGTGTGTGCAGGTAAAAGGTGATGGAAGAGGAGATTTCAGTGTAAAACGATCTCTCCAAAAAGGCCACTTGAGGTAACAGGAGTCTTTCTCTCAGTGTGGGTGTGCCCAAAGTGGGTGTCTCCCTCCTGACCTCTGGGATGATGAGTATGGTGTGCTTGGAGAGATTTATTGTGTGGCACTGGGAGCTGAAGAAATGAGTGTGGCTTTCTGAATATGGATATTGATCACTGCAGTAATGCAGGTCAGTTCTGAGGATGTTTTATGTATTGGAATGTTCCCACTGCCTGACAGTTTGTGCTTTCAGTGGGAAGGATCAGATTGGGAAGGGGAGCACTTTGCTGGGGAGCAAAGTCCTAACTCTGTACTTCAAGGAGTTCTAGTGCAGGAAGCAAAGGAGCTGTTGGGGGTGGGTTGAAGGGGTGTCTAGCAAGAAGAAAAAATATTAGTTTTATTATCTTTCTCCAGCTAAGTTCCCAGTCTCATAAATGAACTGCCAGAACAAGCAGTGTGTGTGTGAAATTTCCACGGAACATATGCCTCTGTTCCCATCTTTTAGAAGGAATTGATCTGCTATTTAATGGAAATGGTTTCATCGCATTGCATTTTCACATCTAATCTCTGCCATTTCATACCAAATGAATTCCCAGAATTGAGTTTCCATATTGCTCTCAGCTGGGCTGGCAGTAGCATTGTGTTTGCTGTGAGTGTGATTTGCTTTGGCCCCGCAGAGCTGGGAGTTCGGCATCCCGCTGTGCCGAGAACTGGCCATCCAGTACGAGAGCCTCTATGATTACCAGAGCCTCAGCTGGATCCGGGTAAGTGGCAGCATTCTCTCTCCTTGCAGACTCTTATATCATTCCCCAGAGCATTTTGCTCTCCTGTCAGAGCATTCTGAATTTTAAAAAATAATCACATTCCTTATTGTGCTCCATGCATTCAGTGTGATTCCTTGCCATTGATTCATATTGATGAGTTTGTAGGTCCACTGAAATAATTCCCAAGTCTGGTAGCAGTAAAAGCCTGTGAGTACATGGAGACAGCACACACACACACACACACACACAGGAGCTGGAACTGCTATTGTAATGGCATATTTACATATATTTTTGCATAAAAATATCCTGGTTTTTAGTACATATTTCATTTTAATTCCAAAAGAATCAAGGACAGCTTGTGCCTCAGTGACATAAGATGAACAAGAGAGAAAGAATGAAGAAGGAAAATATTTATGGCATTCTTATCAGTTTACGAGGATCTGATTCTCTGGTACAACCAAACATGAGGAAATCAGGGCACATTTGCTGTGTCATGCTTTTATCAGAAAAAAAAGATGAAGTTCCTGTTGTTATTTAGAAACTTCCTGAATGTGAAAATCGTTCATCTCCTCCTGTCCTGTGGGGTAGCATACATGTATCCAAATTTGAGATTTATGCTGCATGGATATACACAATTTTCTTTCTAAAAAGTCCAGTTTATTTTTATCTCAAGACACCTGTCTAACAAGGTCTGATAAACTGCACTTCTGAAGAACCTGTTTTTTCTAAAGTGGCCCCAAAGAGAGCACATGAGCAGCTTAGCTTGGCTGTGCACTCTGTGGGCCATTCACAACACCACCACATTCCTTGATGCTTCCTGCAATGACTTTTGGACCTTCTCCTTTCTGGAAAAGGAGATGATGTTTGTGGGAACTGAGCACAAACTGGGATGCAATATTGCAAGTTAGGGTTCTTTGCAGTGGAAGCAATGGTGTCAAACTGGTTCTTCTCCTTGAAGAGCCACCCTTTGCATTGGTGAAATTCCTGTGAGCCTTTCAACTGAGGTTCAGTTTGCCAAAGGGTCTGGAAATCCCACTCTTGATCTGTGTTGGCACAATGCCACAAAACTAGTTATTGGTACTAGAAAAAAGTTCTTTTCCTTTTTCCAACCACCTTTTTCTTCCACATTAAACCTTCTGGTGCACAGAACTGTAGAAGATTTAATTTTGTTTTATCCTTTTTCATGCCCCTCAACTCAATTAAAGCAAACCCAATTAGATGTAATTTTCCAGGCAGTGGTATGGATTTTGATCTGTAGGAAAGAATAGGACACTGTGAGCCAGGCAATGTGGATCCTAATCTTAGCTTTGCCATTAATTCCTCAATGCAAAGAAAATTACATGCAAGACCTGTTTAATTTAAAATAAGATAAACCAAGAAAAATGTCATCTTCCAAAATGTAAAGTCTAGTCTGTTCCACCATGTAGACTGGTTTAATTAATAATTTTTATATTTAACAAAATTATTTTGTTCTTTTCATAAAAAATTGTGGGGGTAAAAGAGTAATGTGATATTTTAATGAGTCTTGAGATGTTAATGTTTTAAGTGCAGCTTTAAGGGTCTGATAGCAGCTATCTCTTTCATCCACAGAAAATGGAAGCTACCTATTATGACAATATCATGGAACAGCAGCGCTTAGAACCAGAGTTTTTCAGAGTTGGTTTCTATGGTCGAAAATTCCCATTTTTCCTGCGGGTAAGCCAAATTTATACAGGATGTGACAAAGTGACCAGGCTCAGAGTAGCTGTTAAGGCTTTGTATTTCTGTTTTGAAGATATGATGTCTACTATTCAGCATTTTTTTTTACACCTGCACAAATAAAAACAGTTTACTGGCTGAACTGAAGGACACGATCCACTGGGAATGTTCTTGGGAACAGAGATCAGAAATTTGACTCACACCACTAGGAATTTTTGATGATCTGCAGATGCAGCACAAATTGTCTCTATATTAAGCAAAATGCTGTATTGCAGCAATGTTGGGTCATTAAAACTAATTTTCATCATCTGAAATTATCACACTTTAAAAAAAGTCTCACTTGACAGAATTCTAATCCCAGCCTGATGACTCGTATGCTATGTGCAAGTGAAAATTTCCTCTCTTGAATGAAAAACCAAACAGCTTCTTTGGACACGTCCTCACTTGGAGCTCATTGTCTGCCAGTGTACCAATCCACTTAGAAAGTGAAATTTTCTTCTTTTCCTAATGAGGAATCAAAATTTAAATGGGTATTTGTTTATACAATGTCTTGTTGCTAGTTTAGAGCAAGGAAAGAATATAATCTGACAAGTGCTCCAAGAGCTGCCTGCAAATTGATGGCAGACACCATAGAATGTGACAGGACAAGGTAACTGGAAGCTTTCAAGGACTGGAGGTGCATGGTTTATGTTCTCCTTGAAGGAATGGTTTGACAAGAGGTAGCACAAATCAAGGTACCCAGGATGAAGCCATACAAAGCCAAGCCATTTTGAAAGCTGCCCTCTTATACTTCCCTCTGATTATGAAGTTGTTTGTTGTTTTTTTTAACGAGGATTTCAACATTTAATTATAGTCTTTTAATGGAAACACAGGCAGAGGGACTAAAGGCAAATTGAAATTAGTCAAGGAGAAGAAATACCAATAGATAAAGGGTGGTGATTTCATGTTATTTGAAGGTGAACAGTGCCAGAATCAGAGACTCACAGAATCATTTAGGTTGGAAAAAGCCTCCAAGATCATCAATCCAACCTTTGACCAATCACCACCTTGTCAACCAGACAATGGCACCAAGTGCTACGTCCAGCTGCTTCTTGAACACCTTCAGGGATGATGACTTCATCACCCCCATAGGCAGCCCCTTCCAATGCCTGACAACCCTTTCCACGAAGAAATTATTCATGATGTTCAGCCTGAATGTCCCCTGGTGAAGCTTGAGGTATTTCTTCTCCTCCTGTCCCTTGTTCCCTGGGAGCAGAGCCCGATCCCCACCTGGCTACCACTTCCTGTCAGGGAGTTGTAGAGGGTAAGAAGGTCCCCCACAAGCCTCCTTTCCTCCAGTCTGAGTCCTTCCTCCCTCAGCTGCTCCTCACAGAATTTAGAATGCAGCAGCCTGAAGCAGTGTGTAGAACACCCCTGCAGAGGAATCCAAAGAAAGCACAGATGCTGCAGAGTGAACCCCGAGCTGCCCTTTAATGAAGATCTCCAGAGAAAACTGACAATTCCAGGTTTTTATATCTAGCAACAAATGTTTCAGCAACTGAGTGACAGCACAGTCATCAAGGCACACAAGCGTTCCTAACATCTGAAGTACTGTCAGTGACTTGAGCTTATCTTTTTACCTTGTGGATCCTCACTTTTACCTGGGATCCTGTATGGCCAAGGTGTTTGGCACTGCTTGAGCTTCCTGTGCTCAGCCCTGACTCTTTGCAGTGCTGTAACAACGTGGATCCTTGGCTGGAGACATTACCAGCAAACACGAGCGTACATAATTATAATCCTTGTTAATTCTGCAATTATATTTGGTAGCAGTACTTCTGATAGCAGATTACTAATGTAGCAATCTCATTAAAAGTCATCCTCCTCCTTTCTCTCCCTAATGATGCATACAGCACACACATTGTGGAGCACAGACTAAGCCCATTAGCAGTCACATCAGCATGGATCACACTGTAAAGAGATTGGAAGCAGCTATTCTAGAGAAGAAGAAGATTTACATGGATTTAAAATCTTCAAATGGATATGGGAGTGATTTAAAGTGTTCAAATAACTCCAAGCCCTTTTCTCATGTATTTTTCTTTTGCTGTATAGACAATACAGAATGTCTGTTAAGACAGAAAATAACCACTTCTTTCTACATCTTTGATTTTTGAAGACCCTTTGTCTAGAAAAGTCATTGTTCATGTTTCTATGAATTCTGCATCTATTTCTAGCCTTCCTACATAAGTAAATTTAATTTAAAACTGTCGATATTTTCCATCTACCAGAAGTTCAAGTAAGGCCTGACAAGCCATATTTTGAGATCTTGTGCTAGCTAGAAAAGTCTTATTAAATTTAGCTTTGAGGTGTTTTCAGGGCATTATTTTTAGAATCACAATAACTTTATTTATAGGCTTACAGTTTTCTAGATTGCTGCAATGAAAAGCTAAAACAGCAAATGCAGTAAGTGTCATGAAGAGATTCACCTTCAAACATGGGCTCACTCCAAATTCAGTAGCTGCAAAGTTTGAGCATTCCCAACTGAACTGTCAAGATTCATCATGTGATTCTTCTCCCAGTCCATTGGCTGCTGTGACTGATGCACACAAAGTGACACATGTCACAGCCGGAGATCCTTTCCAGAAAGTTGAAATGCAAAGCCAAAGATAACTGAACTCTTTGGCTGTGTTTTATGATCTGGTTTTGCTACTTTCCCTACGATTTTGCTACAAGATCAAAAACTGCTTAACCACATCCCTTTTCCAGAGCAATTAAAAACACATTCTTGAATATACTGCAGCTTCTATATGCAAGAAATAAAATGCTGTTCTTGTTTGATAATTTTTTAATTGTTTTATAAAGGTGAAAACCCTCCCTGTTCTTATAGTTATTATGTGTATGAGTTTAAATTATCAAAATTAGAGAATTTGCCTGCTTTGATTGTTCTTGCACTAGGAGATATTAACACTGATGAAAATTGTGGTTTCTGAGTGTTAAGACACTGGAATACAATCTTCCTGACACTGAGGACTTTAGAAATTCTGCATTGTGCTGTTTGGAGTTAGAGATGCCTCAAAAAGCATCCAAGAACTCTGCACAAGTGGTTCAATGCCTCAAGAGTCATATCTAAATGCAGCTTTCCATTATTAGCAGAAATGAAATTTTGTTCATCAAGAGGAAAGTGCTTTCAGGGCCAAAGGGGAATTTGTTAAGTGGCCACTGAGAATTCTTGGTAAAGCTTTTCTGTATTGCTGTACTATAGACAGGGGAGTTCCTGAGCATGTATTGCTCATCATGATCAGGGCTGGGTTGTATGGCTGTGATAATACAGCAGTGATTAAACAGTGATTTTTGTGAATAGTTTGTTGCAACTTCTCTCTAAGGAGAACTGATCAAATGATAAACATATATCTCCCTTTGTTCTATGAGATCCTCAGGACTTTTATCTGTCTGGTGTAAACTGTATTTGACAGCAGTTTTCCCAGTGTAGACCAGCTAAGCTGGTGACTTAAGTTTTAGTTGATACGTTGCAGTATAGTTCAATTAAAAATAGTGCCTTTTCTGAAAAGCAGGTAAGAAGGGACCACAAGACTGAATGCTAGGAGTGCCTGAATCCAGAAGCATTGTACTGTTCAGATAGCAGTGGAATAGTTTCCTCATTCATCACTTCTTCATGTGAAAAACTTTTCTTTCTAAAGAAAAAGGAAGGGATAAAATACATCTACTCTCTCATTAGCATATTGCTACTGTCATTTATCTCTGGTTTTGTAGTAACATTTAAAGTGAGATAGAAGTCAATGGAATTTAACTTACTTTTAAGGACACTAATTTATGCTTGTCCTTCTTGCAGAACAAAGAATATGTGTGTCGGGGCCACGACTATGAGAGGCTGGAAGCCTTCCAGCAGAGGATGCTGAGCGAGTTCCCTCAAGCCATCGCAATGCAGCACCCAAACCACCCCGATGACTCCATATTGCAGTGTGATGCCCAGTGTATCCTTCTGTGAAAGAGCAAACTCTCCCTGGAGCTGGGGCAGTGCACAGAGGTAGAGCTGGATATGGACAAAACCAGACCCTGTCTGCAGAAGGCAGTAACAGGTTCGTTGTGGGACATGGTGTTGGAGAGAAAGGTGACTTTTTATTCAGGGAGTAATGCAGCTCATGTTCCATGCAGAAGGGAAAGGGCTGTGCTCACTCATATCCATATTTTAATGCTTTACCAACAGCACTGACATCACACACAGTTTGTGTCCTTAGGAGTGTTCCTGATACCTTCTCTTGGCCAATATTTGGTTGGGTACAGATACTAGTTTTCCATTCTGCTTATTTATTTTTACATCAGTATTTTAATTTTTTGCAATTTCCCTTTCTTCAAAACTGCTGAACCTTTTTATACCCAAGGCTTTGAATCTCATTATTCTCATTGGTCACCTGTACTGGGATTTGGTACACCCAGTACAATGCTCAGTATATTTAAGGACTGAACCACATCACATTTAAGGGGGTTGCAGGGACATTGGAGAGTTTAGTTTAGTCATGGAACCTGCACTATCTGGCTTCTGAGAGAACAGCATGGATACCGTAGAGGATTTGAACTGCAAGGACACTGTCAGCAAATGGAGCCTTCTGTGTGGGTTGCTGTTTCCTATTTGTCTTTCCTAACACATAGATAAAGCTTTCTTTGACTACACAATTACCAGATTTACAGATCTATGCAGTGACTCCTATCCCAGACAATATAGACGTGCTGCAAATGGACCGCGTCCCTGATCGCATCAAGAGCTTTTACCGCGTCAACAACATCCGCAAGTTCCGCTACGACAGACCCTTCCACAAGGGCCCCAAGGACAAAGAGAATGAATTTAAGGTAGAAGTAGCAAATAAGCAGTGTTTGAGTGTTCATCTCTTCAAGGTGAATACTGTCTTGTTATTTTATGCTGATAGGGCCTTTCAGGTAACCATGATTTGATAGCCAAAGATACCACAGTAACTCAAGTGACAGGTTAAGTCCATGGTCTGATTGTATACTGTCAAGTTCTGACCTCATTAAAGCATTGTCCAGTCTAAGAGTGAGTTATTTTAGTGCCAGGAGACACTGTTTGGCTGGACTTTTTTTTTTTTTTAATTACTGACACATAGGTCTACAATGTCTTTTTGGGTCCCATGACACAACTGGTGATTGGTTAAGTTTGAAACATGAATAGAAATGTTGAATGTGTTGCTTCAAGCATACTGAATTCCTGGTTTGTTGTTGAAGTGACCTTCTGGAGAATTAATGCATGGGAAGTTAATGAGTTCTTTTCTGAGCCTTGTCCCCTTCACACTTGTAGTAAGAGCACAGAGGATGTGGCTGTGATTCACTGTTCCTCACAGCCTCAATTACTCCTTGCAGAGCTTGTGGATTGAACGCACCACTCTGACCCTGACTCACAGTTTGCCTGGGATCTCTCGTTGGTTTGAAGTGGAGAGAAGAGAACTGGTAACATTCATCATTCCTTTAATTGGGGGTTGAAATGATGAGTAACTGAGGACATGGGATAGGCAGCTTAAAACTTGTTGGGCTGAAATCTTGCAGTTTAAAATGGTGTTTACCAAGAATTAAATATATCCTTTTTCTACCACTTCATCTAAACAATTGCTGAATGTAACTAGAGGAATTGTATGAGCTAATAGGATAATGGAGACAGTGCCAAAAGGATGGAATAATTGCATTGCTGCCATGTCTTCAGCATATAGAAAGACATCTATTATTGCAACTGAGTGACCTGAAATCCAGTACTGCCAGCAGTGGAGTTTGTTAATGCAGCTAATTTTCTACAAAGCAGTAAAAGCGAAGGGAGCTCACTGAATAATCCTGGAGTATCATTTTATTACAAGGAAGATAATAAATCTCAGTGAAGTGTCCACGGAATTAAAGTATGTTTTATTGCCTTTGAGGTTGAAGTAAGTCCTTTGGAAAACGCCATTCAAGTGGTTGAGAACAAAAACCAGGAGCTGAGGACACTGATAAGCCAGTACCAGCATAAACAAATGCATGGCAACATTAATCTTCTCAGCATGTGTCTGAATGGAGTGATTGATGCCGCCGTTAACGGGGGAATTGCACGGTACCAGGAGGTGAGCCGGGCTCTGCTTCCCACTGAGTATCATCCTTCCTCAGTTTTATTTGCATTTCTTTATCAATGACAGTATGGCTTATTAAGATAGGAAATTCTCATGTGCATTATCTAAAGATGGGGTTACACCCCCTACTTGGTTATTCTGCATCAGTGCTTGCATAGCTGAGTGCAAGGAGTCTCCAGGGGTGGAGCTGGGATCTCACAAGGAAATTGGTATAGGTAACAGCAAGGTTTTTCAAAGATGACACTTGGTTTACCTGGAAATCTTCACTTGGCAGGTAAAACAGTGAAGCAGCTTTTTTAATACTGCTTACATTATAAATTCATTTTGCAGTAGAGGCTCTGGGACTGGTGATAACTGATTAGGTCTGGAATCAGGAAAAACCTGATTCATGCTATTGAAATATTATCTTTGCTGATGGGCTAATTTCAGACTCACTGTAGAACTAAAATGACGCTAAATACAATATGTTATCCAGCATAATTTCTGGCAAGCTGTTACTTAAACTGAGCATTGCAAAAGGTAGATTTAGGGTACAATATTGGAAAAATTGCAGCAGTGGTTTAGGGCTGTGGGATGCATCTTTGCAATGGAGCCATGGAGAGAATGCTCTTTAGACTTTATATTAGTTGCCAATTTACTCACAAAATTCCTTTAGCTTTAGGCAGTTATGTGAAGGAAACTATAAAATTCAAATAACTGGAAAGCTACAAGGTTTAGTGGTATTGCTCATCACTGTCACAGGGGGAAACTTGGTCAGAGTCATGATTCAACAGAATCGTTTTGGCTGCCAAGACCATTTTCTCTGCATCCCAGAGTGCTAAAATACAATAAAATTAAGCTCTGCTGTTATCTTAATATATTTTGTTTTCCTAAGATTTTTGGACCTTTTCCTTTTATCCTTTGACTCCAAGACTTTCCCATAAGCAAAAGGCACTTTTTACTTTTTTTTCCCTTTTCCTGCAGGCCTTTTTTGATAAGGATTATATCACAAAGCACCCTGGAGATGCAGAGAAGATCACCCAGCTCAAGGAACTCATGCAGGAACAGGTACTGTTTTTCAGGTGCAGAAGAACACTGCTACATTGTCTGGATTCATCAGCAGTCAGTCTAAACATCAGATCCAGCTGATTAATTCAGAAGCAAAGATTTTTGGTACAGGAGATCTAAGTACATGCAAACAAAAAACAAGAGGGAGGTGGGCAAGGAGATTATGACAAGTCACACACCTTATGGGATGTGAGGTGAAGCTCGGCTGAAAGTACATTAATTTTGTTTTCTACATTTATCATCCAACAGACATCTTGCTACATTTCAAGCCTGCCATTTAAACCATGTCTTCAGGCATTTCAAGCCTGACATTCTGAACTATGTCTTCCTAGCAAGTTTCAAAGATAATCAGAGGCAGGACAGGTCAGGCTTGAGATTAAAGTGGCAGAGCCACATATGAAAACTTAATGCCTATTTATATTATCTGCAGTTTTATTTTTCCATAGTGTCTCCTTGAGACATCTTGGTAGATAAAGCTGCGGGATGCTTTGATGGGAATGAAATCAGATAATCATATCCCTCTTAACTGAAAGTTTGGCAAGATACACCCCATTAAACAATGTGCCCAAATCTGAATAGAGCTACTAGGCCTTCTTCTTCAACAAGTCACTGAATTGCATTTCAGATTCCCCATCTGTAACATAATGCTTATCTCCCTTCAATCCTCAGGAGATGTTTGAAGATTAATTAGTTATTGTTTGTACAGACTTTGGATCATGTAGGGAATTACATACATCTTAAGCCTCCTATCACTGCTATTTTCTTTCATTTGAGACCTTATATAATCTCATTCAATCATTAATATTATATGTTTAACCTTTGAAAAAGTAACCTTTAGAAGTAACTAATGAGGAGCAGGAGGAGTGACTGCATGTGCCACACTGCTGCTGTTCATCTCAATTATCAGAAACTCCTTTTAGAAGTCTCTGCTGGCAGCTCAGACCCTATCCCTGGCACTGGGAGGAGGAGCTCTGTCGCAGGGCATTATCTGTGTGAGGGCATAATGCTGTTCACTCTGCAGAGACAATCTAGCTGGTATTTTTTTGCAGTTACCTCCTAAGAAAAGCAATGCAACATGACACAAATGTACTTATCTCACACTTAAATACTGGAGTACTATGAACTTGCCAGGACTCCAAGATTTGCTTAATTATCAGCAGTTTTGTAATGGACAGTGGCATATTCGTTGCACATTGCCAGAACTGCAGGACAGGCTTCTAGTCTCTCTCTTAGACACAACTTATCTGGGTTTTTGATGTTGCATTTTCTTTTTCACAGGTACATGTCCTAGGAGTGGGTCTGGCAGTCCATGAGAAATTTGTACACCCTGAAATGCGTCCCCTGCATAAGAAACTGATAGATCAGTTCCAGATGATGCGATCCAGCCTGTACCACGTAAGCCAATTGTCACTTTTCCATTTTTGAATTAAATGATTAAACATCTGTCGGTTGCAGTAAGGTTCACAAAATAACTGGGCTGATACAGCATTGATTGAACCTACTGGACTGCCAAATTACCAAAGGAATTCTTGATTTTTGTGGAGGAAGACACTTGTAGAAAATATATTAACTCGGCCTTTCAACAAGAATTGTTATATTTGTATGTTCTTTGTTGTATCACAGAGCAATTGTAAAGCTTCATTTTCAGTTGCTATCTCACATAGCAGAAAATTATGTAAGACAGAGGAAGATTAACCAGAGGTGTTGGATGTTCATTTCAAAAGAAGTGCTGTAATTGGAAGTAGCATGAATGAAGAAAACTTGCAGCTTTCCATGGCTGACTTAGCTGAAGTGTGTTTGCTCTGCAGGAGTTACCTGGTTTGGATAAGCTGAGCCCGGCCTGTTCTGGCTCCAGCACCCCCCGCAGCAACGTGCTGGTGTCCCACGGCCCCATGAGCCCAGAGAGCATGAAGCTGGTGCATCGACACAGGTAACCCCCTCTTCCTCCCAAACATCCAGGGGCTCTGCACGCTCTTCCACCAAGGTTCAAGGATCTAAGGAGTACTTAGCAGTACTGCAGGAGGAGCAGTGTGAGTTTAGGCAGAAGTGTCTTTTGGCTTCATTCAATGCTAATTATTGGAGAATTGGAATAAGAAAGTTGAGAAATCCAACTTGCACCAAATGCTGAACACCTCCAGGTGTGACTCCATCACTTTACTTGCTGTACAGGCAGAAACACAAATCTGCCACTCAGTTTTCCAGGCTCAATCTGACTTTGGAGGTCAAAGTCTCTCCTACTTCTCTTGCACCATCAGCAAATAACTGGGTCCTAATCTACCATAAAAGGAAAATTGTATGGCTTGTTTTAGAGCCCAACTCAATATGTCCCCATTTGGAAGGATTAAAATTGTTACCATCATTATTTCTATAATTCTGACCAAATCAGAAGCCAAATGCAATAAAGGCTGCCACAGTGTTTTGATCAGTACATCAAAAAATGACCCTGTGGTGCTTTTTCAAACTGAATGCATGCCCGTATATTAAATCTGAGATAATGACAGAGGATAAAAATTGGGATTATAAGCACAAAATAGTGGTTTTTGTATCCAGCCAACATTGCTTATTTGAAAATGCTAATTGCTCTTCTGTGTTTATTTTTCTTATTGGGTCACTATATTTTAGCTAGTTTTAAAGGCTGGCATAAAAAGCTGTAGAAAGTTGGTCCATGAATCCAGGATAATAACATTCTTTACGCTGTTAAAACTGAGTGGCTTATACTGCTCCCATGGCTTAGCAGTTGACAAACAGTGTCTGGGTGATAACTTTTTTTCTTTTTCCCCTCAGAATTCCTCATTTTGTAAAGGCTTTTTTAGTTTTCAGGACAAACTTGGGAAATGCTGTAGTGTACAGTGTACTTGTGTGTGTGGTTCAGAGTTACAAAGAGAAGTTCATTCCCTGAGGGAGATCAGGGTGCAGCCTGCACACCAGCTGGGCTGTATTAATTTACTGCCAACTACAAAATTGCCTTCAACTATAACGCTGAGGCCCAATGCATCCAATAAGGAAAACTGGATTTTGACCTGTATGTCTTGTGCTTGGATTTCTTTGGAATGTTTTGTTTAAGCTGCTCCCACTCATCTTAGCATTAAAAATGAGAGAGGTTTCAGTATGTTCTGTTACAAACAAAACAAATATGCACCCAAGGTCATGATGTGACATTACCCTGGGTTAGGGTTCTGAAATTCAGTATCTTATGTACTATTCTGTTTTACCTGTAATCTTCTGGTTGCTTCTTTCATATCTACCCACATTTGTGGATTTGTTTGAGCTTATTTGGCCTGATTCTTCAAAATTATTTGACATCTAGAGGTGACCTAAAGCAGGAGGTAACTGCAAGTACTTACTAGTTTGGAAAAAATCAGGCTTCACAAACAGGTTCAAAAAACAGTTATGCCCTTGCTCTGTCTGTTTTTTTCCCAGCCCACTGAACATGCTTGGTTCAGTCCGACACTCCTCATCGTCTCTGTCATCGCACACCTCCAGTGAAACAGGAAACCTGGTTATCCTGACAGACAGTTCTGTGGGGGAGACTGCTGAGGATATGTACCACATGCAGGTACAGCTCCCGCACAGCCACGAGCGGTGGCTGGCACCAGCACGGAACGTGTTCCAGAGGGTTTTGCTTAGGAGCAGTACACTTCACCTGTGCACATGATTGGATCAGTCTGTGATATTTTTTTTTCAAATAACTGAATAGGTAGAATCTAACATTTTTCAAGAAAGGTGACAGGAACTCACTAGATTAACTTCTGGAAGAAATCTCCTGTGTTTGTACAGTGACTGTGGTACTGCAGTCCAAGGCCACCCTGCTGCTTTCAGAAAGTGACATTTTTGTCCTATTTTGTTTACCTGCCCCATTGAACATGTGCAGTTAGTGTTGCTCTTGTTTTGGGGAGGTGGAACAAACCCCACAGTCCTGAATGCAGGTTAACAGTGGCCTGCACTGAAGCTGGGCAGAGGCTGCCCTGGCTCATCTGAGACAGGTAAATCCCTAAGGCACTGATGTGCTCAGGTCTCTCTTGATGGTTTCTCTGCCTCCTGCAGCTTGTTTACCCTAAGCCAGGTACCAAGGCTCAGTCACCAATGTCTCTGTTTTATCCTCATACCAGGCTAGTCCTTCCACCTCCAGCCTGAGCTCCACTCACTCGGCACCATCCCAGATGATTAACTCTGCCCCTTCCAGTGCTCGAGGTAAGCATGGACAGGCCCTGATGGGGGCACCTGCAGGTGTTCCCTAAACCTGGCAACCTTGCTGACTTACAGGTGGAATATCTCCTACACTGACATGTAACACTGTTTCTCTTTTGGACACATAAATACCTTTTCAATACTTTTTCTTTGCAAATGGTTTCATTCTCCATTTAAGCATTTTTTCATCCGTATTTCAAATGTATCTCTAATACATGCTGGTTTCAGGCAGTTGAATTTCGTAATGATTTCCATTGTTCCACCACAAAATTGTGGCAGGCAGTCTAGAGGAAAACAAGAATAGTCCTCATTATAGTACTTAAAAGAGAGATCATGAAGACAAAGGCAAAGAAATAATTTTACAAGCTTAAAGAAATTAGGACAAAAAAGGACTTGAGGCAGCTTAGCAGAAACATATGTATACAAAAGTAGATGTATAGGATGAATGTTGAAAGATATGAATTTTAAATAATGGAGATAAAGAAGGGCTTCCCTGCTGGGAAATTCTTGAAGAAAGGAAAAAATATAAAAGCAAACTCTGGGGGTACTTATATTGCCTTTGTGTTACAGTACCTGGTCTTGATATTGCTAATTATTTTCTTCCCCAGCTGATGCAAAACCACTCCATGCGATCTCCTGACTTTCATAACTTCTTTTCAAGGTTTTGGGTTTTTTCCTCTCATTTTGGATTCTCAGTTGCAGGTTCTACACCTCTTTTCACAGGCATCTGAAGAAAGTGTCCAGGATATAGTCAGAGATAGAGGCTGATATTTAAATCTTACCCCTTTTTCCATAGAGAGGAATTCTGTGTGTCCTGATGGAGAGGGAATACGGGGAAAGAGCCCTTTCTCTCAAGCAGTTTTGGGGCTTTTTTGCTCCCCCTGCCAGTAAAATCCTAATTGACTGTCTGTTGTTATGACACAGATGCAGCAAGGTGATTTAATTTGAGGGATCAGATGGAATAGGAAGGTGAGAAGTGAACATCTTCAAATAAAGGCAAATAACTGCACTAATTATCAAGGACTGGAAGGAAAATCACGACAAACAGTGACCAGGTGAAACTGGAATAACAGGAAAAGGAAGATGGAACTAAGGAGAGGGCTATCATGTCAGGAAGACGTCCCTAAGCGGATGTGCCTCAGCTGGCATGTGAATCTTTGGGGGGACCTGAAGGATTTGGTGCTGTACTGTTTCACACTGTTTTCCACTTTAGAAGTCCAGTGACAGGCTCACAGTGACAGGCTCACAGTGACAGGCTGTGACAGGCTGTGACAGTCTTTCTGAGCCTGATGACTGCACAGCATCACCAGCTTCCCTCTTTACGGTATTATTCACTGGTTGCTTAGAAACCAACGTGATGAATGCTCCAAAGGGTCTGAGCTGCTGGGTGAGCCAACAGCACCTCCCAGGGATGGGACCCAGAAAGATTTCAAATGGGAAACAGTAAGAGAAGTAATGAGATTGAAAAATGTTTATATAGCGTGTGATACAACGTTTCTTCTCTGCTGTTCTGTTCACTTTTAAATTAGGTGAGCATAGCATTCAGACATTACCCACTCATGGGATTTCACTTCTAGTAAGGTCCCAGATGCAATCTGTGTTTCCCAGTGTGCCAGTCACTGTTCTGGTTATTACAACACTGCTGTTGGAAATGGAGCTGTTCCTAATGAGAAAAAGCCCTTACACTTAAATTCCACGGTGGTAATGCAGCTGTGTTCTTCTCCTTGGTAATTTTTCCTTTTCTTTTGTTTTTTAACTGGGTGAATTTGATGCTTGTGAAAATGAGACCAGTATCACTGGCTGGAGCAAAGTACTTCACAGACATGACATGTGCAGCTCTGCCAATGCACCTCTATCCCTTTTTTTCCTTTCTTTTTTTTTTTTTTTTTGTATTTATTTATATTCTTTTTAATTTAGCGCTGGTGAAAGGTGCTGGATTGACACCACTGGAGGCTGAAGCCCTCTATTTACCCACAGAGCAGATACAGCATGGGAGGCAGCTGTGCAAGTTCCCCCACGCTGCCCCCACCCATGTGCCTCATCTCTGTCCTGGAGGGACCACCTCTAGAGGTGAGAGGATAGTTCAGTCTCCATGACCCATCCAACCCCTGGCCTTTCTGCTGAGACTGCCAACAAAGCTACAAGAGTCACAATGCTGCAGCTGAACACTTGTCAGATGGGAAGTGGACAAAGGCCAACAATTCATTTCATAAAGGCCACCTAAATTTATCAACTTAACATCTTTGTCACCTGTGGCTTTAACCCAAGCATGGTTGGGTAGGATTTCTAGGGTTTAGCCTGATTTTTAAATGCTGCTCTCATTTATCCAAATGATAATGCAGGTACTTAGAGCACCTTCTCTATTTTACTACAGAGTCCCTTTCCTGAAGAGATGAGTATCTTTATAACAAATTAGTTCCATCAGTGACCAAAGGAAGCCATGGCCTTTTGTATTAAGAATCCAGCAGGAATTTAAATTGTTCTCAAAAAAATTACCCTTTTTATGGATCTTCAAAATAGCAACACACATGATTATTTGGCTTGTCCAAAGAAAATAACTAAGCGATTAATCTAAAAAGAATTTTTAAAGGATAGTTGTCAGGAAAGTTGATAAATTCTTTGATTTTATCACTTAACTGCAGATTAAGGCATCAAAATTTACACTAGTTATACACAAGTTACAGCAGATGTCTTAAATAGAACTGAAATCAGAATACTGCAAGAATTTGCTAATTCTGTGCTAATAGACATTAGACTCATTATTCAAGTATGCATCTCTCAGTTTTCACCTGGCTTGACCCTTGAGTAGCTTCTTCCCTGCCAGGGAAGCACCACTGTTGTGTAAAAGGTCAGTAAGAAATTCAGCTCAGTTTGGCTTCATTTGAGGTGGCTCATGAGGCACTACTGAACTTTACTGCAGTTAAAAGATTACACAAGCCAGGTTCAGAAAGCGAGAAACTGTAACTCAAAAAGGCCCGGAAAGAGCTAGGAGTGAGTTAGGGTTTGTCAGTAATTTAAAATACAGGTAGGACTCCTCAATGCACTCAAAAAGCAATTCCCACATGACACTTGAATGGCCTCTAAAGGCATCCCTACTGCTTCCTCAACACTGCCCCTCACTAAGGTATAGAAAATGAGGCCTGGTGTCTTAACCAGCACTTTGCAAGAATACATGTACTTACATTAAAACTTCCTTTTTAAATCAAAAAATTACAATTTGGTGCAGGAGCAAACTTTTCATAACCATAACAAAAATGATGAACCAGGAGAAGAGATTCAATGAGTTTGGAGTTTACATTAATGTTCAGTTTATTCCTTAAAATGAATACTTGTCACAAGTGAATTAACATATTTATAATTAGAAAAGCAAAACTCTCTGGCTTTAGCACAGGTTTTCCTTTTTCATTAGTGAGTATCTACAGTGCTGCACATATCAAGTGCAACAAGCTACATGCTAAAGCTTTTAAAAGCATTTTTTTTGACTTTGCTTTTTAAGTTTTGCCAGTCCCGGAAAGGTGCTGCAGTTATTGTGCTCTCTATCTGTCCAAAGCAGCAAGACTTAAATTTTGTTTGCAGACTGGACACTTGGCATAATATATTACCATTTTATAGCTATAGTTAATGATAAATTTAGGGTACCAGTTTTTTAAACTACACTCTCCCAGTACATGTGGGATTTTTCAGGTCCTGCAGTCTGTTGAAGCTGTAATCCCATATAAACTGACAGCACATAGAGAGGTGGTTTGCATCTTTGATATAAAAGAGCAAGGATGACAAGATAAGTAAAAAGGGAAAAGTTTGCAGTGTAGGTTGTGCTGTGCTGTAGTTCTGGGCACACCTAAAAGTTCAGCATCTTAACATTTGTCCTGCAGAACAGGACTATCTGTGACCTGTGAGGAAAAGACTCAGCACAAAGCGTTAACACTGTGTTCTCCAAGCTGGTGTTGTACATAAAAGCAAAGAATGTCGTCTAATTATGTTTCTGTTCTATGTCTGGGGAGAAAATGAGTTCGGGACTAGAATGCAGATACTCTGCCACTGTTCATGTCAGAGTGGGGGTGTAGATTAATCTGGCATCTGCCCCCCCAATGGAATTGTTGCAATTATAGGACTTTATCCTGCATTCTGCTGGACACATTGTTCCTTCCACTGTGTGCTGAATTTTAGTCCCCAAAACTGCATGTTTGCTTTTGCTGGAGTAAAAGCTGCATCAACCAGCACCAATGCCTTTGCTCATATGTTGGAGTGCTGTCCAGGTAATGTGTGTGGTTGTGGAAGTTTGCCAGAGGGGGCATGTATTCCCCAAAAGCCGGCATGGCTCTGTAATGCGCTGTGTGCTGCCATCTGTTCAGTGCGTGTTTGTGACGCAATCAAACAATCAGTGCAAATTACAGCTCACTTCAGCAGCTTCACAACATCAATTCCTGCCAAATATTGTGCATCCCAAGAGTTGCGTGTATCAGTAGTGTCAGACTTTAGGAAGTCACTAAGGAGAGTCATTCTTCTGGCACATCCACTGTCAGCTGTTGCACATCAGAAGGCGTATTGTTACGTGGCACTCAGCTAGAGGGACATGAATTCCAAGAAATTCCACCTGCCAGGAAGCTGTTACATGAAATACCCCGATATTTTAAATGACAGCTATACAGATAACTAATAGATAAATCAAGCTTATTATTCCTACTATAAAACTCTAAGCATTGGTAAATGTATGGTGTCATCACAGGGCTCAGTAGAGCAAGACAGTAGTAATCATCATTACAGCAGTATTGTAAGCAAAGTGCCTCTCAAATTTATAGAATATGCTATTTGTTATTGGGGTTGGTTTGCTTTAACAAGAGGAAGCTGACCAAGATAGTACCAATGAAATCGCAACATTTGTCTCTACCCAGAACCAAGGAATGAAGTATTTTCTCATAGATTTCTGCTTTAACTGAATTGTATATCTCAAGCTTTTATCCCTTTCTCCCACATTCAGTCCTAAAATGCACAATTTTATGGCATTTCTTTAACTCTACAATATTTTATGGGGCAAGGGAGCATTAGGCACAGCCACAGCTGATTCCACACAGATGCCCACATAATTTTATGTTTGAAAGGAAGCACTTTGCAACATACAACTAGGGACGCACATCTTACACACCCTACATGGTACGTCCTTAATTGTATACAACAAGCCAGTTCTTACTCCATCCTCGTGCTATGCACCCACCAACAGTCAGCTGCTTAGTGGGCTCGGCACCATGTTTCCCTGAGTCCTGTGAGCTCATGCGTCCAAGCCAAGAGCACAGGAGAACTGAGATCCCTGGGCATGCAGAGATATGGCTGTTGTTTGTCCCGTGTACGTGATTTTTCTCACTTGTTTACAGGCTCTCCCTCTCTACCAGATAAGTACCGCCACTCTCGGGAGATGATGATGTTGCTGCCAGCGCACCGGGACCGACCGAGCAGCGCCATGTATCCCGCAGCTATCATGGAAAACGGACAGGTAGCAGCTCTAATTTCTTCTGTGTCAGTTCAGCCACCTGAAACTGTGGCTGTATTTTTGCTGGCTTTGATCACCTTAAAGTTTTCTTTTTTATCTTTGGAAAGCTCAGCAACTTAGGATCCTTTTCAGAGGTGAAGCAGAGCTTTTCCTATTAACCCACCCTTGGAGGCACTGATGCCACCCACTGTGGCAGCTGAGTGACAGAAACTATAGTGACCGTTAAAAGAGCAGATATGTCCAGTGAAAATGGACTCACTTCCCAACTTTATCCTGTGAGCCCTGGTCCATTGCAAGTAGTCACACCATTTCCTTTATTTGTTTAGAACCATGGCCATCCATCCTTCAGTCTAGCCTACAAGCTGATTCTAAATAACTTTATGGTAATTTCCAGAGGTATCAAAAACTATGAGAGGCTGAAATAATATACTGATACAGAGTCTTCAAGAAATCTGTGCCCTAATTTCTCTGGACAAACTGAAAGTGTGCCTACATGTAAGCATTTAAATCTTGCCCTGGCCGGCTGTTCTGAAGGGAATCTCCTGATCCTGCCCACTTATCACACTTCAGTTTGCATTGAAGAGCTGTCTCAAAGCATTCACAGTCAACAAAGTCACCAAACAAAACCAAAGATAAGCTTCAGAGGGCAAATGATGTTTTCCAGCTGCTAATGGGCACAAGGCCAGGCTAGAGCTAGTCTGAAATAACTCCTCCAGAGAGCAGGAATTGTGAGCCCTCAGGACTGTTACACCCTAGAGATCCACTCACATTGCACTGCAATACCTGCCAATGTAGACACAGCCTAAGGTTCTCAGGGAATCTTTAGTTAAAATACTTCTTTGCTTAAAAAAAAGGAACAGAAAGTCCCCATGTTGCCCCAGCTGGTCTGTAACTTTTTTTTTTAACTCCTCTTTGCTAACTTTCTTCTCTTAGCCTCCAAATTTCCAGCGCGCCTTGATCCAGCAAATGATTGGACCATGCAAACCTTGCAGTGATCCCAACCTGTCAGTGGCTGAGAAAGGTACTCCTTTTCCTGTTCAGCATGCATGCTTGCTATAATATTATTCCTCTGGTCATGCTACAGCAAGTAACAAATGGGCTTCTACATTTCCTGGCAGAGTGCATTTCTCTCACACTTTTCTAACCAACAGTTTAATTAACCTGGCCTTCTGCCAACCTACGGTCATTTCAGAGCCTTCACAGAAGGGTGGGATGGCACAAACCTCCGTATTTCAGAAAGCTTTCTGAGTTTAGCATTCTGTTATTGAAACAATTCCTGCAGCCTTTGTCAAGCAAATTTGCAAAGCAGAAAATGAGAAGTTATCTAAGAACAGCCCAAGATTTGGACTATATTTTTTATTCATGAGTTATACTGATTTTTAATACACATTTATTGCTCAAAATACAAGCATTCCTTGCAATCCCTCTGAGGTAGTTTTATCATTATTTAGCATTAGGAGTATATGTTTTTTTAACTCATTCCTTTGGAAAAAAACTGAAAGAGGAGAAAGAATTTGTTTGGTGTAAGAGAAAAGGAGCAGTTTGTGAAGGAGGTGCCATGGACAAAACAATGGGCTCAAAAATTATCTGAAAGGCAGCATTCTGAAAAAGCAGAAGAGGGCAAATTTTCTGAATCAAAATCTGAGACAAAGAGGCTGCCTAAGCAAGCAAAAGTCATGTATGGCTGGGAAAAATGGTATCTTAAAAGATTTTTAAGGCCAGGAAAGACCACTGCAACTCTCTAGTCTGACCTACATCATACACTCAGATTTTCTATCTGTCTTTTTGTTTCAGTAACTGTGCCAGAACTAAACTGTACCTTTAAAAAAAAAAAAAATTTAGAATTTCTAATAAATCAGAATCCCCTACTTCAACATGAGTGGTCCAGATTGAAACCAAACACCAGTTCTGAATAAATGGCAGAATGACGACTTGATGACAAGAGTGTTAAGACTGGGGGGTGAAGATCAAGAGCTCCAGTTTAGCCATGTTAGTTTGAACCAAACATATGGCAGAGAGGGTGAGATCTTTGTAATGGACAGGAGAAAGATCTGGAAAAGGAAGGTAAATAAATATTTATTGTCTTTCTAGGAAAAAAATACTTGAATTTGTATCTGTGGGTGATACTATGCAGGAGTGTGGTATTCAGTGCCAGGAGATCAAAGACAGAATCCCTAAAAAGCCACAAAAGATACAGGTGATCTTCAGTGGGGATGGTGAGGCAGGAATCCCAGCTCTTGTGCCTGGCTGGTGGTAAAATGCAGTTATAGATGCTCTTGGCAGGCCTGAACCCTCATCTTCCCATGCAGTTGGGATGCCATCTGCCCTGGATTTTGTGAGCAGCCAGGCCCTGACTTCCCCCACCCCCTCCTGGCCATGTCAGAAGTTCTGCTGGGTAATTCCCAATGACAGTGGTGACATCAGTAGCCCGGGGCAGAATGGTTCAAATGCAGCTTCCCCGCTAATTAAACTTGGCCATGGAGCCACTGAACAGGCACAGAGAGAGATACTGGCTAAGGCACAGCACTGGGAGTTCCCTGCTTCCATTCTTCCCTGAAGCATTTTGGCTAAAACACTGGTTTCAACGGGCAGCAGCCACACTTCAAAATCATCTCACCTTCTCCCAGAACTCCTAAATACTCAGAAGGCTATGAATGAGAGAAAACTGAGAAAGCATAAATTGATTTTTCACTGGGGTACCATGTGTTGTTCTTCACATTCTCATTCTGCATCTCAGAATTTAAAAAGAACCCCAAAACAACAAGCACAGCAACAGTTTTACAGGCCAAGCAAATCAGGTTTTCTGTCCTTTTCACTTGATGTTGGAATATGGCAGGAGATGAGCAAGGCTGGCACTGCTGTGCATCTTGGCCCTCTATTTTAGCCCTTTGACACCAATTGCAGTAGTGCAAATTAGAGCACTCTGGCATGTGTACATGGAAAATCCATCTGAAGCCACATTACTTATATAGAGAGATAGGCCCTGGTTTGAACCTATTCTCTGTCAAAATTCGTAGTGTCTTCTTCATCTGCCTTTCTCAGGTTCTCACACTGACTCTCTCTTTAAGGAAAAAAAAAATTACTTTTATATTTTTATGGGGTTTGTCCTGTCTTCTGAAGCTGTCACTTTGTGATCTTTTTTACTTTAGGGAATTTTAGGCCTTGGGGAGCCCATCCTCATGCTAACTCATGAACTAGGGAGACAAAAAAAAAAAAAAAAAAAAAAAAGAGAAACCTTTCAAAGTCATTTTAGAAAGAAGTACACCAAAAATGGCTGCAGGCATTTTAATTAAGGAGAAATCCTCTTCAGATGTCAAACTCCATGTTTATTTCTCCAGGCTTCCATTTTTCAAACTGAAGATGGAAAAAACTATTTTTATCTCCATTTGCTTTGACAGGTTCAATTAATTACTTTTTTCTTTCTTTGTTAATCTGAAGAAATTGCAGTTGCTTATTTGTTTTTAAATAAACACAACTATTGCATATCTCTTCTCAGAATAAATCAAGTCTTATTTGGAAGGAAGGAAGGTGCATTTTAATAATGTTGTTCAAGGTTGACAGAATTCTCAAGATCTTGAAAAAGGTTCATGTTCATGTCAAGAAGCAGCTTTTATTTCTATGAAAAGCCACATCCATGAAGATAATGTTTACTCTCTGTTAAATGCAGCAAGCATTGCTGTCTCTATACTTCCTGATTCACAAAGACTTGGTCTCTTCAGGAGAGGATTCATTGTAATACAACAAGGCCAAACTGCTGTCTTTAAATATTTTGTCACCAAAGTTCTTGATCAATTCTGTAGCTTAGTAAATTGGAGCTTTGAAGTAATTTCTTTTGCAACAGATTGTAACGGACTGAGGTATCATTTCCTTCGTGTCCTTTATTCAGTCCTCACTGAGCGTCAAGTATAACCACAGGCTGTCCTGTGTTTCCAGAAAGTTTTGCCGTGTTCCCTTGTCACCACTCCCCACCAAGCAGGACAGCTCACACCTGAGATCCAGCCACCATTCCATTGATGGGATTTCATTTTTACTTCCATATTGATCTGCAAAAAAATGTGCCAGAGTCCTACTGCTCTTCAGATTTGCTAGAAATGAGCCCAGGGATAGAGGGGAGCTGGGCAGACTAACCTTGCGATCACCTAACTCTCATTTCCTTAACAAAGCATCTCTCAACTTAACACCCTGTAGCCTTTCTGTGCTTTCAATCCTGTCATTCACTGAGTCCCTGGAATCTGTCTCTCTGCTGCTAAAGAGCACACTGGAAAGCCAGTTCTGGCCCCACAAACTCCCTATCTTATTACCCCAGTTACATCTGTTTCAATCCTTCAGCTGTGCCAGCAGCACCCAGTAGCTGGAGCCTGGACAGTGGAAGCCGAGAGGCGCTGCCATTCCTGTCTGCCCATGCTGGGAGCATCCTGGCCCCACCAGTGCCTCCCCGAAGCCTTCCCCATGGTAAGGACGTGCCCAGCAGGCCTGCTGCAAATGCCTGCAGTCTCCCACACACACACACACACACACACACAAATCCAGACCACCGAAAAGCTGACTTTCCCCCCCCACAACCCTGTAAAAACAACCAGAAACAGAAACCCCATAGTCTTTCCTGGTCTGCTAGGTTTTCAAAATTTTTTTTTCCAAAATCTTCAAATTCTTGCAGTCCTTAAGCAACTTGTGTGTATTTTCGGGTTAGAATTAAGCGTGAGAGTTCTGAAGCTTGGTGTGGCTTCTTACCAATGATCAACTTTAGCAGTAATTTAAGCTTCCAAAGCTATTAAATGAAACTTAAAATGTTCATTGTTTAAGAGCCTGTTGCCTTGCCATGAGATCCTTGATAATGGAGCAGTGAAAAAAATCTCTCTCTGCACTTAATTTCTCCTTAGCAGCCTGTGTGTGACAGATGCACTCCACAGTATCCATCAGACAGGCAGCCCTAGGCTGGAGTTAGCAGTGTTTGGAGCTGTTACCTGGCATTACAGAGCTAAACCCAGCTCTGTGGCTGCAATGAAACAGCACAGGTTTGCATTTCTGACCCTTGTCTCATTCCAGGACACTACTCACTGCACTTTGATGCCTTCCACCACCAGCTCAGTGATGCTCCCCCGGCACTGCCTGCACGAACGTTGCGCAAGGTAATGGCAGGAGAGGGGAGAGGGATGTAGGACAACAGTGGGCTCCTGAAGGGGATCCCCCCTTCTCTGCTCCCACCAAGCAGCTTCTGAACGCAGAAACACTATTTTTAACATGTTAGGAACTCACACATGAGAAAACCCACTGAAAGCTCTTAACCTATTCCACAGCTAAATGCTATTTCTATAACTCACGGGTTGTAGGTCCTTCCCTTTTCCTTTTTTGCACCATATGCTGTGTTTTCAGCACCCCGATCATCACCTCAGCTGCTGTTTCTCTAACAGCTCTGGTCTTGTTGAGTGCACTTATCTGCCCACAAGCGGTACTTCCATACATGTAAACCAATAATCCTTGACATTCTGAGCACAAATGGAACTGTGCCGTTGTTAACAACGCTGTCAAAAGCTGAAATGGGGATCAACACACAAGATGCAGCATTGCCTCCTTTGTCAATTTTAACCTGGTTTTGTTTCTCTCCAAACAGTCCCCTCTTCATCCTATCCCTGCATCGCCCACCAGTCCGCAGTCTGGTCTAGATGGCAGTAACTCCACTTTATCCGGCAGTGCCAGCAGTGGTGTCTCTTCCTTGAGCGAGAGCAATTTTGGACATTCTTCTGAACCACCTCCTCGCACAGACACCATGGATTCTGTGCCCAGCCAGGCCTGGAACACTGATGAAGATCTAGAGACACCCTACCTCCCGGTCAGGTACAGTCTCTCTGAGCCTGATGTCCTGGAGTCGCTCAAATCCCAGCCATGCCGAAGCCACTCTGCTCCATCTGGAGTCATTCCTCAGGACACCATGGACCCTCCTGCTTTACCCCCCAAACCTTACCACTCCCGGCTGCCAAACATGGAGAACGAGGAGGGGATGATAATTGAAGATGATGACAAACACCGCCCGTTGCATCGTAAGGTGTCCCAACCAGTGAGTGGTGGAAAGGAAGAGCAGGCCAGGGTGGCATGGGAGCACGGCATCAGCGAGCAGTAGGGACAGCTCCTGGTACGCAGCTGGCATTGGCATTCCAGGCCTGGATAGACAGAGAGAGAGCAGGACTCGGAGAACAGCAAACTGATTTTCTACTGCCGCAAGGTTGTGTCTGAAGCCCAAAAAAGCAATTGGGCCAGCATGGCAGGTTGCTGCTTTCCTTTTTAATTTCTTTTTACACCTTTCTGTTATGTTTTTTAACTTTCTGTGCAGTGGACAGTTTATTCCTTCTGCAGTTTCTTAACCACATCATACGGCATATGAGCCATAGAGACTTGCAGAAGCTGAAAAATACAATTTTAAGTGGAGGGGAAAATGGGGGGAATGTGGCAAGTTGATTTTGAACCTGCTTTCCTCCCAGTTCTGAGACGCACATGAGTAAAAGCAGTTGCACTAGGAACATATTTCTTTGCTGTACAGAATTGAAAGCTCATTGCTGAAATCAGGGATTCTATGAACTGTCAGGCTGGAAGGTGCATGAGCTGCAGGCAGTGGAAAGATGGCAATTCTAAGAAGAAATTGGCTCTTTTGAGAGCAGGATTGTACATATCTGTGCAGTGATCTCCCTGCATTGGTTCATAGGTGCTGAGGCAATCTAAGCAGTGCTGATGCACTGATCTCCAAGATATCATTTCCAACAAACTCTGCCTCCTTTGTTTTTTATGTACTGTTTAATTTCTTAAATTTTGCTTTCACTGGCTAAGCCAACCTGCTTTCTCATGGGAATTGTGTTATTCATCTGTGCTACAGAATGAGAGGAGGTTGGTGGCTACTGGAGCTACAACCTCATTGTAGGCCTTTCCCATGCCCAGCTTTGGGCAGGCTGTTGACACCAGCATTTCTATTCCAGATTGAAACAAAACCAACCAAATTGAGTTTCTCATGCCACAAGCTGGTTGATGACCCAGCCAGTAAAGAAAAGGTGGCTTAAATGCATCATATCCAACAATCCTTGCCTCAGGGCTGAACATCATAATTCTCACCAACTTCCATCACCCAGGAGCTGAGATTCATTCCTGTTAAGTCAGTATCCTCAGTCCCTCCCAACAACTCACTGCAGCTGGTGTGCAGAAAGAATCTCCCATCTCTCAGAGCAGACAGGAAACACCAAGACTCGAGCAATGCCCGGTATCAAGTGTACACCCCAGAGTCAGGGACCTTAAAGGCAACCTGTAAAGAACAAGTGTTTTTTTCCTCTTTTGCTTCTTTAGAATGTGTAGTAAGAGCTGCTGCTTCTCTGTTGAAGGTTGATTTCTTTTTCCTTTTCTCCTCAGGCAGCAATACAGCCTTTCCCCATCCCATGACTTATTGATAAGCTCTAGAAAGGGCTGAAGAACACTAAGGGGGGACACCAAGCTGCACCACACAAACCAGAACTGTGCAGAGCTGAAGACAGTACAGGTCTATGAACACAAAACATGCCTTTTAATCAGTACTTGCACAGTTCAGGAGAAAAAAAAATCTGTGGGTAATATTGTTCTTTACAAAGAAAAGATCTTGGTTCTAGGAAACCTATTATTGCTGTTTTCATACTTTTCAAGAAAATTTCAATTTAAAAATAGTATCAAATATTTAATGTTTTTAGATGAACTTAGATGAACAAGCCACCTTCCTTTCCCTTGCCACACCCACACCCATTTTAGCCTTCCTTATAATCCTTTCACCTGCAGACTGCAAAGCACACTCCATAGGATGGAAACAACCCTCCCTCTTTCCTACCACTGACAAATCTGAAGCACATTCAAATAAAACCTCCACCATATAAATTAGTGCCAGAAACAGGAACAGCACTCAACTTACTTCTTGAATTCTTGCCTAACTGCTCTGTTTCTCCTGCTAAAAACAGCATAAAGAAGCAAAAAAGGATTATAATTTTTTTACAGGTCACCTTTAGCACTACCTCTAAATACAGTGACTGGGCAGAGTACATGGTTTCTGAACTAGCTAAAGATGGTCTGGCTGTATAAATCTGGACTCAGCAGTTGTATGAAGGGGACTTTAAGAGGATTTGTTTGTTTTCTTTCTCAAGCTCTAGCCCATGCAAAACTACTAAGTTATGGATTTGTTTCTTAAATGGCCTATTTGGCTGGAACAAAGTCTCTCTTGCTTCCTCTATTTTGTTACTAACACAGGCTGCTTGTAATCATTATATCCTTCACAATTTAAACAATGATAATAAAATCTGGCCTATGGTGGATGTTTCATCTTTAGCAGGAAGGAGAGTTTTCCAATGCTAGGACAGTCTTCAGTGTTAACAAATCAAGCTGCATCTCTGGTATATAACAAATGTAGGAAAACAACTGATGTTTTCAGTAAAGGTAAGTCAAGGTAATTCCTTAGAAAAGGGTGAAATGTTTTCACATATGCTATCCTCCAATCCTGCTAAGACTCCTCCAGTGAAGTTCTTAAAAGAACTAAGTTATAATTCCATCTCCTTTGCCCCAGTTTTTTGGTTTTTTTTTCCTGGCAGCAAGACTGAAAGTAGGAAATGTAGTGACTTACCGAGCTTCCTTAATGTGAAAAACCAGCAGGTCTTGCAAATAAAACTTTGCAGAACCAAGAATGCAATTACCATGGGACTGAGTCCCAGTCAGCTGGAAAACCTGCCCACCAGAGCTCTAATCTGAAAATGCATCATCCTGCTCTGGTTAGAGACCTGGTGCAACAGCAGTGAGTCCATTTGGGGAGTCTGGCATTCCTATGTATTTGCAAGGGTTCGAAGATCAATCAGGTGATGTATACAAATACCTAATATATTGCAGGTCCACATTAAAGAAGGGTGGAATAAATTGCTGAATTTACCAAATTTGAGCCTCTCTGGAGTTAAATTTCTGTTATTGTTCTGATATCTACCAAGTATTCTGCCTCCCTTTCAGTGTTTGCCTTAAAGGGAGCAGAAGATAGAAAGACTATTATTAAGATTTTGTGAATCTTGGAACTCATATTGCCTGGAACTACTATTTCTCTGTAGGGTGAGGTGTCTTTTAGCATAGTATAACTCCATCGTCAAGCTCAGTCCTGGAGTAGGTGGAAGCAACAGCAGTTGTTGCACTTGCCCAACAGGATTTGAAGATTCCTTGTATAAACCACAGCAACGGGATGTGTTGAACAGGACCTTGACATTCTATACCTAACTCTAATTCAAACCTCAGTGTACTTGCCTTCATTGGGTTTTCTTTGCATAACAAAATAGCATGTGCATTCCAGAGAAAAATTGGTGGAATTCTGTTATAAATCTCTCCATCGTCAGTGTACCTGCTGGCCCCATCTGAAACAAAACTGAGAAGGAGCTACAGTGCTAGAAGAAAAGCATTTAAAACAATTTCTCTGAATCCTACTTTTTTTTTTCCCCCCCAGTAGCTGGGTTGGTTTTATTGCTGTATGCAAGGTTCAGATCCTTTTTTGTATTTTCCTCTGTTTGATTTTTAGCTTACTTGCCCTTTTTTAGGTAAGGGATACTGCATATCCCTTCTGTGGGAGTATCAGCCAAAACTGGGGAGGCTGGAGAGAGCAAGAGCCTTTGGGAAACAAATTATGTGGTATTTAAAATTTCCTCTGGTCATGCTTCTTTGTAAATACCCCCATTTGAATGCTGTGTATTTGTACAGGAAATTGAGCAAAAAATGTATAGATTGTGATGTCTGACTGGTATTCTGCCCTGTAAATGTGTTTTTAACCTCTGGCATTCTGTGCTTATTTAAAAAAAAAAAAAAAAAAAAAGGCAAAAACCTCTAACCACTTCTCTTTTGTGTATTCATGTTTAAAATAAAATGAAAACAGCTATCTTATCTATAATGGAAATCAAATTCAAAAGGAAAAAATTAATTTGTACAAGTGTCCTAAAGGTACTTCATTGTATATATTGTGATAGCATGTTTCCAGAACCAACAAATAAGTGGTGTGAATTTTAGATGTAAATATCTGCCGTTTGTTTTGGGTTCCTTTCCCTTACCCATTCACTCGACTGCTGTGATGTGGAATTAAAGATTAATACCTGATATTAAAACAGTACAGCTGTATGGTCATTGCTGTCATCCAGGCAGTGCTACCCTCAGACTGCCCTAAACCTTCAGAAGAGACAAGGCACAACCCTCACTTCCCACCTTTTTTGTGAATGACAAAAAGGGGAAGCAACCAAAAGGACTTTGTGTGGTGAAGGAAAGGTTTCCATGTTACACTTTCAGCTGACAGTGTTATTTAATATCAACTCTTGAAGCAAGCAGCAGGTACAGCCCCGTCCTGGTCCAGTCAGGTAGGTGGACGTGGCAATGGCAACAGCCCCAGGCACAGTTGTGGGCCAATGCTTTCAGAGGCAAAACTTCCCCCTAGGACAGCTGTGGAGTGGCTAGGTGCCACTTCCTTATCAGCTGGGCTTAAACCACCACTATCTCACTGCCTAAAAGATTGCTACTCTTTTATTGCAATAGTACTTAAATACTGATCATTTTAACAGAATAGATGTCTAAGAATAGTAGTTAAGACATGCAGGAACACAGTATTTTGGAATTCAGAGCTATGGTATCTTCTGCAGGCTCCTAATCTCCAATTTACTTCCATTACCACTAGTAAACCAGGCCATTGTACAGAAGGCAAAATAACTCATTTAATGAGTCCTGGCAAATCAACAAAAAAACTTGCAGAACATGTCTCAAAAGCTATTTAGCAGCAAGTCTGACTCTTCAGTTGGCCCCAGGATGTACATGGACTGCCAAGGTACCCTTTGCTCACACCACATACAAATACTGAGAAGAGAAACTGTAGCAAGGTACTTGGGTGTATCTACAGTATCAAAGTGTGGCTTAGCTAAAATGTTCACCTGGTGCCTGAAGAAGTCTGTATCAAAGAATAGAATCATAGAATCATTCAGGTTAGAAAATACCTCGAAGATCACCAAGTCCAACCTTCAGCCAAATACCACTCCGCCCTCTAAACCATATTGTGAAGTGCCACATCCACTTGGGTTTTTGGACACTTCCAGGGATTTTCAGCATTTCCCTGGGCAACCTGCTGTTCCAGGGCTTAACCATCCTTCCAGTGAAGAAATTTTTCCTAATATTCAACCTGAACCTTCCCTAGCACAATTTGAGGCCATTTCCTCTTCTTCTGTCACTTGTTCCCTGCGAGAAAAGGCCAACCCACACCTGACTACAACCTTTCAGGCAGCTGTAGAGAGAGAAAAGACCTCCAGCTGAACACTGGTACCCTCAGCCACTCCTCCTAGGACTTATGTTCCAGACCCTTCTCCCTGTCTTCAGTCAGACCCTTTGAGACTGTTTCTAAGCCAGCTTATTAAATCTTCATTAAGAAAGTATTTTTTATTCAGATAAAAACTATTTATTAACCAAGCACAGGAAATAAAAACTGTATTTTGACACAACAAAAGATGTGTGAAGCCCTAAGGTTTAAACAAGAGTTAAAAAAATACTCCAGTTTCTGTTAAAACCAACAGATCAATTTTTTTCAGTGTAAGTCCAATACTTTATTTAAGCTGCCACTAGTCAGATTGAAATCTAAATCCCATGTCCAAATACCTCTTCTTATCTAAATAAGAAAACTTCAGGACAGTTTCAATATATGACTCAGTATGAATTTCATTACAAAGCTGATAAGAGGAGAAATTAAACCTCTAGAAATTACTCTAACCTGGCGGATGAAAGATTCAGTCTTCTACACCCTATGCATAAAAGTGCCTCCACTTGTAGATGATTCTTAGCAAGCCAGGGAAACACAGTTCACAAGGCAGACCTCTGAGCTCAGGTGTCTTAACAGGTCCACACACCACTTCTCCCTTTTGATGGGCTTTACTGTTAATCCCACATAAATTAACCCCAAATTTGGAACAGTAGATCTATTACACTTCATCTTCTATTCAGCATTCATTTACAGCAGTACTGCATTACCTTTTCCCAAGTTGTTTCCCCTCCCCCCTGACAGAACTCTCGTCTTTGTCCTCACAGCCCAACAGCGGAGGCTGAGCCCCTTCCTCCCCCCTCCATGGCTGTAAGAGATCTGTGTTCTCAGGCGGCAGAGCCAGCACTGCCCCAGCCCCCACAGCTGCCAGGAACATCCTCTAGTTACCTGCACTTCCCAACGACTGGAATCCCCACAGATCCACCGAGCCAAATTAACTCTCCTGCCCACTCAACTGGCTGACTAACCCAGAGCAGAGAAGGTTCCAGGCAGAACTTAGAACACCTTCCAACAATGCCTAAAGGGGTTCCAAGAGAGTGGAGGAGGGACTTTGGACAAGGCCCTGGAGTGATAAGGACACAAGGGGATGCCTTCAGAATGACAAAGACCAGGGTTAGATTGGATACTAGGAAGAAACAACAGTGAGGACCAGCACAAGTTCTCCATCACCCAGGTCTCAGCCAGGACAAATCCCTAATGGTCCAGAGAGACAGAGCCTGGAGGGTGGTGGAATAAACAGAGCCCCAAAAACTCTCCATGGATCAAAATGAAGCACAGGGTAAAATGCAAGGAATCCATTCTAGCTGCTGAAACAAACTATAAATAAAAATAAGGAAAAAACCAAAAGGAGTTCTTCTTCTTCCTCAGACCCATTTGAGGATCTCATATTGAAATACACAGAAACTCATTTCCCAGACCAAAACCAAATAAAATTACTCCTTGCCTGTTCCATAAAAATGTATAAAGTTCCTAGCTTGAAGATGCTTCATAACTGCACTGTTTTGGTAGGTAAACTCTGTCCTTATCATGACCCTCCTAAAGTCTCCTAATTCCAAATTTAAGCCCTATTTCCACCTAATTAAGAAGCCACTTCATCTCACAGTTTTGGCCTCTATCCTGATAAGAAAAAAGGGCACTTTAAGCCACCACTTCTCTGCACAGCTAAGTGACTTTAGTGGGCAATGAATGTAAGTTTTAAAAAGACAATAATCTTCCTAAAGTATACTTATATTGAGTAATTCTGGAAATCATTACAGAATGACATAATATTAATACAGATCTTAATAACCTTAATAATCTTAATAATATTTGGAGAGATAACAAGATCTAGAAATGTGCAAAACCACCTCTCCTAATAAACACATGATGTACTCTCACTGGCAATTAGTGTCCTAATTAGTGCTCACCTGCTGTGACCTTTCCTGTATCAGGTGCTCCTCCTCACCTCATCAGGCTTATCACTTACACCTGATGACCTGCAAGAAAATTCTGATTAGGCATTGCCCCACCAGGCTGCCTCAAGAGCCCACGGAGCTCCCTTGCTGTAGCACAGGGCTGTGACTTTGACTCTCCCTTCACTGGAATGACAGCCCAGGATACGCAGAGTTACACATAAAGCCGCACAAGGAGCTATCAACAGGTGTGTGCTCCTCTCCCAACCTCAAGGGGATTTCAGTTATAAACTCACAGTGTTTGGGATTGTTGAAGGTAGTTAGCAGCACAAACTGTGAGGGCTTTTGGAACAGAATCAAAATAGTCTGAGTTGGAAAAGACCCACAAGGATCACCAAAGTCCAACTCCTAGCCCTGGCACAGGACAACCCTAGGAATCCCCCTATGTCCCTGAGCAAAAGGTGATAGGCCCAAAAACTAGGATATTAAGTTGGAATTAAACAAAATTTCTTTCAAAAACATCCACCCAAGAAGCCAGAAATAAGTGCACGCAGCTTGCTATTTTGACCTCTGAGCTGTCCCACCTCAAAGCACCCAGTCCTCGTACCCAGAGCCACCCGTTACGGGCTGTGCCCGTGCTGGCACCGAACCCGTCCCTGCCGCTCCCACCCCTCACGGGACACCCCCCACAAGCACGCGGCTCCTCTTCCCCACCGACTTCACGCTACCCGGGGGCCTCGAGCGACCCCTCAAGCCTCACCTTGCGCTGCCGCACACCGCCCCGCCACAGCCGTGTGGAAGGCGGAGCCCGGGCTCGGGGCGGCCCCGCCCGCCCACAGGTGTGAGGATCTGCCCCTTCCCAAGATGGCGCCCGCGGCTAGCGCTCGCGAGCGCCCTTCCCTTAACAAAGATGGCAGCAAAGGGGGCGGGGCCCCGCTCCGCGCGCCGGCCCTCTGCCGCCTCCCCCCAATCAACGGCCGCCAACTCTCCCGTGGAGGCGGCGTTGCGGCCAATGGGAGCGGAGAGCGTGGCGGCCGGGCGGGGAGCTGGCCAATGGGGCGGCGGCGGCGGGGGCAGCCGGCGTGGGGTGGTGGTGCCGGTGGTGCCGGTGCGGCGGGCGCTGCCGGGCGAGGCGGGATGCGGGCGGCCCACGGGCTTTGCGCGGCGTTGGCCTTGCTCCTGCTGCCGGCCGGTGGCCGAGCGCTGCGCGACGGGGACTGCGAGGGTGAGTGCGGACGGGCCCGGGCCGCGGGCACGGCGGGGGAAGGCCGCTCCTCGCCGCCGCCTCCCGCAGTCTGGCCCGTCCGCCGGGCTGTGGGGCTGGGACGCGGACCAGCCGTGGGGCTGTGACAGTCCACCCGCCGGTGCTGGGCCGGGCCGGCGGGAGCGCTGCCTCCAGCGGCAGGAAAAGTCTCCGAAGTCTGGCCAAGTGCGGGCGGGCCGGGCCGGGCGCCGCTCGCAGGCGACCGGTGCCGGGGCGGTGCTCGGGGGTGTCCGGTGCCGGGGCGATGCGCCGGGCGGCCCGCGGGGCAGGAGGGGCGGGGTTTCCAGCCGCGCCGCGCTCCGGGGACGGGATCTCCCTTCCGAGGGTACTGCACTCTGTCGGGAAGTTGCCCGTCCCTCTCCACAGGGTCAGCGGTAGCGTAGAGTCCCCACGGGAAAGAGCGATGACGCTGGGAGATCAGCACTGTCGCAGCTCGGCACTGGCGGGGCAGCGCTTCCCGCCGGCTGTCCCGGCCGGGTGACGGTGACCAGGGCAGGGAGCAGGAGAACACGAGTGAGGTTACTTACCCGGACCTCGCCGGGACTCCCCCCCTAGTCATCACACTATTACGTTCACGGGGTGCTCTGAGTCCTCTCAGTGCGCACAGCCAGGAGCCGTGAGCAGCTGATCCAAATCAAGTCGGACCCTTTGTGTACCACGGAAATACAAACGCCTCGGGGGTAGAACCTGTTGAGCTGCACAGCAAATTAAGCTGCTCCTGTACAGTGAACTGAACAGATTCCCCAAGTGGAGCAAGCAGAACTTGAGGTGGGGCTCTAGTAGCTGGTTGGGAGTTAATATCTAATATCCCTCACTAAGACAGAATGAGGGGAAGAAACCCCATAAATCAAAACTTCCAGCTGCTGTCACAGCACTGGACTGGAAATGTGATTCTATCCATCAGTGTCACTGTCTGCAGCAAGTTTTTTCTTCCCAAGGTTTTCACTTCCCAAGAGCTTACAGTGGACCTCAGTGTGTCTGACTGGGGATAGACTGCTGGGAGGTAAATAAGGGTACTGTATGCATACAAAAAATGTTTTCCAAAGTGGCCCATATTATAATAAGTTCTAGTTTTAATATAATGAGGGTTCATTTCTACTCGGTTCTATGACAGCCATTCTCCATTTCCTGTTCTGCCCAATTACTGTGCCATGTGTCGTGTTCTGAGTTGAACACAAGTTGCTAATGACAACAATATTTGCCAGTCCCTCCCTGCTGGGGTAAACAAATCCCATGAAAGACATAACTCATACCTGTTCCTTAGAGGCAGAATGGTTCCTGGCACTCATCTCGCATGGGAAGGTGTGAGGATCCCCAGGTGCTGAGCAGGAATTGAGGGGCTGCAGAGTGCTCGGTCCGGGTGATGCTGATATCCACAGATGTGTTGTGAGATGAAAATCTGATACTCAGGGTGTCCTTCAGGCATCCCATGGGCTGTCTGCCCTCCTTCCCAGCCACACACGGGGCTGCTGCACTTTGGAGCATGTGTGGAGCGACTGCTGCCAAGGGAAGGAGCAATGACCGAGTTGTGCAGCCCTTCCCAAAGGCAGGAACCTGGATCTGTCCTCTCAGCTGCAGCTGCACTTGTGGGAGTTGCATTATGTCTAAGAATCTTCCATCTTTCCATCTGAAACTGCATCAGAAGCTTGTGGAAATGAAAGAAGGAGAAAGGTGCCGCATGGACATAGCATGGGATCACATTTCTTTTTCTCTTGGAAGTAATTTCAGCTGAAGCAGCCTGGTAATCAGTGATACCCTGTTACTGAAGTAAGCACACAGGGAGTCTCAGAGGATTATGTACAGAATTGGTTTTCTATCAGCACTGGGTTTGACACCCATGTTTTTACCAGTTGCTTCCCAAAGCAGCAAGACAACTTTAAATTTACATTTTTGCATGGGTGTGGTTTTGTATCCATCATATGATCCTATGCTCATTCAAGACAATGTACAGAAGCCTCTTGACACTTCCATGGATCTAATTTCCCACCAAAAGTACCAGAGCATGTTGTTGATTCACATGTGCTCTGAATGACTTTCTGAACCATGGGTGAAGTTCAGAAAAGTTCTGTTATCTAAACCCCTGATTCTTTTTCACTACGAGTGTCCTCTAAGAGCTGCCATGAGATTACTGCTCTGGCTGATAACTCCATCCATCTTCCCTTCCAGTGTGTGTCACATTCCTGGGAAGGTTCTACCAGAGTCTAAAGGACAACGACATTGAATTCACACCTTCCAGTATTGAAAAGGAGCTCTTGAAATCCTGCAAAGAAGCAAAGGGCAAAGAGAACCGCCTGGTAAGTAGGGGGAGTCAGTAATATTTGCCTCCTGCAAATGAGGGGAAACTGAGTCTGTATGATATGGCTTCCCAGGGGCTGTTTCTGCTGGCTCTGTGGCCACAGTTGTGTATTTTTATGAGAGAACTCAAGGAGTTAAATCTCTTTACTTTTAAAAAAAGGAAAAAAAAACCCACCACCCTGTCAACAGTGATTGGACTGGCTGGCATCTCACTGTTACTGAAGCACTGGAGATAAAGCTTTTGTTTGCTGTAGGGCTTCCCTGTCCCTTAAATAGTATAATCTGTTAAAATACTTACACTTTTTGTCTGTTTAGCTGAAAACTAAATAAAGGAAACCAAATTGCCCTAACTGAAATCAGAGGCAATTTGTGTATAAAGAGGCCCAAAGAACCTGAACTCTCCTCAGAGAACTACAGAGACATGCAGAGGGGGAACACGTTTTCAGAGAGGCTCTTTGAATGAAGAAGACTTTATTCCTAATCCTGTTTTATTTTAATAAAGTTAAAAAACCAAGACCACCAGCCTCAGTAGCTGTAAAATCAGTGCAATGGAAAACACTTGCTCAGTATTCTGGGCTCAGCTAGGCTCCATTTGCCCAGCTCTAGCAGTACCTTGGGGAGATTCTGTAACAGTAAGAATCCAGCTGCAAAACCAGATGAGGACAGGGACAGAAAACTCTGCTTTTAGAAGCCTTTTTTTCAATGCATCCCCACTTCACTCTTTTCTTCCCTCTAGTGCTATTACATTGGGGCCACAAGTGATGCAGCCACCAAAATCATTAATGAGGTATCAAAGCCCATGAGTCACCACATCCCTGTGGAAAAGATCTGTGAGAAGCTAAAGAAGAAAGACAGTCAGATCTGTGAACTAAAATACGGTGAGTTGCCTGCACAAGAGGAAATGCCCATGATTTGCTGGGGGTAAAGCAACATCCTAGAACTACTCAGAACTGACTTCTATAGCCTAGTTACATTGCACAACCTGGGTTGCTCTCCATGAACATCCTAGAGAGTTCTATGGATATGCTTAAGTAAGACTGTTGGCTGCTAACCCTTCTTGGTTTCTGCGGGGACACTGATCAGCCCTGGAATAACTAATACTAAGGAGTAGCAGCACTGCTGTGCTCACATTGCTGTTTGGAATATCGTGTTTGGGAGGGTGTGTGGTACAGCCTGTGCTGGCAGCGTGTGGGGGTGTCACTGTGGTGGGGCTCAGGCCCTGTTCCCAGCAGCAGGGTGATAAATACTGCTTTCTCATCTCCTCTGGTGTCTCCTCAGAGCATTCCACTCTGCCTCTCATCACTTTCTTGAACTCACATTCCTAGATGAATCCTGTTCCTGAAAAAAGACTAATACAAAAACAGGCACAGGCCTCTTTCTGCTTTCCCTTACGGCTGTCCTTACACCTCCTGGAGATACCCCTTGGACTGTGGGTCTTTATACTTATCATTTCTCCTACTAAGGTTGTGTTGCTTCCTGAAAAGATGCTTCTTGTTGTCACTTTCTTATCTTTCCCTTGAAACGACTCTGCTACATTTCTTTTATCCAGTGGAAGAGTGGTGGTGCTGCTCATATAACAAAGGGGCTTTCAGGGCTATTGTGGAACTTCTGCATATAAACCACAACCAAGCTTTCTGTCTTCTAATAATTTTTAGCATTAAGAGCCTTACCCGCTGTCCAAATCCTAACTTAGACATTACTTCCATCCCCGGCACCTCTCTCCCTCTTGTGTTTTGGCTTCCTCGCCCACCTGGCCTGTCTGAGTGCAGCTCTGCTCTCCCCGCAGACAAGCAAATCGACCTAAGCACCGCCGACCTGCGCAAGCTGCGAGTCAAGGAGCTGCGGCGGATCCTGGATGACTGGGGCGAGGTGTGCAAGGGCTGTGCAGAGAAGTCCGACTTCATCCGCAGGATCCACGAACTGATGCCCAAGTACGCGCCGAGGGCGGCCGGCGCCCGGACAGACCTCTGAGGGCCGAGACCGGGGCTCTGAGGGGCGAGAACTGGGCTCTGAGGGCGAGACCGGGGTTTGCGAGGGGACTGTAAGGGGCGACCTCGAGGCTATGAGGGGCGACGCCGGCCCCGCGCTTTGTACGGGACTTTCATTAAAGTTCGCCGGTGTGTACCGGGCGGAGCCGTGCCGTGTGACGTGATTGCGGGACACATCCCCCTCCGCGCCCCTCACCCGCCGGCTCCCGGCATCCCCCGCCTCTCCCGCCCTCGCTCCATCCGCGGACCGGCACCGCGCGCGCTCCCTCAGCCCGCCGAGGGGCGGGGCTTCGCTGCCCGCCCTGATTGGCCGCCCGGCCGTCGCGCGCGGGCGGCGGGAAGCGCCGTGTGACGTCACGGCCCCGTGACGCCGGCTTGCGGCGCGTCGCGCGCGGAGCGATGACGTAGAGCCCGCGCGGCGCGGCGGCCGGAGCCGCCTTCGCTCCCTTTTGTCCAAGATGGCGGCGGCCGCCGGAGGCGCCTCCTGAGCCGCGGGCCCGGCGCGATGAAGCGCGGCAGCGACCGCGACTCGAGCCCGCCGGGGGCCGCGGGCGGACGCGCGGCCGCCGCCGCCAAGCGGCCCCGCGACCGCGACCGCGAGAGCAGCAGCCGGCGCGGCCCGCACCGCAGCTCGGGCGCCTCCCGCAGCAGCCGGGACAAGTCCACGCCCGGCGGCGGCGGCGGAGGCGGCGGCGGCACCACCACCAGCAGCAGCGGCGGCGGAGGCGGCTCCAGCTCCCGCAGCCACCGCGGCGATGAGCGCGCCGGCGGCGGCGGCGACTCGAACCACCGCCCGGCGGGGAGCGGCTCCGCCCCGGGCGCCCCCGGCGGGCGCCCGGCCGCCC